TCTTGAGTATCGTGCTGACACACACACACACACAGACACACGAACGCCCCTGAAAACATAACCTTCTCGGCGAAGGTAACAACGAAACCGTACTTCCCTCCCTTGGAGCGGAGGAATGACGTTACCTGTTTGACCTTGTCACCGTTTAAGACGACGTCGATGACCCGTCTGATGTTCACGTGATCAAGCCTGAGTAATATCTCCCTCCTCCTGCTGTCAACCGTTTCCTCCAGTAGATACTCCTCCTGCGTTAGAATAATCAACGCTTTAGTCCTGTCCCTTTTGTTTGTTTGTTTGTTTGGTATTCATAATATGTGCCTGTCGGCGCAACACACAGGGTTTGTGTATGCAAGTACAGGCTGCGCAAGATCAGACTATACATGTATAAGGTCTGATGCACTCACAGCAGGATGAACCCCTACTAAGTGTGGTGAGCTCTTCAACATATATTTGTCCGACGTGTGGTTCTTCTCAAACACGGGACCTCCGGTTTGTGAGATTTCTACCTCCTTCTTTCTTTTTAATCTACGTTTTTAATCTTCGTATACTGTAGTATTCGTATATTGGTTCTGACACAAACATAGGATCATATACGCTTTCACTAAGTTATAGATGGTTCTGCATTACATTGGCCCAATACACGGCGTCAATTAGATCGAACACGTGACTACTAAAAATAATGTTCGACATTGTTGTTACCTACCCCCTGGTCGTTTGGTTGATCGTAGAAAAGTATCTCACTCGCAGAGCAGAGAAACTTCCTCTGTATAGTACGAAATGAAAATAATTGTTACATTCATTAATTAAGAAGGCCACCAAATAATCAATTAGACTATGAACAGTGATAATGAGAGAAAAGTCGAAGATACCATTACCAGAGAACAGGAACATACCTTTTCGATTTTGTAGTCAGTCAAAGTGACTTCTGAAATTTAAAAAATACGATGTTTCAAAATATAATCTTACGAGTAGTGTAGCTTTCACAGTTACCTGTGTTTCTAAACGCTGGTCCCTTAGATTAAACGTTTGAAAGTTGTATTTCAAATGTCAATACCACCACACTGAAAGTTCTGCGTTTTGCCTTGTTTCTAAATTGACAGTAACTGTTTACAACATCGTTTGAAACACCATGCCATCTACTAAGTTACCCGTAGTACCGATCAATGTACATACATATACAGTTATGGCAATGGTTTCTTTTACCTGGTTCACTGCTGATCTGCGTTTCCAAATTCTTTGGTATTCCCTAAAAACAAAGACATCATTATTGAAGTACGGTGCTGGTGTTAAGTGCATATTTTGGTAACTTGTTTGTTTGTTTGTTTGTTTGTTTGTTTAAAGTTTTTTCATTAGTTACATCCGTCGAGTTTCGTGATAAGTCATGTTTAGTGTAGTGATATACTTCGTACCCTCTCAGGTCGTGTTGACTGGTTGGGAGACAGCCGGGGCGGGGGATGGATGTCATCTATGTGTTCCACACCTGCAGGACAGAAGAACAGCTTTAGCATCGTTATTCTAACTTTAAGCTAAGGGTGTGTACTGTAAGCAGGGTAAGTATCTGTGAACACTTTCATCAGGCGGGAAAATCACTGGAGCTAGTTTTCTTGGTTGTGTCGTAGTACCTCCATGGTCCTAGACAATCGCAATGTGCTATGGGTCATATTTGCATCATAAGATTTCCATTATTAAAACATCTACATCTTCAAAGACTTCTTTCTCGTCATGAAATAATGACTTTTTGTCAGTCTTCTTGGTCGTCGTTTGCGTGCTACAGCTTCACCTAGCCTTACCACATCATACTGACGGATATTATAAGTATCAGTGTATCACAGAACTGACCCGGTAGGGGGCACTCCTTCATGTAGCCCTTCAGCTTCTTCTCCAGCTGCAACAGGGCGATCCGCTCGACCGGGTCGGTGAGGAAGCAGGGCAGCATGGCAGTCTGGAACAGTTTCCGCGGCACGCAGGAAGGCTGGCGGGGGCGCAGTCCGAACACAACCTGGGTACACGTAAGAAAGGAACATCATACATGCATTAACATAGTATTTGTGCAGCTCCTGTCATACATTTAAATTGATATTAGTGATGGTATTTCTCGCCAAGAGTTCCTGTCTCATGTATGGTTTGACGATTTTTCAAATGGCGAAGTCCTCAAACCATACAGAAGACAGGGACCCGGTGTGACCAGGTTCCTTGAATAGTTGCAGTTGCTGTTGGTTCTACCTACTTGTTGCACGATGTCGTCTGCGGCCATGCCCCACATCTCGGTGAAAGGGCGACACCCGTGCGTGAGCACCTCGTACATGGTACATCCCAGCATCCACACGTCACTCTTATCCGAGAACTGGTGCCCGACCATCGACTCGGGGGCAGTCCAGAGCTTAGCAACGGGATCATCGGAGGATCCTATTGAGAAAGAGATGACGGTCACAGGTAAATGAAGCTTGTCCGATGACTTCGCTATGGGGTCATTGTGCAAGAATATTGCGATGATGTTCAGAATTAAGTAAATGCATCTCTCTCCCCCTCTCTCTGTGTTTCTTCTTCTTAATTGCATGCATGACTGATACAGATACCCAAACCCTTGGAAACTCACCTTGGAAAACAATCTGCAGACAGTCGGGGCACTCGTAGGTCTCTTCCTCCATCGTTGGTGCTTTTGCAGCCATGTTGAAATTACCCAGCTTGCACCGGTACGTCCCTCCTTTCCTGTAGACCAGGAAGTTTCTGGCTATGACGTCCCGATGGACGATGCTGTGGTGGTGGCAGAAGCGGAGAGCGGCCACCATGTCCAGCAGGAGGGTCAGCAGAGTCCGCAGGTAGAGGAGGGACGACCGGGTGTGCTGGTGGTCTTGACGTTTCCGAAGCAGGAAGTCCAAAAGATTGCCCTGGAGCATGACGAATATGTCAATAGGGATGGATGCGTTTTGACAGAGGTGGTAGAATTTTTGTAAGACCATTAGGAAACGAACTTGCTATATGGTATACCAATATGCAATTATTTTAGGTAAGACTAAGAAGCCAAATGTATTCTATCGCCACACGATTTCCTAGTCGATGACAACTGGGAACAATTTCGCACCGATTTTGCAACGAAGATCTCTACATATTCAGACAGCAAGAGCTTCCTACTTCTTCAGAGAATTGTAATTGAAATGAAACCATCATTGGCACCTATATCCAGCTAGATGGAGAGGAAATATCGGGATTCTTTGGTAATGGCAGGAAACACAGGCAACAGACTCTGTCGCTAAGCTCACCTCCTCCATGAACTCCGTGATGTGGAAGACAGGCTGAGGCCGGAGCTGTTAGGCCAGCAGCTGCAGGATGTTCGGACTGCCGCTCAGCTCTCCCAACATGCGCACGTTGTTCCTCACGATCCCTGCCCCTGCCGACATGTCCGCATCGCCCATCAACTCTTTCATCGAGTTCAACTGAGTGTGAAAGTAATGTTCTTATACGCTGTATCATTTCCATGTGTCAGCTTCAACATTAATAATTCCTATTTACAAATGTACATTGTATATGAATCTTCAGATGTGTTTGTGTAGAGAATGCAAGCTGGCAGAATCAGCGAGTTTACCGATAGGTCCGGATCCTAGTCTGTGTCTGCAGCTGCAGGTCATTAATCCTGACGAAGGTTGCAGTCATCATTACATGTCGTTGTAACAAGACTGAAATGAACACACACCTTGACAGCCACGTTCCCGTGCGTCGTGGTTCCCTTCCAGACCACGTGACCCTCCAGGTCTTGACAGGGCGTTGGCTGGTGGGTGACAATGCGCAAGCCCAACATTTTGTACTGGTCACTGATGTGTTTAGCCTAATGGAGAGGTTGGACATCATCAGACTTTAAACGTCATGTTCATTCTAGTCAAGACACACTCTCTCTTTCTCTCTGTCTGTCTCTCTTTCCCTCTAAAAGTAGCTAAAATTTGAGACATCGATCTTCCTACCTCAATAGGAACGAGATCCTCCCACTCAATTCCGTCCTCACGCTCTCCCTGACGCATTGCTAGACGGCGAGCCATAGTCCCGCGCACTTCAGGCTGGAAGGACACACAACTACAATTAATACAACTACAATTACATGGTCATGGTAGAACATATGGCGTTTGAATGCCAAGAATACATAGACGGCATCACTAAGTCACACAATCCTTGTATAGGAGTAACCCTTTGTAGACTCTACCAATTGGATTCCTCAAAGGAGAGATACTCCGACTAGATGGTTATCACAAGGTGCCGACATTCTATCCGCATGCTTAGATGCTTATTTCTAACCAATGAGTGCAGTGGGATTTTTCCTGATGCCAATAGCCCCTCTCTCTGTATAGTAGTACTGTATTATTAGTATCGAAGCGCGGATAAGCACCGGTCCGCTCCTCTGATCGCTTCCCTCCCGAACATTCAACAATATATAAGAACATTCAACAATATATAAAAGGTTGTATTACAGGCAAGAATAAGCACACTTTTTACAATGAAAGCTGCATGAGAATATTGGCACGTTGCTACACTTTATAAACATGTAAAAGATCCGCCCATAAGTGCCTGTACATATGTTGGCCTGACCTGTGGATGATGTAGTAGCGGTCTGCAGAGGACCTCTACTGCATGTTGGGCGTTGCCCTGGTTGAACTGCCGCTCGTACCAGACCTCGGCTAAACCCAGCAGCTTCTTTCTCTTCCCGTGCGAAGGGGGCGGACGAAGCGCCATACTGCAGAGATCTGGAATAGGTTGTCGTGGAAGTTAATTTCAATACCATCGGCGGTTATTTAACTTGTAACATAACAGCGAGTGTCCTAGATTGTGATGGATTTCGCCGACTTGGCACCATATATAGCAAATCAAAGTATTGCTTGTCATCATGCTTGATCAAATAAGGAAGACCATATTGGTCCATGCATGCTTGGACGTCTAGGTCGACTTTCGTATACTGAGAATTCTCCTTGATACAATGACAGGATAGTCTCATGGATATAGTTGGCTGCCTTAGCTTGTTGCTCTGATCTCATGTCATTATGCATAAAGTATAAAATTTACCCACGCATGCAGGACACGCATGCATAGCCTGGGTACCATCCGGATTTTCGCTCTGCAATGCTAAAAAAAATCGAGCGTTGCGGAGCGAAAATCCGGATGGTACCCGGGCTATGCAGGACATGGCTTACCTGATCTCTTTGTGGTCTGCAGGATCTTGAGGAACATGTCGGCGATCATGATGAAGAGTCTGTCGGCTCTCGACCCGCTGCACGTCTGTGTGAGTTTGTACACCACGCGCTGGAAGATACCCAGGGCAGTCTCTGAATCATGTGCCTGCAAGAGACGTCGACATTAGACTGTTCATGTCATTCTATTTGTGCATGGTGTACACGTGTTTAAGGGGAGGATATAATGCGTTAGCAGATATTGTTTCCTACCTAATGTGAATGAAAATCTGCAACAATATACGCGTATGTTACGTACATCGTAAATCATTATTTCTAATACATGTACAGCCACAGTTCATACGGCTAGATGCAGGAGTAAAAATGTGTGACTTGTTCCGTCCGCAGGTCCTGTTGCTGGGAATCCTCCCTCAGCAGCAGACCCACCGGGGCAGCTGCATCACCCTGGCTAAACTCAGCTGCTGCGGGCTACCCAGGGTGGAGGAGCAGGCACTGCAGGCGCTACTGACGGTGGGTAGCAATTACCATCTCCTGGGTCAACAAAGCGTGTGTAATGTGTACTCATCAGGCCAGTGTCTTAAACTGATGCCTGTCAGAATGAACGAGGCGCAGTGGCAATGACTAGTAGTTTTATACCCCGTCACACAGCAGAGATACTATATATCGATTGGCCGATGGGTCTGCCAGCTCATATTAACATTTTCGGCAGTAAGACGCCGGGGCTCTATCATCATTGTGCGATTTTTAGGGATCGGCCATTATTGTTCGTCGGTCACCGAACCCCGTCCAACTTGATAGGGTAGATTTTTGGGCGAAAAAATGCGCTGAACTCTCTGGAGATTTGTTAAAAATTTGGCGACCTTCCGGTGATCAACAAATAGGGCTATCATGGTCTAAGGCTCGGCTGACAGATTTCCCAGCCACTAAAAAACTTCGCGAAGTACACACAGAAAAAAACAAGTACCCATAGAAAATAAAAGTGTCCATAGAAAATAGAAGTACCCATAGAAAATGGAAATAACCCATAGAAAATAAAAGTGCCCATGGAAAATGAAAGTACCCATAGAAAATAAAAGTGACCCGTAGAAAATAAAAGTACCCATAGAAAATAAAAGTGACCCATAGAAAATAAAAGTACCCATAGAAAATAAAAGTGACCCATAGAAAATAAAAGTGACCCATAGAAAATAAAAGTACCCATAGAAAATAAAAGTAACCCATAGAAAATACAAAGTACCCATAGAAAATAAAAGTACACACAGAAAAAACAAGTACCCATAGAAAATACAAAGTACCCATAGAAAATACAAAGTACCCATAGAAAATAAAAGTGGAATAAAAAATACTAAGTGTACTTATGGGCCTTCGTAAGTTTTTAGCTCCAAAACACAATCTGTCGTCTGATTTTCAGTCAGGATGGTTGTTTCAGCACTAAGGACAGAGCCGGTTCACAATGAGGGCGACGGAATACAGCAAACTCAATTCGCGACCACTTTTTAACATTTAATAAGGAAAAAAGCGACGTAAAAGTTACGCAAAGCATACAAAATACACATATCGTAAATAAAGTCAATATTCTATCATTATGGTGTAACTTTTTAAGGAGAATTCTGAAGTAAAGGTGACTTGATAGGTGTGTGTTTTTGTTGCCTTGCTCGTGACCTCTGACCCCCTCACAACAACAAAGGTGAAGATGGTTCCTGTGTATATGCGGTGGATTGTGATCGTCTTTCTGGCGTGGGGAGTGCTACAACACCTCATCAAGCTATGGTAAGTCGTACGGGACATGGGGAAGCAAGTCTTGAGCTACAAACGGGACAATCGGGAGGGTTATGGGTGAGATATTAGCAGAAATTATGGTTCTGTTAAATTACCCGTCGATTGTATCTAGAACCGTGCCCGGCCCAGCTACTAAGTACTACTACTCGTAGTTCTATGTCTGAAATGGGTTTAACTTATAGAGGTAGGATCAGGCACGGATCTGGATAGTCTAAGCGTATCCAAGAACGTCGATTTGCCCCAGGCACGGTTCTGGATAAGCTTGGGCTATCCAGAACTGGAACAAGAATTAGCCTTGCAGGCACGCACATGTATTATGGTGGAGGTGGGTCATGTTACATCGAACAATGCCCATTCAACATCCAGGTAATGAGGTACAGCATACTATATAAAAACACACAAGAAAACAGTAACTCAAGCAACAGGACAGATTTTGAAAACAGTCAGACGTTTCGAGTAGCATCCCCTACATTTCGTCAGTGACTGAAGTAGTTATGATACTAGAATCTAAGATTTTTTTGGGTGAAATTTTGATTTTTTTCTCTATTCCAGGTTCACACTTGGCTACCACAAGGCTGTTCTTTTCAACCATCAACCTGGCCCATGCCGGGTTGTGCCAGGTGTGGGTATGTATGGGGGTGTACCGTCGTCTCTCTCCTCCCTCTGTACTGTTGGTATAACCCACCATGTAAGGCCTGGGTTGTGTTGGGTCATACCATGTCTCCATAGATGTGGGGATGTTCCCTTTATGTCTCCCCTGCACTTACACATCAATGAGTAACAAGGCATGCTACTAGTTTATTAGAGATGTTTATTGCAAATTCATGCCCGGGGGCTAATTGCATACAGACATTAACCAGAAAATGTGGTGATATAACTTATAAAACTATTTGCTAACATAAACTTCTACGTGTAAGATATACTTATCGAACCTACTATCTCTACTTAAACCTAATAACGTTGGTATACATACAGGGTAAAAGTAGATATACAATATGTTATCAGGTAATAGGAACAAAGTAACTGCTATTCTAATCTATTCTATTCTATTAAACTATTCTTGTCATGCTATTAGGGGGTTTGACTTCTTCTCAGGAGGCAGTGGGAGATATTATACTAAGTAGTATAGAAACTATAATGTGTAATTCATAAGTAGGTATAACATTTCTATGTTAAGGAAATCAGTTGTAAAATAACTGAACTAACTAAAATTACTCTTAAGATTGCATGACACAGCAGGTATACCATTTTCCAGGACTTGAAATGATGAATTTTTTGTTGTTCAATTTTGCAGAACATGGAGCTGAGGACATCACCACACTGCCAAATGGACTGGCGTTTATATCTGCGGTAAGTCGAGTTTTCATTGGAAGGTGACAGGACTCAAAATCTTTTTTTCTGCATACCTGTACTGGCGCATGACAGTTACCTTTGACCCTACAGGGCCTTTGGCTCCCAGGATTCCCTCACGACAGGTCAGAAGTCAGAGGTCGCATCCTGACCTTTAACTTCAGTGACCCGGAGAAGGGCGTGAAGGAGCTGAACTTTAGTGAGGAGTTCGACCGGGAAAACTTCAACCCCCATGGGCTCAGCGTGTGGACCGATCCGCTCTCAGGTAACAAACAGCATGCAAACTTCTCGCACTCCCCCTGGCAGAACACATAGGTACTGCAGGGGTGAAACACTCACAGACACACAGACAGACAAGCTACGTCAATTTGTCACTCAGACAACCTTTGACTTCAGACAACCTTTGACCCTTTGCTGACGTCACACGTGGGAAAAATCACGTGTCCACAGCATTTGGGTCAGATAGCTGAGGAAGACTGAGTGAGTCAGTCGAAAATTTCTGGTGAGTCAAATTTTGAGTTGGAGAACAGTTTAAGTTTTTCATGATGAAATTTACCAACTCAGATGAACTGGGTTGGAGCTCAGTAGCTCACAGTTCCAAACACTATGCACTTCAATTATCTCATACAGACACACACATAGTACACAACTGACTTTTAGGTAAAACAAAATGGTGCTACCACCAGTTTTAACTTTTAAGGCATCTTTGAACAGATTGTTATCAATGGATGCCATCAACTGTTGCTAGAGGTGTCTAGAGATAGAATGTATATTTCTGTTAGAACATCAACATTGCCACAAGGGACAATCCCAAGTTGCTGTTGTCTACACTTTAGTTTGTTTGTTTGTTTGTTTGTTTACTCAGGAAGAATCAGCGTGCTGGTGATCAGCCACCAGAGGAGGAAGGACCAGGTGGAGGTGTTTACTTACGATGTTGCCACAGAAACCCTGGAGCACCAGGAGACCATCAGAGATGAACTCATTTACAGGTTTGTACCAACTCACAAGTGCTGTACTTTCAGTTTTTTAAAATTCTTTTATGTTAACCTTCGCAGAAAGAAAACATTTTGTTTTTGTTATGTTTCTTCCTGTTCTTCTCCAAGCAAATAAGGTCAATGACCAGGACCAGACGTCTGTCACCATGGTAACTGGTGTTAGGTTACATCATGTTGCAACTGCCATGTTCAAGAGCAGAGCAGTAGTTTGTTAGCCTAGACAAGGTGAAGATAAACATTATGTTACTTTTCTATTTGATTGATTGATGACAAACCCTTTTCCCTAGTGGTAATGACTTGTTTAATAATAGATTTGGAAAATTGTCAGACACTTCAAGTAGCATCCACTACTTTTTGTCAGTGACTGTAATTGATGAAGCCCTGCAACTGATGAAAAGCAGTGGATGCGATACTGGTTTCACGTCAGCTTTCAAAACCTATCCAGTTGCTTGAGGTACTATTTTCTTGTGGATTGAATTGTGGACTGATTGATTTACATAAAAACTCTGTCCCCCCTCCAGTGGAAACGACTTGTTAGCCCTCGGCCCCGACTCCTTCTACCTCACCAACGATGTTTCTCACGGTGCCCGGGGCTCCTCGCTCGCACGGAAACTCGAGACGTACCTCCTGCTCCCGTTCGGAAATGTCGTGTTCTACAACGGAACGCAGGCGCGGCCCGTAGCGGAAGGTCTGGTGTTCCCTAACGGTGTCAATATGTCCCCGGACAGGAGGTAAGTCTGGGTCATACAAGCACGTCGGCAGAACGTACTGCACCTGCGCGATACCCGTAATGTATTGTACATAGCAGTTCGGCAAAATGTCTCATATAAGGTTGTATTCGCTCATATAAGGTTAGCATTTCGACAGTAGTTTCCAAATATTGTGTCAGAAAGAATATCCTCTGCAACAGGCAAAATTCTGATGCAACGTTGACCAAAAACCCAATGAAAAACGCAAAAATACGGGGTTCTGCGCAGGCGCAGTACGTTCTGCCGACGTGCTGGTCATACATATGTACCACAGTCACATGATAATCACATGACAGTTGCATGATTGTCACATGATAGTCTGAGGGACTTGTGTTCCCTAACGGTGTCAACATGTCCCCCGATAGGAGGTAAGTCTGGGCCATGATCATGATAGTCACATGACAGTCACATGATAATCACATGACAGTCGCATGATAGTCGTATGATAGCTAAAGGCCTCTAGTGGAGGGGCTCTTATTCTGTAACAGTGCAACAGGGCCATACCAAGATACCTTGTTGGTTCTTATAGGGCGACACCAAGTAAATTTTATGGATGACGTCCGCGCGCGCATTGATTTTGGGCTGTCCTAGAAAAAAAAAAAAATTCCGCTTCCTGTAACTATGACCAAAGAGTCACGACAGTGCTGCAAATCGTCAGATTGACGTGAAACCCGCAACGCGAAAACAGGATAGGACGACAACTTGTTCCACCTGATTTCTTGCTTTTTGATGATGAATAAAAGACTTCTTGCTTGTTACACTGTGTCACCTCATTCAGTTTGTGTCCTAACATTTGCCGTCTCTTAGTATATTCTAATCTAGCTATAGGCATCTTGTTTTTTAGGGCCCTTCTTGTTTTTTTTTCGCCCTCTTGCATTAGATTTAGAGTCTCCAAAGGACGTCATCCATAAAATTTACTTGGTGTGGCCTAGTCTAAAATCCTGAAAATGACAGTAATATGTCTCCAACCTCATCAATGTCTTGCTAGTTGTTTCATAAAAATGTCTGAGGAATGACCATTAAAATGATGATTATTTAAAAAAAATAATTGTTAAAAAACTAGTTGTTGCCTGCTACAGGTACATGTATGTGGGGGCAGGGTTCACAGAAGAGCTGCGGATCTTCAGGAGGTTTGCAAACAACAGTCTGGTGCAGATAGAGGTCAGTCAAGGTCAGATACATGTCAGCAGGGTCAAGGTCAGTTGGTAAAACGTCATAGAAAGGTCACATGAAAAGGTCATGCATCAGTGTGTAAAAAGTATGGTAGGCTTTTGTTCAAACAATCATTAAATCGTAATTATTGAAGCCAATACGGAATACTTAAGATTGGTATGAACCAAGAATTTTATCCTAATTGTTCAAAATAAAGCACTAACGTTACCCCTCCTCTGGATTTGGGATTCACCTTGACCTTGAAACCATGACCTTGTTACCCTTCTGTCCCCAGTCGCTGCCGCTGCACAGTTTTGTGGATAATATCGAGGTGGACTCGAAAACTGGTGATCTCTACATCGGCCTGCATCCGGTCATTGGCAAAACACCCTTAATACACTACGACCCATGGGACCCTCCTGGGGCACAGGTTAGTATAGCACACCCATGAGACCCACAACCCAAATATCTGTTGTTATGTATCCATGAATACATATCAGACACTATGATGCGAAGCCCCAGTGCTCTGCTACACAATAGCAAAATTTAGGCTGTTCAGTTTAGCTCATGCATATACATGTACAGTTGTTGCAAAATTTAGTCATTATGACAAAAGTGCAATACAATTAGTTTATTATCATTGTTGAATTAAAGGTAGAATTCATTCATTTATTATGTTTTCCACATACATGTACAGGAGTATAGAATGGTATGGCAGAATAAGTGTTAACTTTATGTTAGGTCACCTTTTCAAAGCCGCAAAAAAGAATGTGTAGGTGCAACTCCCCATGTAAAAGTTTTTCTTTCTTCCTATATTCTCATACATGTAGGTTTTGAGGGTGAAAAATGCAGTGAGGGGTCCTGACATCACAGAGCTGTTTGTCAACAACGGCACGACGCTTCAGGGCAGCAGTGTGGCCAGCTTCCACCAGGGGGCGCTGCTGATCGGGTCAGTGTTCGACAGACTGCTGTACTGCCAAGTCAGGACTACGTAGCAAAAAAATGTGGCAGAATTTCTGACTGTTTCTTGTAACAAACACGGCCTAAAAGAAAACTTCCGGGACTAATAATACTTGTAATAACTATTATAACTAATAGTTTAAAGATGTAGGTTAGACATCCAGGTAATGAGCTATACAAAACAATAGTTACATTTTATACATCAAGCAACTGGATAGATCTGGATAGATTTTGAAGACTGACAATGACAGTTTTCAAAGTCTATCCAGTTGCTTGGGTATCTATTTTCTTGTGCAACTAATAGTTTGGTCGCCAGTTTTAACAAAATGAATTCTTAAACCCCCAGAACCACTATCCCAGAAAAGCTGCTTCCTATATAGAATGTCTCGCCTGTGAAATTAAGCAAATGAAAAGTTTGGACGCCACCATAGTTTTTGGGACTGATGTTCTTGTTTGTAAGAAATTACCTTTTCTACCATGCAAACTGTTATCCCATTAGTGTAAGCTTCCAAATGTTTCATGCTATGTTCATGTTGTATGAAAGTTGGAATAATAGCATTTTCCTGCAATAATTCTAGTGGGTAGCGATAAAAATCAACAGGCCTCCACTGTATAATATGGTAGTCTGGCTATAATGTTTTCCATTGAATCATGACAGCAAGGCAAAAGTAGAATTCCTCTACAATATGCAAATAGTAGAAAGTAGTTTATGTGTGAGTATTTATGTCATTGTGTAAATTTGCCCATCAAAAACATGGAAAAATCTTAAAAATTGAAAAGAAATGGGAAAAACCTTTTGTACGACAAAGTTTTATCACAAACCAGTGATTAAGCTGCTGTTAGATACTTAAACAACATGTTAATGTTCGAACCTGTAAGTAGGAGGTAGTGGTGCTATCATGGTTTTAAAATCAGTACAACTGTAGTCATTCACCTGTATGCAATAGGTATTATATTGCTCTATATGATACATTATAATATCCAGAACCATGCCTATTTCTAGTTCTTGAGCCTGAATGGGTTAGGGTTAGGATCAGGCACAGTTCTGGATAGTCTCTGTGTATACAAGAACTTAGTTTTGCTCCAGTTCTAGATACATGATTGTGGATATTACAGAATGTGTCTGAGCATGATACTAGATAAAGCACAGTTCTGGATAAAACATTGATGTCAAATGGCTTAGTTGTAGGGGGCCTGCAAGGGGGGGTCCCAACAATGCTCCACGCTGAATTTGGAAACTTCTCGATTACGCATACGATAAATTTCAAGTGGCCACAATGCATTACGTAGAATTAAAACGGCGAATACGTTCTACGCAAAATGCACCAATTACGCTCTACGTTGAATTAGAGCGGTCCGTCTACGCTCTACGTAGAATTAAAACGGCCGATTACGCTCTACGGAAAAGGGCTTGCGGGCCCCCTTATAGGTTCAGGGCAGATCAGAGTAGGTAGATTGCTTTGTTTGCAGGATTTTTCTGGCAAAATCTGTGGTGAATACTCCCACTTCACAAACCCCAAACATGTTACAAGAAAGGCAAAATTACAAATTGTAATGTTACTTGCCAAATTAATCACTGGTGCAATCAACAAAGAAGCCAATTCATGATGCAGATACATGTGTAACAGTTATATAATTATACTATTGTGTGTTTTATCTGTGTAACGTTAAAGCCATAAGAAAGTAGCCATATTGAAAGGTGCACAAAACATCTGAGTGTGTTGCTTTCACAGTTTTTCACAACAGCAACAAAGGCCACCCTTACTACAGTTAAGTTTAATTCTAGTCAAAACATGTATAGAAATGGTTTGTACAGAATCCTGTAGTATCTTGATACACTTGATACTTGATACTTTATTAGGATATCCATTAGTCGCACAAATTTTTGTGCGACTAGTCTTCCTGGATTCCAAGAACATAAGACAAAACAATACAGAGTCACAGACTTCACAATCATATAAAAATGACATTTAGAATCTACGCCACTAGACTTCTACATAATTTTTATCCTACACATGCTTAATGCTTTACAATCATTAAAAAGACATTCAACTTTACAGATTCAATAAAAGAATTATAACTTATTTTACATTAAAATGCTTTAACTTGAGTTATAATGATTTCGTCTACCTTGCATGGAAGTACTTAACCAGTCCTGATTTAAAACTGTCCTTTGCTCTTAAGTGCTGCAGGTCTGATGGTAAGTTATTAGTTATTCCATGTGGAAATACTTCTGTATCTGAAGCTTTTTTTCTTTGCATTCGTTTTTGGTTTTTCCAGAGCTAAAGTTAATCTAGTAGCATAACGAGTTCTGTGACTATGGTGGTTTGAGACAAAGGAAAGGTTGCGGTACAAAGAACTGGGTTCCTTAGTAGAAAGAATCCTCTGAAATGTGCACAGTGTGTTTAGTTGTAGTCTAGTGTCCACAGTTTCCCACCCAGGTTTGCCGCGAGCCAGACGTCTGGCTTTGTTCTGCATCTTTTGCAATGTGTCAATGTTCTTTTGTGTTGTACCTGTATCAACTCATGATCATGGCTAAGGATTATTGTGTCAGGAGTAAGAAATGTTGCATTTCATGTTTGTCAAAGATCAAAATGATATTAATAAACCATCTATGCAGTTGGTCTTCAGTACTGAACATATTCTATTATACTAGACAAATGTATGTTTATACACAATATAAACCTATGATGTCTAGGCAATTAAATATAAGGCCACTGTCAAGTAATGCAAAAAATCAGTGTACTTTTGGCACACACACACACACACACACAACAAATGGCATTAAAAGTCTGTGCATCAAAATCAGTGATACAAAATCTGATACATGGCAGCAGGTTTTGTGGAGATTATTCCCAGTACTTAGACTCCAAGAGCTTCTTGTACTCTTCTTCTTTGTCGAATTCGTGATTAGAGTGATTCAACATGTCCACGATATTCTCCACCAATAACTTTTCCGTGTCATCTTGGTCAGACTCCTTTACATTGGTTTTATTACGGTCTAGTGTCTCATGTCCAGATGACACTTATCGTCATTGATTAAAGCCTTGATCATTGCTTCATGGCCTGACCAGGATGCCTGTTGGGGAGGACTGTTTACTCTTCTTTGTTCAATCCACAGACCCTCAGCAGGTTTTGGTGTGATTCTTCCCAGTACTTGGACTCCAACAGCTTCTTCTTGTACTCTGCTGCTTTCTTGAATTCTTCCTCAGAGTATTCCAAGGTGTCTGTGATCTTCTTTGCCCATTCTCTTGCATCTTCACCCAGGTCAGACTCCCTCACGCTTGTTTTCACGATCCTGTGCCTCATTTCTGCAGGGTATTTCTTCTCCTTGATCAAGTCCTTGATCATATCTGCCAGGCCGGACTTGTCAGAGATGAGTACGGGGATGCCTGCTGCGATAGCCTCCAGACCGATCAGTCCGAACGGCTCGGCGCGGGACGGCATCAGGACCAGGTGGGCCTGCTGCATGTCCTGAGCAATGTCCTCCTGGGTTCCACACGGCAGTAGTGTGGGCTTGATGTTACCACTGCGCAGATTCTCCTCAAGGATTTTCTTGCTTGCTTCATAGTCATTTTCATCTATCCCGCGAACACGCAAACTGACGTTTGTAATCTTCTCTGCAACCTCCCCCATGGCCCGTGCTATGACGTCACGGCCTTTCAGCTTGTCCACTTCGGTCACTCTCCCGACAGACAGCACAACTTTTTCTCCTCCCCCTGGTTGAACAGAGATGGCTTCAAACACTGGGGATGGCCTTGGAAGGAACATCAAGTGTTCTCTTGGTTTGTTTTCTCCAAGTGACTTGTACTTCGCCTCGAAGTGGTCGAAGATTCTTCTTCCCAGGGAGAACACGGCATCTGCATTCTTGGCATCCTCAAGGATGTCTTTCATCTTCTTCCCTGCAGCCATTACCTTCTTAGTTTCCTTGTAGTACTCTGTGTCTTCCGGCATGTCGTGGTTGAAAAGGATCAATTTTGCATGTTGACAGCGGTTCTCTTGTATGCTCTTTGCAGCTTCACTTGTGACATCTGCATGGCCCACAATGCACTTCAGATCCTGTGGTATGTCTGGGTAACGAATGATGTGGTCAAAAGTCAACCATTCAGGACACGGTGGCCTCGGGTCCCTGGGATGGCGGACAGGCAGATGCAGAATGACACCATCCTCTTTGGCAAACTTCTTGTCATCTTCAGATGCTTGCAGAGCTGTAGCATGAACTGTAGCACCACGCTGTTGCAGAAACTTTGCAACCTGATGGTTTGTAGTAGAAGGACCTCCATGGAATGTACCATACTCATGGTTAACCATCAGAACAGACTTGGCCACTGTAAAGGGAAAATGTCAGTTGTAACTGACAACAAAGCTCTAAGTTGAACTTATAGGTACCATGATATAGAAAAATACATAGTGTGTTTGAAGAAAATATTATCTTTTTTGGACTGCATGGCAAAGGGAAAGCTATTAGAAACTAAGACAATCCTCCCTGGAAGATTCTTGCCTCTCAAAAGTATGGAACAAAGTGAAACAAAGCATAGGTTCAGTTGAATACCGGTACCTCCTGAATAACTATTAAAGAAATGGAAACTGAAGTGGTATGGATGGCAACATGACACAGTCATCGGGACTAGCCAAAACTACATGACATTGTATAATGCAAGGAACAGTACAGGGATGAGCAATGGAAATGATAGGAGAATAATATCAGTGAATGGACCACTAAGTGAACAGAATACCGAGAAGGGCGGAGAAAACTGGTTGTCAGATCATCTGTGGTCCCCCTACAATTGAATAGTTAGACTAAAGGATGAGGGTCTGCATGGGGGGTCCTGGCAACGGTTAACGGTGAATTCAGCAGGGCCGATAACGCTTAACGGTAAATTCAGGACGGTCGGCAACGCTTAACGGTAAATTGACAGACTTTTTTTTCGTTCGAGCTGCACTGGATTTGGTATCTCGCTTTGTGAGAAAAGGTGATCACTGACAAAATTACGTATATCTTACATGTAATGAAGCAAAGCATTAAAGGTATGTGTACCCTGTGTTCCCCACATGCCCTGGTCCCCGAGTGCGTCCACAAATAAAGGGGAGTCCGAGTCGACGTCAGCCAGCTTGCATTTTTTCAGTCTGCCCAGTGGATTTTGAGAGGGGAGCGTCGTAATCTAGGGGGGTCTGGGGGAATGGAGGATTTTTAAGCCTTCAAAAACGCAATTTCCCACATTTTGAGAGGCAAATCATGGTGTTGAGAGTGTTTGTCGGTCCTTCTGATGTTTTCATATTTTACTCAAGATTTTTGTTAATTTGCCTGTCAAGGTTGACGGATTCTTTAAAAAAAATTCTGTAACTCTCCGCAAACTTCCGGAAATTGACAGGAAAGCTGGTTCTGGCTAGAGCCGAAGGGACCGAGCGCAGAAGCGCGAGTCGAGCGCCAAAGGCGCGAGCAATGTAGGGGGGTCCGGGGGCATCCTCCCCCGGGAAATTTTGTATTTTGAACCTTCAAGAATCAATGACGCATTTTCCTGCACTTTGAAAGGCAAAATTAGGCGTAACGAAGAATTATTCATTAACGCTTAACGCTGAATTTAGGATGACAAATAACGTTTTACGTTGAATTAAAACGACCCATAACGCTCCACGAGGAATATACTGATAACGCTTAACGTTGAATTAGAGCGGGCCGGCAACGATTAACGGTAAATTAAAATAGCCCATAACGGTTAACGAAAAAGGGCATGCAGACCCTCAAGGATAGATGAGATGAGATATCAACTGCAGATAGGTGTCATTGACAAGTTTTGTGTAAAAAGTTCTTGTCAACTTAAGTATCTTGATCTGCAATTTAGCATCGCACATACATGTATTACAGAATATCATATTATACATAGATATTGTCTATGGCTGAGAGCTGTATGTCCTAGTCTACTAGTTTTAAGCTGTTATTTTATTTTTTTATTAATCCCTGTATTTTCCAATCATCCAGTTTTCATACACTCACTCACGGTCCACTTAATATGTATGCAAAATGAATTCTACTGAACCCCCCGAAAAAAAAAACAGAAGGCAAAGAGACCATACCAGGATGCTCAGCTCCATCTTGACTCCTTGACTTCTGGCCTACTCGTAGCTGTGCCAGCTTGTCCTCCTGATGCCCCTCACCAGAAGACCCTCCGGCTGCCGGGCGCTTGGCTGGTGGCCCGCCTGATGTATCTGCCGGCCGCTTAACTGGCTGGGCCTGTAAAACCGAGATGTAATGTTAGTTGGAACATTTCTGATCAGCAATTCATTTCCTAGATATAGAATTAGAAAAATATGGAGAATTGTACACACCAAAGCCAACTTGGTGCCAATACCTTGATCCTATCTGCCTTCTCTGCCAGTTGGTTCATGCCACACTCCCTCAGCTCCTGTGGAAGTTTGTCCATGGATGCTTCACTGTCTGTCTCCATCCACTTCAATAGGACTTTAAAGGCCTGGGATCTCGGCATTTGGGTCTTTGAAGTCTAACAGTAGAAGGGTAAACCAAATTAGTAGCAACATTCATACAAGTGTATAGATACTCTCTAAGAACAGGCATGAATCATCTTTCATTTTCAAACAAAACCAAATGTTGACAGAACCAAAATATTTACTTGGATAATGTTCACCTCCTCTACGGAAAGCCCAAGTGCTCCGGCCAGATCCTCCACCTCGTGTGTTTCAGTCACGTTTTGTGAGAAACGGGAAAAGAGCTTTCTCAGTTCTTTATCTACAATAGATGAAACATTGACATTATTTGTGATACACACTGCAATTCTATTACATACATTAATCAATTTTTAAAAATTATTTTAAAAGTATGCAGTATAGAGTGGATATATCTTTTGATTTTAAACAAAATTCATGATCTAAGTGATAAAAAATCATATCATGTACACCCACATGACTGTTTACACGGTGCAATTTTCATTGTTTTTTTTTAGTCACTTTACATGTATCTCTTGACCTTATCGATTTTGGGGCACATCATAACTGCTGGTTCTGCAGCAAAAATATATGGACCTACAAATGCTGCCAGAGGCACATCAATCTTATCTTGCCTTTCCCCTCGGTACATACCTTCCTTTTTCTTTAGCTCTGTTCTGAGGAAGTCCATGATGGCAGCTGTGCCTTTCTCACAGACATCAGGAGGGGGATATGTCAGGGGGTTGTCTTTGATGTCCATGACATCCAGTTTGTCCATTCGGCTCAGAATCAGGGGAAGGCGGGAAATACTGTTATATGACAAGTGGAGCTGCCTGATGTTGGACAGGTTCATGATTTGTTCAGGAACTGATGTGAATCTGTTGTTAGAGATGTTTAACTCAATCAGCTGTACCAGTTCCCCAACACCTTCCGGTAATGACTCCAGGCCACTCTCCTGCAGATTTAAGACTTGTAGGTTCTTCAGTCTGCCGATGTCTTCAGGTACAAGTGAAGGTTTGCCATCCCCAGCCCAGTTCCCCATGTATAGCATCTTTAGACCCTTCAGCTGCAGCACCTGTCTGGGGAACTCATCAAACTGACAATTACTGATATAAAGCTCTGTCAGTCCTGTGAGCTGAGATATCTTGTCAGGGAGACACTTGAGGGGGTTGCCTCCCATGTGCAAGATCTGAAGGTGAAGAAGTGAAGAGACTTCTTCTGGTATCTCTTTGAATACATTATTCCGGATGTAGAGATACCTAAGTTGTTTTAACCTGGAGAATCCATCAGGCAATGTCTCCAACTTGTTGTCTGACAAGTCAATGTACTGTAGGTTATATATAGGTAGAGTGGTGATTGCCTGGGGCAGTTGTGTCAGCAGGTTGTTGTAAAGTTCAAGCCTCCGAAGCTTCTGTAGTTGCCCTATCTCCTCAGGTATGCTCTTCAGCCTGTTCTCAGACAGGACAAGACATTCGACGTCTCTGTTGTCAAACACCTCTGCTGGCACGGAAGTCAGTCCTTTGTCACGGAGGTTGATAGTGAGCAAGCCATCAACCTTTTCAGGTTGGAGAGCTAAAAAAAAGGTCAAAAATTGCTTTAAAATGTGCATTACTAAAGATATGGATGTCTCAAATCATGGTATAGATTATAATTGCAGCTTCATAAAAAAACTACATACAGTTGTTTAGATTGTGTAGTAGATTGTAGTAGATTGTGACATTTATGTACTATGCAAAATAATCTAATGTAAAAAACATTCTATTCTTTAGCCCCTGTTCTAAGTCAAACAATGTGTGCAGAGAACCTGGAATCTGTTGTATATGATATAAGCAAAGTTGACAAGTCTCAGAAATTAAAGCAAACCCTAGAAGAATTGTTGGTGATAGAAAAAGACACACTGACACTGAAAATAAAAATGACAGAACAGGATATCAAAACTGTACTGTTCTACATGTATCAGAAACCATTGGCATTCAATTGGAAAATACATCACCAAGGTTGAGATGTTGCCTGTCAACCATTGTCTGCCCTGATGTCTTACCCTGCAGGAAACAACAGGATTTCAACAGTTAGGATTTTACAAGTGATGCTTTAGGCAAAATTAGTATTATAATTAGAAGTCATGACAATTGTACCAGGTTGAATCCAATAGGTGGAAGCCACATGTTTTACTACCAGTAATGGATGTATTTTGGGCTTACTTTAAACAACTGGAACTCCTGCTGCACATCCTCTTGTACTGCAACTTCTTCTGCTGTCTCCTTATCCTGTAGGTTAACAACACATCCATCAAGTCATTAACAACGCTTAACATCATCATAACATATTCAATTTGATGCTTTTATGCTTTAGTTGCACAAAGAGGAGTTTGTAATAAGATATGATATTCTATCTCTCTTGGTTTATCTCAGAATGATTGTTACTACGTCAGCTAAGTCTAAAATACAACATAGAATCTAACATCATTCAGCATGAATCAGTGAGTTAGATACACGATTATAGTGATGTCCCCTTTCTCAGCACCAACCATTGACGTTTGACAATTGTGACATAGTCCAAAAAGCATACTTACACAGCGACTGTTCCTAATAACAGGGTTGGCTCCAGCCCTCAGCAGTACTCTGACACACTCGGGGTGTCCTCTCCTTGCTGCTTCATGAAGGGGAGTCTCATTCTGTGGGTACAGCAAAGTGTGAGATGGTCAAATTTTAAAGTTACTATTATACACACTGAACATAACAGTCTGGCCAATTGTAACCAAATGACTACCCAGGCCCCTTTATAATTAGTCCCCCACACAAGTCCTGGTTCAATATTTAACCCGAAAGTTGGGCCAACACAGGTAAGGCTCCAACCAATACAGACATGTTGCTTGTATCAATGTATATCCTTCAGCTGTAAGTGAAGCCAGTACAGTATTATAGTAACTGTGAATCAGTAGACTACAGCATGCCCTGATAGGACACCGGGATGATTATCATTTTCTATGCCTTGTGGTTTCCTTTAATATACAAACTAAGGACAGGCACAGTTAGACAGACTGAAGTAAACAGCAAAGTTACGAAGATGTCCCGTGCGTTGACTGTTGCTCCAGCTGTGAGTAAAGCCTGTACAGTTCCTGTGTGGCCGTTGAATGCTGCGGAGTGGAGAGCTGTCCATCCCTGTACAGAGACAAGAGTAGAGGAGCTCCATGTAAGATTAGGGTTCAGACATGTACTTGTACCAACGGTGATCTTCACAGCCTTCCAGGAACTTCCCAAACAGTGTAAGTATATGGAGGATATGAACACCGACATGAAATTTAATATAATAAATACAAACTTGTAAGAATCACTAACACAAAAAGGTGATCTAATCAACTTAATCTGCAACACTGCACACTTTGATATTAAAATGGGAAACTGTGTTTCAAAATCTCTTTAGGTTAATGAATCTGTCAAAAAAAGAAAACAGACAACATACACGACAATCGTGATCATTGACATTGACTCCCTCGGCCAGGAGCAGATCTATCCTTCAGCTGTAAGTGAAGCCTGACCAGTTCCTAATAATAGCACAGCATCTGATAGTCAGGTTACCAGGATGACAGGATAGTGATATTATCATTTTCTATGCCTTGTGGCTTCATTATACAAACTGAGGACAGGCACAGTTAGACTGACTCTGAAGTAAACAGTCAAGTTACCCCATTGGTTGGTGAGTCGATTGTTGCTCCAGCTGTGAGTAAAGCCTGTACAGTTCCTGTGTGGCCGTGCCTGGATGCAAGGTGGAGAGCAGTCCATCCCTGTACAGAGACAAGAGTAGAGGAGCTTCATGTAAGATAAGGGGTTCAGACATGTACTCGTACCAACGGTGATCTTTGCAGCCTTCCAGGAACTTCCCGTATAGTGTAAGAACATGGAGAAAATTGTTGAAGATGCACTTACTAATAGATATAAACAGTGACTTGAACTTTATGTAAGGAAAGCTTGAAAGAATCAGTAGCACAAAGAGGTGTTGTGATGTAAAGATCAACTTCATCTGTTTAAACACTCCACAGTGTTTCAAAATCCTTTCATGAATTTGTTATATACAATATAATTAATGTTAAGTAATAACTTACACTGTTGTCGGCAGCATTGACCTTGACTCCCTCGGCCAGGAGCTGTTTAACTCTGTCCTCCTCACCTCGCCCGGCGGCTTCTCTCAGCTCCTGTACAACAGAAACATCCAGACATCATGAAACTACTTTGAAGAAACCGGAGCATGAAAAGAGCTTGAGACTTAATAGTTCTTGTACAACATAAACATCAAGAGCTTTAATGGTTCAAGACTTAGTAGTCTTATTCTATATATTCATGTGACAATTCTCAACATCCAACACGTCATTTACAACATAGTCGGAGCAAAGGTCAAGGTATTAATACCTTTCAAAAAAATTGTTTGTTTGTTTGTTGGTGGTGGAAAAAGTTGGATAATTGACCTGCTCATCATACTTCAGGGTTTCTACTGGTTCAGGGTGCATTTTTCTACTTGGTGCAGTCATGCTAGTTATTATAAAGCCATGTTTGTTCTTGCTGACTGTGGACTTGAGAAGAAGAGTTTCACCAACCTTTTCTTTCTTCTCCATGAGTTTTTCTGCTACAGTAGTTCTGCTGTTGTGAAACACACCTGTGTATCCTGGTGATGTCCTAAGTCTGCTGGGCCAGATTCAGTCCATTCTAATGCAGTTTTCCTGCATTCTGTGTAAAAGAGGTCAGACAAACAGTTATGTAGTTACCGCTCCATCCGCCATTTTGGTTACAAGGTCAGAAGGTCACAGGTGCTTTTGTTGGGCACAGGTACCGTTACCGTAACAAGGCAAACAACACAGTGTCGGCTCCTTTTATTTGCTGTTCACAGCAAAATGAACAATGTGGAAATGTGTCCCTGAGATGGATACTAGACTAAGTATTGTTTGTAATGTTTCTTATATCAGTAACTAAGTTGAGTTAACCACCAGTGTCAGGGCAACACAACACAGCAAGCGTCACACACGGACTCCCTGTGTGTATATCAACACACAGCAGCAAACAATGCACCCAGCTTCAGTTTAACAATTACAACAACAGAGTCAGACCTGTTCACATTTTATGGTAACTGTATAATGTACTGAAAAACACCTGTAGTTAGTTATGAAAGGTGGAATGGTGTGAAGTTATACTACATGAATTACACAAGCTTACTCGGATGTCACTTTTATAAATAGTTTTATGGCAGAAACAAATTTTATTTCATACCTTTGAAAGGCTTTAACATCTAAGTCAATGTAAAATATTTTTCTCATTATTGTAGTGAGAGCCTGACCTTAATAACCTATAATAAATACATAAAATGGTGTAAAAATCAGGCTTATGCAAGTTGTTGACATTCCTGAATAAGAATGATTATAGAGGGGAACTTTATTGCACGACAATTGCACATGGTACAATGTATGGCAAACTACAGAGTAACAACAATAAAATAAGTGTGTTGCATAAGACCTAATGTCGAATAAAACCTAACATATCTATATCATAATTATTCAAATAATAAGGGATATCACAAGTCTTTGATATAGTGTTACAATCGGGTGGGCTAATCACAAGTTTTGGCATTTTTTCTAGTAGCAAAGCATTCCTTTATATATCTATTTTTGCGTTGTGGGGACCATTACTTGTAAAGATATATTCAAATCTGTCTCCAACAACGAGACTCTTAAAATCTATGGTACTTGATTCGAGAAATGTAAATAGCTTGTTATGTATAACATCATATTTGGTACATTCCATAACAAAATGAAATTCATTTTCTACATGCTTTGGACAAAATGGACATAACCTTTGGTCAGGGATTATATGAAGCCCAGTTTTATTTCATACTATTGAAAGGCTTTAGCATGTAAGTGAACCTGAGGATAATGAGTAATGTAAAATGGTGTAAAAATAAGGCTTATGGAAGTTATTGACATTTCTGAGCAAGAATGATTAATTTAAAAAAAAGAAAAGCCAAGAAAGCTCTGTGCAGCCCAGCTCTCAATAACTGAAAAATTCCTCCACTGTTGACAGGGAAAAGGTTAACTTGTCAATACCCTTTTCTCAATTTTACGGTATCTCACAGTAAGGCCACACCAATTTAATTTCTTGGTTAACGGATTTTTCTAGAAAAATAATGGAGCGAGCGGGCGAAAAAAATAAAAATAGGCCTAGGCATCCTATTATGGCCCAAAATGGTACGATAGGAGCCATGAAGTCAACACACCAGGCTGGTTCAAAATTTAAACAATGAATTTTGAACTTTTAATGATACCACTGCATTGAAAGATGGAATGACTGTAACAAGTAGTAAGAAAGGGACAGTTTTCAACTGTTCAGGGCAAAATATGAGCATTTTGCAGTTGATTCTGAATTTTTATTTTTATTTGCAAATCAGAAAAAAATGAAGCGGGCAAACCCGTTAACCAAGAAATTAAATTGGTGTGGCCTTACAGTATTTTTGTTTTTTCGGCATCAGTAGAAAGACTGAACAAACAACACAACATACACAGCTCCTACACGGTGCAACATCGATTATGATACTCTGTCTGAACTGTAGTTCTGTACAAGTGGGGGGGGGGGTTGGTACACGCCCACACTTTCGTATTTCTATGATAAAACTGAAGATTTCTTCCCTCAATACCCACAGGGCCCGTCTTTAAGACTAGAATGGAGATCAAAGGTGGTACAACATTCTGAGTTTTTAGGTTCCAGAAGTATATATATATGAATTGAAGCTCCTTGGTTTAGGTCTAAGGTGTTTAACGTTAAAAGTGCTCCGAAGTTACCTTGCACGAGACCCTGGATCTATCTACATTCTCTCAAGACTTTTCTGACTTACCTTTAAGTGTTCTAGGGAAGATTTTGAAGTTCTTCTGGTCTGGAGAAACCGCCACAAGGCAAGAAGTTCCTCTTTTCAAACCGTGGTTACTTCCGGGTTGGTCACGTGACGGCCACTCCCTCCAGGTGAGCTGCAGTACCCAGATCGGCGCCAGGCGACGTTTTTGCACACAGGGTTCACAACTTCACAATTTAAAATCATATACCTACATAAATAAAGCTAGAATATCATGTGGATTATCCTGTTAATCAATAAAGAAGGTGGCTAAGGACAGACCCAGATGTAAGGAGAAAGTCATGGCCTTATGTCTGACAAGGGATGTGGTGGTCTTATATGAATAAAAGAGTGACTAAATGTCAAGCTTTGTCTAGGTGTCTTGCATTTATGAACCCGGGCTAGCCACTATAGGCTTATGAGACACATCATCATCTAAAAATACAGAATAATGAAATTATACATAAATCAAGAGAACAGATGTTAAGATTGACAAAACCAACCAATACTCATCAATATATAATTATACTTATGTGGGAAAATGTGTGTAAAATACATGCACATCCCTGAAGGAAGGAATAATATATCAGATGAAGGTTTTGTCATCCAACCATTTGGAACTATTACAAAGTGTCCTCCATAGAACTTCTCAACTTACAACATAGTCGTTGGAAAAGGTGCCAATAATAATACTGTCAAAGATGTTGTGTTATACATGGTGAAGTACATCATACCATACACAAATAAATTGTGACTTAACTTATCATATCAACAAGGTGGTGCATAGGACAAATATTAACATCCGAATGATTTGACTCTGGTACCAAATGTGCTGTACATTTACAACTCTTCAATTGGTTAGTTCCAATGGAATGTATAGCAATGCTGAACTGGGAGATGGACATGAAAATAACTCTGAAGTCAGATTCAAGTTTTCCTTTTAACCTCCTCTCCAAATTCTCACTAGAAATGACAGAAAACTGTGGAAATGGTGTAACCAGGATTTCAGCACCAAGGACAAACTACATTTAGTGAGCTAACTTTTCTAAAACTCACACCAGATCCAAAATTGGACAAAATAACATTAAAATTGATTCAGTTTTACTTATCATGAGTTACATTACCCAATCAGAAAGTTGACATCTCTTGATTGACACATACTTGCTGACCAATCAGAAAGTAATATATCATGACTGACACATAGAAATGCAATGCAAATGCAGTATGGAAATAATTCATGTATTAGATTATTATGTAATCACAGCATTGTCCAATCTTGCTTGCCATATTAATCACTAGTGCAATCAGCGCAGGGGCCAGTCTATGATGCTGTTGTATGTACTACTACTAGTATTGTGCATTACAGGGGTAAAGCCATAATAAAGTAGTCATACTTAATGATTCACAAAATACCAGTCACAAAATATCAGTTTAATTCTTGTTTTCGTAGTTGGAACACAGCAGCAACAAAGGCAACCCTCAGCACATTATTTAAAGCTTAATGATATTCAAGACACACATAGAAATGGTTTGTAGAGTTATGCTGTATCAATGAATGGTAGGATTAGAATTATAAATGTTGCAATTGATATTGTAAAAAGATCAAATAACATCAATAAAACATCTAGATATAGTTAGGCTTTGAATGAATGTTGCATGTTAACTAACATTCCGTAGTTTTCATTCTAAGCCTGGATAGTGAGTGATATTATACATATAAACCTGTGATCTCTTGACATTCCTTGTTATTATGCTGTAAGGGTTGCGCAGCTTCAGTGAAGACAGTTCAGTTATATAACCTCATTATGTGTGCAAAGTACATCCACGGGGCCATAACGTTTCCAAGGCACAAGTGTTTTTATTCCGATTTTAAGAAAACATGACACAGCAAAAGTACAGCATGCAAGTACATGTATACATGTAGATGGCATCGTTTGATCTGGGGCAAAAGCATCAGGTGTGGATTAATGTTAAAAGTGTTTGTTGACCTTTGCCTTCACTTTTACAACTAATTTGGCAAAACATGTAACAGCTTACACATATCACTTGAATGTAAAAAAATCAATCAGCTCAAACATCTGCCTATATATTATCTTATACAATTCAGTCTACTGATAATTACATGTGTCAAAAACAATCAATTCTTTCTAAAATCTGCTGTATCAAATCCTAATGGTTTTAAAACACACTCGTATGAGCTGGAGCTTCATCAACAAAATTATGTCATCTATCTTTTCAAAAAACATCAAAGACATGTATACAATTCAGTCTACGCCAGAAAATCACAACAGAGTCAAGTACAGTCAACTCTAAAATATGTTGTATCGAATATACAGTCATGTACTATCAGTTCTAAAACACACAGACAAACATCATTAAAACATAATATATACTGTACATTGTATATAAAATCCAATCTAACCCTAAATCTTACAATTTCAAGTCAAATCCAATCACATCATGCGAAGCAGGTGGCAGCATCAACTTTAACCAAATGGAAAATCTTCTGTATCAAATCCTGACACTTCTAGAACATACAGTAGTATGAAATCTAATGTTGCATAACAATAACATAAGAGGTTATAAGTACAAGAGTGTGTTAAGATATATTGTGTAGAATCTTAGGCCACACCGATTTATTTTTATGGATGACATCCGCGCGCGCATTGATTTTCGCCCGATCTCAAAAAAAAAAAAAAGAAAGATCACGTATTCCGAGGCTCTGGCCTGGCTTTAGGCCTGGGTAGTGCATGGTGGTCATAACTCTGGTTGACGGCAGCCAGGCTACCGAAGCTCCAAGACTCAAGAACTCAGTACATACGTACAGCAGTATCGATTCATATATTCCGCAAAAATCCAGCATGTGTCGGCCTGTCGTATACGTCGCTATGTAATGCGCCAAATTCACAATACCAGGTTTGTATTTCTGTGGTTTTGTAGCATTTTTATTTTTGGCCGGATTTTTATTTTTTTCGCCTGCGCGCACTAGTTTGGGGGTCTTCAGAGGATGTCATCCATAAAATTAAATCGGTGTGGCCTTATAAAGTAAGAAATGTTGATTGTTCTCAAAGTGGGGATACCTGTTCATGATTCAGCACGAGTGACATAAGGATCCAGATTCGAATCAAGTACAAATTGTGGGTTCTGGTGGCCAAAACTTTAAGATTTAAGGCCAGTGAAATCAAGTCAGATTGTGACCTGAGTTATGGGTGAAATTCTGTGGTTAAAATCTCAGCCCTCTAGGCCAAAGGTTTGGAGGAGCTTGCTGTGTGATGCAGCCCAGTACTCTGAGTCCAGAAGCTTCTGCTTCAAACTTTGTGCTGCTTGAAACTCCCTTCTTCCATCCTGCAGTATGTCGATGACACGATCAGCCAACGTTTGGGCAGCTTTGTCACCATCCTCATCGATCTTAACGATCGTGCGGTCGAACTCGGGGTCTTGCTTCTTCAGGAACTCTGCAAGACCAGATTTGTTGGAAATCACAACTGGCACCCCTGCGGCGATGGCCTCCAGACCAATCAGTCCGAATGGCTCTGCACGAGACGGCATCAGGACGACATCGGCCTTTCCCATGTCCTCACACAGCTCTTCCTGTGTGGCGTACTCCAGGGGAGTGAAGAAGACGATGTTACGCGTATTGGCTTCAATGATGCTCCTGCTTGCTTGAAAATCGTCACGTCTGATGCCTCGAAGTCGCCACTTTGTGTGGGGTAGTTTGTTGATCACCATGCCCATGGTCTCCGCAGACAGATCAACGCCTTTCAGCCTCTCCACACCCTTGACCCTGCCGATGGACAGCACCACTTTTGTTTTTGTGTCAACGGGTGGCTTCAGTTTCATATCGATGAAGATGTCAGAAGGCTTTGGCAGGAGCTCGTGATGTTTAAGTGTTAGCTGCTTTGTCTGATGCCTGTAGTAGTCATACATCAATGGACCAACCGAGAAGATGACATCAGCATGTCGTAGGTCATCCAGAATGTTACCGATCTCCTCTTCAATTTTCAACACCTTCTCATCATCCTTGTACTGACTGGTGTCTTCTGGCATCACGTGAGTGACCTGAATGACTTTGGCGTCAGGAAAGCGTTCCTTGATCCGTCTTGCTGCGTGGCTTGTGACGTGTACGTGGCCCACAATGAAGTCTACGTGTGAGGGAAGGTCTGGATATCTGGTCTGGTGGTCAAAGGTCAGCCAGGAGAGCTCTTCCTTTCTCAGATCACGTTTAAACCTTTCTGGGAAAACCAGCTGAATTCCATCCTCATCCGCGTCTTCCTTGTCTTGTTGTGTGGCATTCAGGACTGTGCAAAGGACCTTTGCTCCTTTTGAAGCCAGAAAGCACCCCATCTGTCGGTTGACTGTGGATATACCACCCTTGCTGGTCCCATACTCATCATTGAGCAGCAGCACCAAAGGCCTTCTTCCAGATCCTAGAAATCAGGTCAAAAACAAGAAAACACTCACTTACCTGGTCACCTGAAATTGCTTTATTTACACGTATGTCAAAAACCATCTTGTGAAGCTAATACTAACGTAAACCATTTCAAAGTATTTGAATGTATAGATGTGGAGAAAATATCAGGATTTTTTAAATTTGTAAAAAGTACAAGCTGCAGGTAGTTGGCAACATCCTATTGTGTGTGAGAGCTTTACATCAACTGAAGTATCTATATCAGCAGCCATTTAGCATCTTGCATATATTACAGAATATCTTAAATTTGAATACTGACTGTGGCTGAGAGCTGCCTATATTTGACTCAGTAAGTTTTAAGCTGCCTGGTGTTTTTGTTAATCCCTGTATTTTCCTATCATTCTTTTTGATCAATGTTGTAAAAAAAATTCTACTGCCAGTAAACAAAAAAAAAACAGAAGGCAAGGAGACTGTACCAGGTTGCTCGGCTCCATCTTGACTTGTTGACTTCTGGCTGCCTTGTAGTTTTTCCACCAGAGCTTTCAAACTTTGGTTTTCCTCCATCAGCTGTGCCAGCTGCTCCTCCTGACGCCCCTCACCAGAAGACCCTCCGGCTGCCGGGCGCTTGGCTGGTGGCCCGCCTGATGTATCTGCTGGCCGCTTAACTGGCTGGGCCTGTAAAAGCAAGCAAATTGGAACTTTTTAGCAATACATGTAGGTAGATATAGAAAAATATGGTAAATTGTACACGTTGAAGCCAACTTGGTGCCAATACCTTAACCATGCCTGCCTCCTTTGCCAGACGGTCCATACCAAAGTCACTCAGCTCCTGCTGAAGCTTGTCCATGGACGCTTCACTGTCTGTCTCCATCCACTTCAACAGCACCTTGTTGGCCTGAGACCTTGCCGTTTGGGTCTTTGAAGCCTAACAGTAGAAGGGTAAAAATACAATGACGCAAGGATTGTTGTGTTTTGTAGAAAGTATAACACTTACCGACTAGTAGTAGCAACATTCATACACATCAAGTGTATAGAATATACTCTCAAAAACAATCATAGCCACCTTTCAGACTCAAACAAAACATTCATCAAATGTTATCAGAACCAAAATATTTACTTGGATAATGTTCAGCTCATCTGCAGAAAGCCCAAGTGCTCCGGCCAGATCCTCCACCTCGTGTGTTTTGGTCACGTTTTGCGAGAAACGGGAGAAGAGCTTCCTCAGCTCTTTATCTATAATAGAAGAAACATTGACATTATTTGTGATGCATTGTTGGCATCCTTTCGTCTCTTGAGACGATGGAGTATGCGCCGTGGTTCAGGATGTCTTCATGCATTGCCTGTTGTGATGCATTATAACTGCAATAACATACATTTCAATTTTAAAAATTATTTTAAAAGTATGCAGTATAGAGTGGATAACTTTTGATTTTAAGCAAAATTCATGATCTAAGTGATAAAAAATCATATCATGTACACCCACATGACTGTTTACACACAGTGCAATCTTCATGTTTTTTTAGTCTCTTGATCTTATCGATATTGAGGCACATCGATAACTGCTGGTTCTGCAGCAAAAATATATGTACCTACAAATGCTGCCAGAGGCACATCAATCTTTAATAATAAATAATCTTGCCTTTCCCCTCGGTACATACCTTCCTTTTTCTTTAGCTCTGTTCTGACGAAGTCCATGATGGCAGCTGTGCCTTTCTCACAGACATCAGGAGGGGGATATGTCAGGGGGTTGTCTTTCATGTTCATCTCCACAAGTCGGGCCATTCGGCTCAGAGTCAGGGGAAGGCGGGAAATCCTGTTATCTGACAAGTGGAGCTGCCTGATGTTGGACAGGTTCATGATTTGTTCAGGAACTGATGTGAATCTGTTTCCAGCAATGTTTAGCTCCAACAGTTCTGACAGTTCCCCAACACCATCCGGCAGTGACTCCAGGCCACTCTCCCGAAGATCTAAGACTTGTAGGTTCTTCAGTCTGCCGATGTCTTCAGGTACAAGTGAAGGTTTGCCCTCCCCAGCCCAGTTCCCCATGTATAGCTTCTCCAGACCCTCCAGCTGCAGCACCTGTCTGGGGAACTCATCAAACTGACAATTACTGATATAAAGCCACGTCAGTCCTGTGAGCTTAGATATCTTGTCAGGGAGACACTTGAGGGGGTTGCCACTGATGTCCAAGACCTGAAGGTGAAGAAGTGAACAGACTTCTTCTGGTATCTCTTTGAATACATTGTTCCAGATGTTGAGATACTGAAGTTGTTTTAACCTGGAGAATCCATCAGGCAATGTCTCCAACTTGTTGTGTGACAAGTCCATGTGCTGTAGGTTAGGTAACGTGGTGATTGTTTGGGGCACTTGTGTCAGCAGGTTGTTGTCAAGTTTAAGTTCACGAAGCTTCTGTAGTTGCCCTATCTCCTCAGGTATGCTCTTCAGCCTGTTGTCAGACAGGACAAGACGTTCGACATCTCTGTTGTCAAACACCTCGGCTGGCACGGAGGTCAGTCCTTTGTCACGGAGGTTGATAGTGAGCAAGCCATCAACCACTTTAGGTTGGAGAGCTAAAAAAGTTGGAAAGAAATTTCTTTCAAATAAACTTTACAGGTTTTAGTGGATGCAGAAAAGATTTCAAAGCACATGTGACGGTATTGATACTAGTTATTATATATATGTGTGTGTGTGTGTGTGTGTGTGTGTGTGTGTATACAACTTCACTAGAAAGCAGATAAAGAACAGAGATAGAATACAGAATAATATATTATTGCAACATGATCCTACCTTAGTTATTAAACAATATAATGCAACATACTAGTGATCGAGAGAGTGGGGGGGGGAGAGTAACTGAGAGAGGGGGGGAGAACAAAAAGAGAGAAAATGTTATGACATCATCATGACATTTACACAGAACAGGATAACTGTACTCCTCTATCAGAAACCATCAGTTTGCAATGGAAAATACATCACCAGACAGCGCTGTTGAGATGCTTCGTCTGCCCTGATGTCTTACCCTGCAGGAAACAACAGGATTTCAACAGTTTGAATTTTATAATTCTATACCATGCTTTAGGCAAATTAGAACAAAATGTATAACAAGTGTAACAAGTGTTTGACATGATATGTACCAGTAATGCAGTAGTTACAAGCCACATGTTTTACTACCAGTAATGAATGTATTTTGGGCTTACTTTGAACAACTGGAACACCTGCTGCACATCCTCTTGTACTGCAACTTCTTCTGCTGACTCCTTATCCTGTAGGTTAAGTCAACACAAAGTCTTACAGGGTATGCCTGGAAAGCAGTGCGTATAGCAATGAGTTGTCCACCCTGTCTAAATAAAACAGATATAAATCAATGAACACATCCATGAGCCTGCATCCATGAAGCCAACAACACTAAACAATGATCGTAACATATTGATGCTTGCCTTTTTTATGTTTTTGTTGCAAAAAAAGGAGTTTGTCATAAGATGATGTTATTTATTCTCTTGATTTATCTCAGAATGACTACTATGTCAGCTACATTGTAAGTCTAAAATACAACATCTAACAACATAATGCAGCATGAAACAGTTAGATACACGTTAGTGATGTCCCCTTCCTCAGTGCCAATGATTGTTATGTGACATGTGATAATGTCCAAAACACAGTCACTTACATCGTTCCTTATGACAGTGTTGGCTCCAGCCCTCAGCAGTACTCTGACACACTCGGGGTGTCCTCTCCTTGCTGCTGCATGAAGGGGAGTCTCATTCTGTAGTACAGCAAATTTTGAGATGGTCAAATTTTAAGGCTCTGCACACTGAACATAACAGTCTGCCCATGTAAGGCCACACCGATTTAATTTTATAGATGACATCCTCTGAAGACCCCCAAACTAGTGCGCGCGGGCGAATAAAAAAAAATTCCGGCCAAAAAATAAAAATGCTACCAAACCAGTGGGGAATACAAAGCTGGTATTGTGAATTTGCGGCAGTACATAGCGACATATACGACAAGCCGGCACAACCTGGCTTTTTGCGGCATTTATGAATCGGTACTGTACTTATGTACTGAGTTCTTGAGTCGAGCTTCGAATTCGATAGCCTAGGTGCCCGGCTCAGTTTTGTCGCTGACTACCTTGGACTACCCATGCCTAGAGCCAGGTCAGAGCCTCGGTGGAGGTGATCTTTTTTTATATTTCAGTCCATACCAATTGGTATGGATGAAATATATTGTGTTCTCTCATGTTTCTCCTTCTTCTTCTTCTCCTGCCAAACAGTCAAAGGGATTCAACTCCACCATCATTCAGCCAAATGACTTGAAATTTGGCATGGAGGTAGAGTGGGCCAATACCCCCAGGCGTTTTTTTCATTTTTTTGATACATGCCTTAGAAAAATTTTTATGAAGGTTTTTTGGGGCGTTTTTTGACAAAAAATGGATTTTTGGATCCTGAGCCCTGGTTTTACAACCAAATGATCTGAAATTCGGTATAAGGGTACCTTGAACATGTGTCTACAGAATAGCAGTCACATATTTGGCATACACTACTTCCAAATGACTCATTTGGAGGAGTTTAATGGCTATTTTCAGCAAAAAAAGGGCCAAAAGTGCTATACCCGTTCCATGTTCTATCTAAAGAATGGCTCGTTCCATCTGCCGTTGGCCATGGAACATGTGTTCCATTGCGGGTTACCTGAGGTCACATTGCATGTAAGTCGTGCGCAATGACCCACACATTCAATTTTATGTGCCTAAGACCTTCAAAATGTATCAAATCTCATCATTGTTAGTATTTTCATACCTGTAATAAGACTAGTAAAGCTTTCGAGATTCAATAAGACTCAGTTACATAGCTACTATATAATTCATTTATTTGAGAGTCTTTGCCAGTTTTGCACTGGGGTAAGTTTGGAATAGTCCACTTTTGCGTGGGAGGGAAATGGACTGAAATATGCTGTATTTGCTCCCAAGCAAATGTCGGCCTCTCTAGTTTTTTTTTTTTGAGGGCGACGGGAAAATCAATGCGCGCGCGGATGTCATCCATAAAATTAAGTCGGTGTGGCCTAACCAAATGACTACACAGGCCCCTTTTAAGTCCCCCACAGAAGTCCTGGTTCAAAAATTTAACCTGAAAGTTGGGCCAACACAAGGCAAGTAGCACAAGTGAGGCTCCAACCAATACATGTGGCTTGTATCAATGTAGCCTTCAGCTGTAAGTGAAGCCTGTACAACAGTAACTGTGAATCAGTAGACTACAGCATGCCCTGATAGGACACCGGGATGATTATCATTTTCTATGCCTTGTGGTTTCCTTCAAAATACAAACTAAGGACAGGCACTGTGAGTTAGACAGACTCTGATGTAAACAGCAAAGTTACCAAGTCGCTTCGTGCATCGATTGTTGCTCCAGCTGTGAGTAAAGCCTGTACAGTTCCTGTGTGGCCGTGCTCGGATGCACAGTGGAGAGCAGTCCCTCCCTGTACAGAGACAAGAGTAGAGGAGCTCCATGTAAGACATGTCTTGTACCAACCATGACTTCTGCAGAACTTCCAGTATAGTGTAAGAACATGGATGACATGAAGAAGGTCAAGATCTGATGGTGATCTGATGTAAAGATCAAGGTCATCTGTAAACATCTTTTCTTTAATGATGAAAGGAAAACTAAGTTTCATAAAGTCACTTGACAACTTCATAAAGAATGTTGCCATTAACATTTAGTAATAGGTGACTAAGTGTTTGACAATCGTTCATATAAAGCCCGTACAGTATACTATGAACAAAGTAAAATAAAAACAAACAAACAAACAAACGATTCCTATGAGTATAGCACAGTACCTGACAGTCATGACATCAGTGGCTTTATTATTTACTAGTATCATTGATACAAAGTCAGGACAGGCACAGTTAGACAGACTCTTACTGTAAGTAAACTGTTACAGCAAAGTTACCCAGTAGTTTCGTGCGTCGACTGTTGCTCCAGCTGTGAGTAAAGCCTGTACAGTTCCTGTGTGGCCGTACCTGGATGCAGAGTGGAGAGCAGTCCATTCCTGTACAGACACAAGAGTAGAGGAGCTTCATGTAAGATTAGGGTTCAGACATGTACTTGTACCAACAATGACTTCTGCAGCCTTCCAGGAACTTCCCGTATAGTGTAAGTACATGGAGAAAATTGTTCAAGATGCACTTACTAATAGATATAAACAGTGGCTTGAACTTTATATAACTTATTTATAAGGAAAGCTTGAAAGAATCAGTAGCACAAAGAGGTGTTGTGATGTAAAGATCAACTTCATCTGTTTAAACACTCCACAGTGTTTCAAAATCCTTTCATGAATTTGTTGTATACAATATAATTAATGTTATATAATAACTTACGCTGTTGTCGGCAGCATTGACATTGACTCCCTCGGCCAGGAGCTGTTTAACTCTGTCCTCCTCACCTCGCCCGGCAGCTTTTCTCAGCTCCTGTACAACAGAAACATCCAGACATCATGAAACTACTTTGAAGAAACCGGAGCATGAAAAGAGCTTTAAGTGCTTGAGACTTAATAGTTCCTGTACAACATAAACATCGAAGAGCTTATATAAATTAATGGTTCAAGACTTAAGAGTGATCTTATTCTATATATTCATGTGACGATTCTCAACATCCAACACGTCATTTACAACTAAGTCAGAGCAAAGGTCAAGGTATAATACCTTTCAAAAAATTTTTTTTGTTTGTTGGTGGTGGAAAAAGTTGGACAATTGACCTGCTCATTATACTTCAGGGTTTCTACTGGTTCAGGGTGCATTTTTCTACTTTGTGCAGTCAGGCTAGTTAAGCTATGTTTGTTCTTGCTGACTGTAGACTTGAGAAGAAGAGTTTCACCAACCTGTTCTTTCTTCTCCATGAGTTTTTTTGCCGTAGTTCTACTGTTGTGAAACACACTGATGTATCCTGGTGATGTCCTAAGTCTGCTGGGCCAGATTTAGTCCATTCTGATGCAGTTTTCCTGCATTCTATATAAGGCCACAGCAAGTAAATTTTATGGATGACATCCTCTGCAGACTCCAAATCTAATGGGAGCGGGCGAAAAAAAAAACAAGGCGGGCCGAAAAAAACAAGGTTCCTACATTTTTAAATTTTGACTCAATCATTCTACAGATGGTTTTGATTCAGTGGGAACATCACATATACACAGCCAGCATCACATATCACTGCATCAAAGTAAGAAATAAAACATGAAATCAAAGCATTTTCTTGTCTCCTCTCTTCATAGTTATCTGCCATCCACCTTTCGGCATGGCAACAGACATCTTTGCCGAATTCGGCATGTTGACCACTGTCAGAAGGCAACAAAATTTCTTGTTTTTTTTTCTTCAAAATCAGGCGAAAATTAATGCGCGCGCCGATGTCATCCATAAAAATTACTTGCTGTGGCCTAAAAGGGTAAGATCACACCAGCAGTTATGGCCGCAGAACACAGTATTAATGGGCGACCCCCGGGGTCTATGACGCGGGTATAGAAAGTAGTGCAGACAAACCTCTTGCATCCTGGCCAGAGTGACTTATGTCAGAGGCAGCCATGAATGAACTGTGCTGTGTGGCATAGAAAGATATTGGCTTGTACACCGTATGATTTGGATTGGGAAGATTTCCCTGTTCGTGTATAAATGCGCGGCATTACATGTACGCAACCACGTTCCAGGGTGAGCCGACTGCAGTTCCGTTGACCCCGGTAGAGGGCCAAATCAAAGTGGTCGTCATTATGTAAAAAAACGATAGCTTTTTTTGGTTTTCAGTTATTTTGTAGAATATACCGTATATTTCAACATATTAGTTGGTCGTGATTCTCTAGTGCACCCTACTATAATTTTTATTGCGTCGAAGTGAGTCACCTCGGGTTGCTTAACTATAGGAATCCCCATAGGGCGAAAACTGTGTTCTGCCACCTTATGTAGTTACCGCTCCATCCGCCATTTTGGTTACAAGGTCAGAAGGTCACAGGTGCTTTTGTTGGGCACAGGTACCGTAACAAGGCAAACAACACAGTGTCGGCTCCTTTTGATTCGCTGTTCACAACAAAATGAACAAAATAAAGGAAATGTGGAAATGTGTCCCTTGTTTCTGATGTTTCTTATAAGTTGAGAAACTGCTAGCTTCAGTAACAGTCCCAAGGGCAACACAACACAGCAGGCGTCACGCATGCATGGACTCCCTGTGTGTGTATCAACACACATTAGCAGCAAACAATGTACCCAGATTCAGTTACAATAAGTCAAACTGGTTCATGTTTAACGTTTAATGGTTGTACTAAAAAAACACCTGGTGGAATGGTGTGAACTGCTTTAATAATACACAGTAAAGTAATACTACATGAATCACACAAGCTTGGATGTCACTTTTGTAAAGTTTTATGGCAGAAACATGTTTTATTTCATACTATTGAAAGGCTTTAGCATCTAAGTCAATCAAAAATCTTTTTCTCATTATTGTAGTGGAAGCCTGACCGAAACCTGAGGATAATAATGTAAAATGGTGTAAAAATATGGCTTTAAAGTTGTTGACATTTCTGAGCAAGAATGATTAAATTAAAAAAAGAATGGCCAAGATAACTTAAGCTCTGTGCAGCCCAGCTCTCAATAACAACATTTATCAACTGTTCACAGGGAACAGGTTAGCCGCGGCGACTGTTGCAGGGCTTCTCTTGCTTGCAGTCTTTTACATAGAAGCCCTGCAACATTCGCCGCGGCTAGGAACAGGTTAACTTGTCAATAGTATACCCTTTTCTCAATTTTACGGTATCTCACAGTAATTTAGTTCTTTGTAATAAGCGCTTTTTGTGTTTTAAAGCCTTCTCAATTCAGCCAAATATGGATGCTTACAGGCTTTTTTGTGTACTTGTATGGTACAAATAAACCAGTCTCTCTCTCTCTCTCTTTTTTGGCATCAGTAGAAAGGCTCAACAAACAGCACAACACCGCTCCTGCACTCCCGGTGGAACATGTGAGCTTACTAGTAACTGTATAACTCCGTGTGTACTGTAGTTCTGTACAACTACAAGTTTCAGGCAGGGGTGGGAGGGAAGGGGGGCTGGTACACGCCCACGCGTTCGTATTTCTTCCCTCAATAACCCCACAACCCGTATTCAAGATAAAATGTGGTACAAGAGTTTTTTTTTAGGTTCCAGTAGTTTACGTATTTTAAGCTGCTTGGTTCCAGAGTTCCAGTCTCTTTTTATAATACTTAAGTTTAAGCAATGGCGTTGTTTGAGGTGTTTAAAAGTGCCCCAAAGTTAAGAAGGAACCTTGCACGAGACCCTGAATCTACATCCCCTCAAGACTTTTCTGACTTACCTTAAAGTGTTCTAGGGAAGATTTTGAAGTTCTTTTGGCCTGTAGAAACCAACACGAGGGAAGAAGTTCCTCTTTTCTTTCCAAACCGTGCTTACTTCCGGGTTGGTCACGTGACGGCCACTCCCGGCAGGTGAGCTGTGCTGCAGTACCCAGATCGACGCCAGGCGGCGCTTGTGCGCAGAGGGTTCACAACGGTATCAAAATCATATGCGCGCAGAAATAAAGCTAGAATATCATCTTCTTACAGCCTCTTATGTTAATAAGGGAGTGGAGATGTTTCTAGTTTGTCTGTGTGCACATACATGTATGTCTCTGTGTGTCTACTAGTAATTGCCATACATTCATACAGTTGTGTCATTTCTCTGGGAAACTGGAAACACCATGCAAACCAGTGTGGCATCTCTGACTGCCTTATTGCCATGGTAACAGGTATGAAGTATTTGTGCCATGTTTCCAGCATAGAAGAACAAATATTTACATCCGATTCTGGTACCAAATGTGCTGTAAATTTACAACTCTTCAATGGAATAAATGAATAGCAATGCTGAACTGCAAGATCAAAATAAAAACTCTGTGTAGTCAGATTCAAATTTTCCTTCCAGACTACTTTCCAAATTTTCACCAGAAATGACAGAAAACTGAGGAAATGGTGTAACCATGATTTCAGCACCAAGGACAAACTCTTTGGCTACATTTAGAAATTTTCTAAAACTCTCACTAAACCCAAAATCGGACAAAACAAATGAAGTAAAAACTGTTTCAATGTCACTTAAGTTACATTAACCAATCAGAAACAACATGTGAGGGTGGTTGAAGGAAACCTCATTTTGTGTTCCTCTGTTGGAGACACAAAGAATGTGGCAGTGAACCTTCGTGATACCAACAATCCAGTCTCTAATTAATTTACGTGTGAGGATCATTGGATGTACCTTGAGTTATTAACCTTTGTCTTCACTTATATAACTAATGGTAGAAATTAATGAAAACTTCACTACTAGGTTTGCCATCTTTGATTGCCTTGTTGTCCCATCAACAGGCAAAAACTATTTCCCATCATTTTCCAGTTCTTGTAAAGAAGGTTTCTTAAAGACAACACTGACACATAATGCAATGTTTGCAAAAGTTCAGATGTATTCAAATTGATAAGGTGTAACATTAATTTAAAAATACTCCAGTTATTATGCTTCATTAAAATACTCCAGTTATTATGCTTCATTAAAATAACCCAGTTATCAAAATTCATTCTTGTGCTTACAACCAAATATTTACATCAGATGCTACAGTAGAATAAGATGTTGATGATTTTTACCTTGTATCTTTATACCAAGGACATTCTAAAATCTGATGCCAAAGTTTTCACAAGTTTTACACACATCTAGCCCCTATCAAACAAAATATTAGATGTCATTGTGTTTGACAGTTTGTCAAAGGTTACTTTGGTAAGTCACCTTTCTGGAAACATATGATGAAGTTGATTTAAAATTTACATTTTCCATGACAAACATCATTCTGTATGATATATCAACAATCAAAGTACTGAGCATATCCCTGTCTACACTGTACCTGCCCTACATACAGTATCCCTGCCTACCTACCTGAGCACATCATTGTAATAGAAATGAATATTGCATGTGAAGAGTTAATATTCCATATTACACATATGAACCAATGATACATTGTTCAGGCCTATATGGGGGCACACAGCTTTGGGCATACAGGCCCATTGCAGGGCCCTTGGGAAAGCACTTTACACCAAAGTCATCATTCTGGTAAAAATGGCTTACTAGGTTCTATAAGTCCTTAGATCTAGCTTCTAGTACATTGTATGTCCAATCCTCTGATCAGACGTAAAGCCTGGCGAAGGTTAACTTTTGTAACTCACATTATCTACATGGTGTTGAGCTGATCCACAGTGTCCTGTAGCCCTGTCTTAGTCAGAGCTTCCAGAAGTACCTGTAAAGTCGGCAGCGTTGCCTCTTCGTTTCCGCCACTGCTCCAACATGTCCATGCAACAGTCCTTGGCATCACGGTTGGCTTGCTTGTACTGAATCGCGTCGATGGCCGGTCGGGTGAATCCCAGGAGGTGAGCCAGGTTTATCCAGTCAGTGCTGACCTTCTCTTTGATGAAGAAGAAGTGTCTACTGACATCTGGTGGGGATGGAAGGAGAGGAAATTTGATATTTAGCTCAGTTATCGTGCCCTGCCAATTTGTATTTACTGGAACAAAAAATACCGGTATTTTACAAAATGAACTGGTTTACATGAGGCTTAATAATGATAGTACCATTTTGAAGAAATTTCATCGTTGAAAATAAAACAAAATGTACTACCACAGAAATGTAATTACGCTTTTCAACATTTGTGACCACCTACCTTCACTGTCGCTAGGTCCAGCTTCAGCTCCACCATCTACGATAAACAATGGAAGATAATTACATGTTTAGAGTTAAAACTTAAGATCCAACAGGCAACACAAACTAAAGTTTTAACTCTAAACATGTAACTACCAACACAAATGAACTTTCATGTTACTTTTAAATCATCAAGACGCAGTCATACATCAAGACCATATCAAAATTCTCTGCCTACATCATGAGTTATTTACTCTCTCTTCATAAAACATCTTTGAACAACTTTGTGCAGACAACATATATAAGTGAAAGGTTACTAGCTGTTCAAAATCAAAATGTGAAAATGTGTAAAGGACAAGAATGTTATACTTGAACAGGCGTGACTAAAATCTGAGGTGACCTTACATAAACGCCTTTTACAGCTGCAGACAACGTTGCTGTCCTCCGTCTCTGGATACAGCTGCAGGTTCAGCTGCACCCACCTACTATCCGGGTGTCTCTTGATATTCAGGTGGAACGACGGGTAGATCCTGTTGCTGTCCAGGGTGTCTTCATACTCCAGTCCGCTAGGAGGCTAAAACAGTAGTTTAAACACATATAATCAATGACTGATACTGACAATTAAATAAGAAGACATCTGATTTTATTCAACAGTCAGTAAAAACTTCACCCCAAACCTGAAAGACTTGTACGGGCTTGCTGTTGTGCACCTCAGCATGCTGAGGGGCAAAATGACAAGCCCAAACATGCACCTGTGCAAGCACATCTATACCCTCGATTCGGGGAATCAATAGACGTAAAACTCGGATAAGAAGAAGTTTGTCACGAAACATTGCTGGCCCACTATTTGATGAGCTGATGATGAACAATTCACTATCCTATCAAAACGCATTTTAGAAGAAAGTCGGCATTTCAATGTTTCTACAAACTTTTAGAAAGTAAAACACAACAACGACTCAGATGCTTCTTTGCAAATAGCCTTCGGTGAGGACAATTCAATAATATTTTTCATGACAATCACCCGGATGTGTAACAGCACTCATGCAACACTCCCACAACTCACCTCTGGGTCAGCAAGATCCAGGGTTGCATTTTCCACGGAAGCCTGCAGACAGTAAATCTGGTGATCCCTGAGGCCTGGGCAGGTGATGGAATCCCACCAGTAGAACTTTGGGTCAAGCTGCGACAAATATTCCTGCAATGCCTGAACTAATATATAATCATATTAGGGGATCACTGAATTTAATATTTCTTAGTGTGATAGTGAAACATCATACATACAGAAATCAATCTAGTGTGCTAGTCAGCATTAGCACTTAGTTTCTCTTTCTAAGTCTAGAAATCCACATAACAACTAAGGTGACAGTGACTTACCTTGACACTGTACTTAGTGTCTGAGACCATGAGAGCCTTCACCTCCACCGTGTCATGTGTCTGAGACGTTTTGAAGAGAGTGAGCAGGCCCCTCCTAGGCCAGATGAGGGCTCGAATTCTCTGCATCACAGGAGACCAGAAGCATCCGTTCCGATGCCTGGTGATGTAGTGTGTGGGCGTGACGTCTGCAGGATGAAGTGTCGTGTTTCCTGCCACAACATGCGCAGCTCTGACGTCATCCGGGGTTAGAGCTGTGGGGACAAGTGCAGTGATGGACATGATCTCATCAGGAAGAATTTCAGCGCTTTGCATCATGTGAAAAAACAACCAGGTTCTGTGGTCCAGAACCATGCTTAATCCAGAACCATGCACTGACAGTTGGGGATAGTCCATGCATCTCTAGGCAAACAAGTCTTAGAACTTCATCATCTCACCTACATTCTTGGGTACATGAAGATCCTAACCCCAATGAACTCAGGCATAGACCTAGACAGGCACAGTTCTGGAAACAATAGAGACTATCCTGAACAGTAAGTCCTAGTAACCCATTCTGGCATTCAGGAGTAGAACTACATGATTGCTTCTGGAGACAAAATGTCCTCACCACTTCCGTCCTGTGACAGGTCCAGGATGTGCGGCAGGAGGAGCTCCACAGGTACGTCGTCGCCATGGTTACACTGGATGTGGACGAGCGGACCAATCAGCTCCCAGTCCTCGCTCTCCGGCCAGTGTTCAGACGGGTTCACTGTCCTGTAGGTCAGCTGGACAGGGCAGGGGGTAACGACCCCCAGGTCGGTGTGTTTGCACAGGAACTTCCCCCGGCCAGGCAGTTGCACAGACCTAAAAATCAACAGAGTCAGTCATCAATACAACCAAGTTAGAACACAAACATGCCCACAGAATTCTTCTACACATGTACCAGTAGTCAACTCCTTTCATGTTAGTGAGTGCTACACTACAATTACCCTAGTTATATGCAATTTTCTAAATTTCTAAAAATAACAAAAAAAGAAATAAAGGTTGCCAGGTGACTTTCTGCACATAATTCTGAATCCTTGATATTATTTTGAAGAACCTGATCAACATTTTCCACTTTCACCAAATTTATAGACTAAAGCATATCTTCAAGAAAAACTATTATCTGATAAAAAAAAGAAAACAGCCTCACCATGTCGTGACTCCCTGCTCGTCCACAGAAGCATCAGGTTCAACCTCCACTTCCGGCATCTCCACTATGTAGTCCTAAAGGCAACAAAGATTGGAATCAAACTGTGTAGGAAATAAGGACATCTTAATAGACATCAATGTGCATCAGATAGATCTTAATTCTTAGGCCACAGCAAGTAAATTTTATGGATGACATCCTCCCCAGACTCCAAATCTAATGCGAGCGGGCGAAAAAAAAACAAGGCGGGCCGAAAAAACAAGGTTCCTACAGTTTAAAATTTGTACTCTATCAGTGTACAAATGGTTTTGATTCAGTGGGAACATCACATATACACAGTCAGCATCACATATCACTGCATCAAAGTAAGAAACAAACATTAAATCAGAGTCTGCTCTTGTCTCCTTTCTTTATAGTTATCTGCCATCCACCTTCCAGCATGGCAACAGACATCTTTGCACATCTCCGGCATGTTGACCACTGTCAGAGGGCAACAAAATTTCTTGTTTTTTTTTTTCCAAAATCAGGCGAAAATAATAATGCGCACGCGGATGTCATCCATAAAAATTACTTGCTGTGGCCTTAGTTTGTCTTCTGATATATCCCGTTTTTTCTAGGGTTGGCCGGAAAACAGGAAACACAACCTGAGGCCTTATCCTAACTCACAATGTCTAAGAGCTCAGTCCTGAAGTTCTAAGACTTGTTAACCTAACTTATCCTGTAGGAAGTCTTAAGTTTACAAATTGCTTAAGGCATCGGCCCTGCCCATGTGTTCTACAACTCCTTACCAATATGTACATGTACCTTGAAGGCAGTCTTCACAACATCTAAGAGATCAGGCCTGAACAAGTGTTCTAAGATCCATATTCACAATGTCTAATATCACCCCTGCCATTGTGTTCTATGACTCCTTAACCTAACTCACCTTGAACGCAGTCTTCACAACATCTAAGAGATCAGGCCTGTCCATGTCCTTTAAGACAGTCTCCAGCTGCTTCAGGTCGTGAGGCAGTCCGTGGCGCCCTCCCCACATCCAGACCTGCAGTACCTTGCAGGCCCGCTGGATGGCGCTGTTGTACTGTGCCTGTATGCTGTCCAGTCGCGGCTGTGGGATCCCCAGGCCAGCTCCCAGCCGCCGCCAGTCTGAACCCAGTCTGCAGCTCAGCTTCGTCAGCAGATGGCTTTCTGGAAAAGGAACAGGATTCAGGACTGACAGTTCTATGTTGTAGTAAGTACATTTGATTTGGGACATACAATACAATTGCCATAGGTAATGCAAAATAGAACATGCCAAAGTTAGATTTGCTGATCAAGCAGACATGCCACAATGTGTATATTGTCGTATGAACTGGAAGTGTAATTTCTCATTTTTTCACTCTTGCAGTCTTCTCCATAATTTCTATAAACTACATGTATCATTACTGTTAACAAATAATTTGACGACTTTCTTTGCACCTGCCAACATCATAATACTTCAGGCAGCTATAAGAACACACTTGCCTGCTGCAGTAGCCAGCTCGCTCTCCTCCACAGTCAGTTTGCTCTGCCTGCACTTCTCCAGGACGGTTTCTGTGAACATCAGGATGGTCTGTTCCAACACCTGCGTTGTCTGTTCATCAGCTGTGGACAGAGTTGGGAGACTAACAAGTCTGTACTACATTGGTGAGAACTTGAAAACATTTGTCCTATAGACTTTGATCAAAACAACTTGCATGCATCTTGAGTGTAAACCCTTACATCATGCAAGTCATAAATACCAACAATGCAGCTACAAACATTAAGTGTAGGGCTTGTACCAGGTTGTATCAACAACACAACTACAAAACAACTTATAACTCAGAGGCAAGTGGCAGCTGCCAGCAAGCCCCAGTTGTACAGTGCAAGCACGTCTAACCCTCGGAAGACGGGGAACGATAAACTAGACAGTGAGTGAGTGAGTGAATGAATGAAAGATTGAATGAGTCATTTTAAGTCAAATTCAATGAAAGCTGTACCATGTTCTCCTCCAAGAAGCACAACCTGACTTCTGAGTTTCTCGTTGTCCTGTAGAAGGTCGTCCACCCGTGTTGCCATGGCAACGTTAGCCTCCTGTAGCTGTTGTATTTCCAGCTTGTGGTCCAGCAGGACCTTCTGTGCCTGCTCCTCCTTGTCCCTAAGCCTGGTTACCTCTGCACGGAGACTGTGGACCATGGTTTCCTGCAACTCACTGTGATGCTGCATCTGTACAAGTTTCTGTTCTGCCTGTCTGATCTTCTCCTTGGTCTGCTGCTGAAAAAATATTGTTACAGTTAAAAATCCACTGCTACCTTTGTGGGAGGTAAATATGAGCTCAGGTATTCCATGCATTACTAGTAGAACACATTCTGTACTATCTATTAGCTACTCACACCACACATTAGGAATGCCAACTTGACCAACCTGGCTTGACATGGCCGCCTGTGTCTCACTGTGACGCTGTAGCTGTACAAGTTTCTGTTTTGCCTGTCTGATCTTCTCCTTGGTCTGCTGCTCCTCCTGATGCCCCTCACCAGAAGACCCTCCGGCTGCCAGGCGCTTGGCTGGTGGCCCGCCTGATGTATCTGCCGGCCGCTTGAGTCGTTCTGTCTGGAATAGAGAGGTTTGAATTACCATGAAAGGCAGTCTTTTCTACTCACAAATAAGATGATACCCTCTGAGCCTACTTGACTAAATGTTCACACAGTATCATGATAATGGCACATGTACATCGGTATGACCAAATACCTTGATCCGGCCTGCCTTCTGTGCCAGTTGGTCCATACCGATGTCACTCAGCTCCTGCTGAAGCTTGTCCATGGACGCTTCATGGTCTTTCTCCATCCACTTCAACAGCACATTGTTGGCCTGGTAACTCGGATTTGTCTTGTCTTTACCCTAGAGGCAGAATATCCACTTATATGCACTTATACTTTAAAAAATATATTTCATGTAGTATCAATCGATTGATCAACTGACCGACCGACTGACCAATCAATCAACCACTCAATCAATCAACCACTCAATCAATCAATCAATCAATCAAACTAAAATGATCCAATGATACAGTTGTAAATGTAACACACATGTATTTATTGAGATACCAGGAATCATTTTAAATTCTCTTATAACCACATATAATATTTGATTTTTCTCACCAGGATACTGGTTCTCTCATTTGCTGTAAGTCCAGCTATTGTGGCCAGAGCCTCCACCTCAACTCTTTGTGTCACGTTTTGTGAGAAACGGAAGAACAGTTTTCCCAAAAATTTCCCTGCAAGAAATAAAACATTGACATTGTTGATCAAACCAGTGGAAATCATAAAGTGCAAAAATTTCAAAAACTTGTTTTTCATTTCCCAGGATTGGATCTTTTATCTTTTTGGCCCAGTGCTTTAAAACAGACATTCAATAGTCAAAACTTCATGAACATTTTTTAAATTTTGCTTTTCTCCCAGTTTTCTCATACATACCTTCTTTTTCCCTCAGCTCTGTTCTGAGGAAGTCCATGATGGCGGCCGTGCCTTTCTTACAGACATCAGGAGGGGGATATGTCAGGGGGTTTCTTCTGATGTTCAAGTCCACAAGTTGGGCCAATTTGCTCAGAGTCAGGGGAAGGCGGGAAATCCTGTTATCTGACAAGTGGAGCTCCCTGATGTTGGACAGGTTCATGATTTGTTCAGGAACTGATGTGAATCTGTTTGCATTGATGTTTAGCTTCAACAGTTCTGACAGTTCCCCAACACCATCCGGCAGTGACTCCAGGCCACTATTTTGCAGATTTAAGACTAGTAGGTTCTTCAGTCTGCCGATGTCTTCAGGTACAAGTGAAGGTTTGCCCTCCCCAGCCCAGTTCCCCAAGTATAGCATCTCTAGACCCTCCAGCTGCAGCACCTGTCTGGGGAACTCATCAAACTGACAATTATCAATATCAAGCCTCGTCAGTCCTGTGAGCTGAGATATCTTGTCAGGGAGACACTTGAGGGGGTTGTCTCCCACGGTCAAAATCTGAAGTCGAGGAAGTGAACAGACTTCTTCTGGTATCTTTTTGAATACATTAGCCTGGATGTAGAGATACCGAAGTTGTTTTAACTTGGACAATCCATCGGGCAATGTCTCCAACTTGTTGTGTGACAAGTCAATGTGCTGTAGGTTAGGTAACGTGGTGATTGCCTGGGGCACTTGTGTCAGCAGGTTGTTGTCAAGTTTAAGTTCACGAAGCTTCTGTAGTTGCCCTATCTCCTCAGGTATGCTCTTCAGCCTGTTGTTAGACAGGACAAGACATTCGACATCTCTGATGTCAAACACCTTGGCTGGCACGGAGGTCAATCCTTTGTCACTGAGGTCGATAGTGAGCAAGTCATCAACCACTTTAGGTTGGAGAGCTGAAAAGTAGTAAAGAAATTTCTTTCAAACAAGCATTACAGGTTTTAGTGGATGCAGAAAAGATTTCTAACTACACGGTATTGATATTATAGCTAATATATGAAATATGTACATACTGTATGTACAAATTCACTAGAATGTAGATAAAGAACAGAGATTATATATATATAGAGAATAATTGAAAAATCTATTCATGGTCCTACCTTGGTTATTAAGGAATACAACACAACATACTGGTGATAGAGCAAGAAACTTAAACAAGAGAGAGAGGGGGGGGGTAGAAAAAAAGAGAAAAAATGTTATAATGATGATCAGCATCATGACATTTACATGGAACAGGATAACTGTACTCCTCTATCAGAAACCATCAGTTTGCAATGGAAAAATACATCACCAGACAGCACTGTTGAGATGCTTCGTCTGCCCTGATGTCTTACCCTGCAGGAAACAACAGGATTTCAACAGTTAGAACTTTACAAGTGATGCAAGTTGGTACAACAATTATGATATGTACCAGGTTAAATACAATAGGTGCATGCCACATGTTTTACTACCAGTAATGGATGTATTCTGGGCTTACTTTGAATAACAGGAACTCCTGCTGCACATCCTCTTGTACTCCAAGGTCTTCTGCTGTCTTCTTATCCTGTATGTAAAGTCAACACAAAGTCTTACAGGGCATGCCTGGAGAGCAGTGCATATAGCACGGTCTAAATAAAACAGAAATAATAAATAAACACATACATGAAGCCATCAACAACACTTAACATCATCATAACATATTGATGCTTGCCTTTTTATGCTTTAGTTGCACAAAGAGGAGTTTGTAATAAGATATGATATTCAATTTCTCTTGATTTATCTCAGAATGATTGTTACTATGTCAGCTAAGTCTAAAATACAACAATAGGAACATCATTCAGCATGAATCAGTGAGTTAGATACACAATTATAGTGATGTCCCCTTTCTCAGCACCCGAACCATTTACATTTGACATGTGACAATCTTCAAATACACGCTTACATTGTTCCTTATGACAGTGTTGGCTCCAGCCCTCAGCAGTACTCTGACACACTCGGGGTGTCCTCTGTCTGCTGCCTTATGAAGGGGAGTGTCATTCTGTGGGTACAGCAAAGTGTGAGATGGTCAAAAGGATCTACACACTACAAACATACATGTAACAGTCTGGCCATGTAACCAAATGACTACACCGGCCCCTTTAGTCCCACACACAAGTCCTGACATGACTCAAATGTTTAACCCTAAAGTTGGGACTGTGAACACAAGTACAAGTATTAGGTTCCAACCGATACAGACAGGTTACTTGTATCAATGTAATCTTCAGCTGTAAGTGAAGCCTGTACAGTTCCCATGGCGATAGCACGGTATCTGATAGTCAGGTTACCAGGATGACAGGATAGTGCTATTAATTAGTATTATCACTTTTTACCCTTTGTGGTTACATTATAGAAACTGATGACAGGCACAGTAAGACAGACTGAAGTACAGAGCAAAGTTACCGAATTGCCTCGTGAGTTGATTGTTGCTCCAGCTGTGAGTAAAGCCTGTACAGTTCCTGTGTGGCCGTTGAATGCTGCGTTGTGGAGAGCTGTCCATCCCTGTACAGAGACAAGAGTAGAGGAGCTTCATGTAAAATTAGGGTTCAGACATGTACTTGTACTTTATCATTTTTTACACTTTGTGTGGGTTTATTACAAACTCAAGACAGGCACAGTTAGACAGACTGAAGTAAACAGCAAAGTTACCAAATTGTTTTGTGTGTCGATTGTTGCTCCAGCTGTGAGTAAAGCCTGTACAGTTCCTGTGTGGCCATTGCTGGATGCAGAGTGGAGAGCAGTCCCTCCCTGTACAGAGACAAGAGTAGAGGAGAGATTGGAGAGCAGTAAATCCCTGTACAGTGACAAGAATAGAGGAGCTTCATGTGAGATCAGGGTTCAGACAATGAGGGATGATCTTCGTAGCCAGGTTCCAGGAACTTCCCGTATAGTGTAAGAACATGGATGACATGAAGAACTTGTTGAAGATGCACTTAGATATAAGCACTGAGTCTGACATGTACTTAATATAAGAAAAACTTGAAAGAATACTCAGTAGCACAAAGAGATGTCCTGATGTAAAGATCAACTTCATCTGTAAAACTGCAGACTTGAAAAGGAATCTAAGTGTTTCAAAATCCTTTCATGACTTTGTTATATAAAGTTAATATATAATAACTTACGTTGTCATCAGCAGCATTGACATTGACTCCCTCGGCCAGGAGCTGTTTAACTCTGTCCTCCTCACCTCGCCCGGCGGCTTCTCTCAGCTCCTGTACAACAGAAAGTTAACATCATCATAAAACTACTTCTTGTTCTTGTTTGGGTACTGCACAACACCCCTAAATTGGGGTAAAGCGTGCAGGGGAGCTGTGCGATGCGTTATTGCTGTGACCTTAGATGTTGTAGTACTGTGGTGTTGAACTTCGTGGGTTCTGCAGTATCTGTTGTTTGTTGGGGCAAAGTGTTCCAGTCTCTGACAGTTTGAGGAAAATAAGAATATTTGTAGCAGTCTTTATGAAATGAATGTACAACAGAACCATCAAGTCATCATGAAACTAATTTTGATTAGTCTAATCTTACTTACATTGACTGTTAATTGCCAACATCTAACACAATACTCACAACAAAATCTGAGGGTTTTCATAAGCTTTTAAATTCTGTTGCAGAAGTTGGACAATTGAATATCACATCATCCTTAGCTTTCAGGCTTCTGTTGGTTCACAGTGTGTTTCTCTACTTGGTGCAGCCATGCTAGGAGCTATGTTTGCTCTTTCACTTTGTGAACTTGAAAAGAAGAAGAAGAGTTTCACAGACCTTTTCTTTCTCCTCCATGAGTTTTTCCGCCGTAGTTCTGATGTTGCCAAATACCACAATATATCCTGGTAATGTCCTAAGTCTGCTGGGCCAGATTTAGTCCATTCTGATGCAGTTTTCCTGAATTCTCTGCAAGAGACAAAGGTCAGACAAACAGTAACTAGTTACCGCTCCATCCGCCATTTTGGTTACAAGGTCAGAAGGTCACAGGTGCTTTTGTTGAGCACAGGTAACCGTTACCGTAACAAGACAAACAACACAGTGTTGACTGAGAGTCCTTTTATTTGCTGTTCACAGCAAAATGAACAAAATAAAAGAAACGCCGAGCATTCTTAAAGGATTTAAAGATCTACAGGTGTCGTTCAGAAGGATCCCTTAACTTAAGTTTCCTTCACAGTGAGTCCCAACGGCGCCACTAAACAGCAAACGTCACGCATGGACTCCCTTGTGTGTATATATATATCAACATACAGTTAGCAAATAATGCACTGAGATTCAGAACAGATAATACTGAAAAACACCTGTAGTTAGTCTTATGACATGGCATTATGACATTATGTGGAATGGTGTGAATTGCTTAATACATGTAACATAGTTCTACTGCACAAATCGCACAAGCTTGGATGTCACTTTTTATAGTTTTATGGCAGAAACAAGATTTTTTCATGCTATAGGAAGGCTTTAGCTATAGCCTATGAGAAGAATTCTTTTTCTCATTATTGTAGTGACCCTAACTTATAACGTTATACCATTTCAAAACACTAATGGGATCCAATAAAACAAACAAACCTGAAACCTGAGGATAGTAAAATAAGACATATCATAGTGTAAAATAGTGTAAAATAAGGCTTATGCAAGTTGACATTTCTGGTACACGCCCGTATTTCTTAGATCAAACTGAAGATTTCTTCCCTCAATACCCCCACAGCCCGTCTTCAAGACTATAACGGAGATCAAAGGTGGTACAAGAGTTTTTTTAGGTTCCATCAGTCTACGTATGTTCATAGTTCCAGTCTCTTATACTAACGTTAGTACTAAAGTTTAAAAGTGCCACAAAGTTAAGAAGGAACCTTGCACGAGGCCCTGGATCTATCTACATCCCCTCAAGACTTTTCTGACTTACCTTAAAGTGTTCTAGGGAAGATCTTGAAGTTCTTTTGGCCAGTAGAAACCAACACGAGGGAAAAACTTCCTCTTTTCTTTCCAAACCGTGCTGACTTCCGGGTTGGTCACGTGACGGCCACTCCCGCCAGGTGAGCTGAGCTGCAGTACCCAGACCAGCGCCAGGCGGCGCTTGTGCGCAGAGGGTTCACAACAATACTAAACTCATGCACACACAAATAAAGCTGGGATATCATGTGTATCATGCGGATTCTCTGCAAAAAAAAGGTGGCCAAATTCAGACCCAGATAGAAAGACAAAGTCATGGCCTTTTGTCTGACAAGGGATGAAGAATGGGTGTGGTGGCCTGACATGAATAAAAGAGTGATTAAATGAAGCTTGTGTCTACTAGTACAAATGTAGGTGTCTGTGTTTATGCACCCAGCCCCCCTGGGCTTATAAGACACATTAAACCATCATCTAATAATACAGAATAATACAACAAGAGAACACAGAGGTAGAAATTGACAAAACCCCAACCAATACTGAACATCATGATTATAATTATGTGGGAACATGCGTGTAAAATACATCCCTGAAAGAAGAACTAATTAATAAAACGTGTGTGAAATACATCCCTGAAAAAACTAATTAATATGTCAGATGAGTTAAGGTTTTGTCATCCAACCATTTGGAAGTGTTACAAAGTGTCCTCCATGGCACTTCTCTAGTTTACAACATAGTAATTAGAAAAGGTAGCAAATACCAATAATAATACTGCCAAAGATAACTTTATACATGTTTAATAACACCATACTATACAGAAATAAACAGATATAATATAAACCTTTGTGAATTTACTTATCATATAAACATATGCAAAGGACAAATATCCACCTCTGATTCTAGAAACAAATGTGCTGTACATTTACAACTCTTCAATTGGTTAGTTCAAATGGAATGTATAGCAGTAGTAAAGTGAAAGATGAACATGAAAACGACTCAATGTAGTCAGACTCAAGTTTTTCTTCCAGACTTCTTCCAAATTCTCACTAAAAATGACAGAAAACTGTGGAAATGGTGTAACCAGGATTACAGCACCAAGGACAAACTCTTTGCCTATTTAGTGAGCTAACTTTTTTAAAACTCAGTATCATCACACCATACCCCAAATTGGACAAAATAACATAAAAATTGTTTCATTTTGCTTAAATTACATGAAACAATCAGAAAGTAAAATTTCATGATTGACACATACTTGTTGGCCTATCAGAAATCTGATGATAGACCTATTTACTACATATAACATTACATGTACTATATTTACCATATATAAGAAACAGAACATCACAACTGTGACCTATTTGTAAATTCCCCATAAGTATTGAGTACATTTTGACAATATCAAATATCACCTTCTCAAAAATATACAAATATATAATTTCTCTAATTTCTCTCTAAGTGATATAGTTAATAAAATAGATTATCATAAAAATTACTTTGCTGTATTTTATAAAAATCTGTATATTGTCTATCAGGTATCTAAAGATTAATATACTCATTGATCCTAAATTCCTTTGTGTATTTACAACATATATTTACATCAGACGTTACAACAACAATTCTAACACCCTTCAACACAAGCAAACAGTTTTTATCGAATTGTATTTAAGATTAGTTTTATCTATGTGCTATTTTTAGACTTTGTATGTATTGTGAATCTGTTTAACTGTTAGGTGTTTGTCTGTGCTTTTGTACCAGGATTTCCTGAAAAACAGGCCAGAGTGGCCTGAGTGTGATACCTGGTTGAACAAATAAAGTTGAAAGTTGAGGTACAGGTCCAGAACACAGCCCTGATTCTGATGCCTTTCAACTTAAAATTGTTACACCTTTTTGTTGGAACATTTCAGCCTGAAAAAAATAAAGAGAATCCCCCTGCCAAAGTTTTTTCAGGGCTGAAACTGGAAATTATTTTTCCCTAGTCCTTAGTGATACTAGTAGCAGATTTAGGCACTCCCCCTGATAGAACACACAGGAACTCCAGGGCATCTGTATCTGTATAGCCAGTATAACCGCCCTTGGGCATAACACACCAGCTTCTGTATCTGTATAGCCAGTATAACCGCCCTTGGGCATAACACACCAGCTTCTGTATCTGTATAGCCGTTATAACCGCCCTTCGGTGTAACACACCAGCTTCTGTATCTGTATAGCCAGTTTAACCGCCCTTCGGCATAACACACCAGCTTCTGTATCTGTACAGCCGGCATAACCGCCCTTCGGCATAACACACCAGCTTCTGTATCTATGTAGCCGGTATAACCACCCTTCAGCGTAACACACCAGCTTCTGTATCTGTACAGCCGGCATAACCGCCCTTCGGCATAACACACCAGCTTCTGTATCTGTATAGCTGGTATAACCACCCTTCAGCGTAACACACCAGCTTCTGTATCTGTAACGTTATAGCCGGTATAACCGCCCTTCAGTATAACACACCAGCTTCGTAGGCACGCAGCGTGGCGGCAGCTGGCTACATTACACCAATCAACTTGTTACACGTACAGTAACCCTAGAACATCCAACTCTAAACATTATTTAAAGTTATCTAATGACAATGCCCCTACTGTACTTGGTGACAGCAAGTTCCACTCTGCAATAGTTCTAGGAAAGAATGAGTCTTTGGCAGAATCACACCACGGGTAAGAGCGGTCGCTCGTCGTTCTCTAACAGGTCTGTTTCAGGGAGGCCCAGGACGTGCGGACCTCCGTTCGCGATGTGTCCGTTTACGGCGTTGTCACGGTGATTGTGATCGCCTGCTGCTGTGATGGTCTCCTCCTCCTCTTTTTCCTCCTCTTCTTCTGGAGTCTCCTTGTTATCCTTCCTGTTTCTCACCTGTGGAGGTACATCAACAGGAGTCAGGGGATGGCACAGGTAGGATGAAAGAAATTCTATACATCCCCAAACGCTGTTGCAAGTGATCCAAGCATTATACATGTATAATCATCATCATCAGTGCTTCTCGTCAAGAGGTGTAGCAAACAAAAGTTCAGTTTCCAGGGCTGATCTTTCCTTCTTAACAAGTTTCTGTTACTTGTACTACCGGTATGAGTTTCTTCCAAACAAGATGATGAGTGTACGATGTAAATTTAGGCAAGTCCAATTCTTGGGCTGGAAATTACATTTCACTTCAAGAAACCAAGTTAGTGTACTGTGGGGTCACATCAAAAGGAGTCAGGTCAGGGGATGGCAGAGGCGGGATGAAAGAAATTTTATCCATACCCAAACACTGTTGGAAGTGATTCAAACTTTATATAATCATCGTCATCAGTGCTTCTCATCAAGTGGTGTAGCAAACAAAAGTTCAGTTTCTGATCTTTCCTTTTTAACAAGTTTCTGTTACTTGTACTTCCGGTATGAGTTTCTTCCAAACAAGATGATGAGTTATGTACGATGTAAATTTGGGCAAGCCCAATTCTTGTGTTGGAAATTTCAGTTCACTTCAAGAAACCAAGTTAGTGTACTGTGGGGTCACATCAACAGGAGTCAGTGAATGCCAGAGGTGGGATGAAAGAAAGATTATCCATCCCCAAACACTGTTGCAAGTGATTTAAACTTTACCATTATCATCATTGCTACTTGTTAAGCTACTTGTTAGGTGTAGCAAATAAAATTTAGTTTTCAGGACTGTTTGTCTACCATTGCTGAGAGAAGTTCTTCTTCTACTAGACAAGTTTCTGTTTGAAACTTGTAGCTTGTTTCTATGAGTTTCTTTCCAACAAGATCATGAATGTACAATATAAGCTTGGGCAAGTCCAATTTGTGTGTTGGAAATTAAAATTCTTTTCGAAGAAATCAAGTTCAACTCGGTATATGGGCCTTCTTTGTCACGAGGCTTTATAGGAAATCTTGTTTGTTTGTCTGTTTGTTTGTTTGTTACCTTTTCGTCTGGTCCGATGGCATTTTCCAGGCGCTGCCAGAAGTGGGGTCGAACGTTTTCATTGGTCCAGTCCAGGAAGGTTCGGCCAATCAGCATGGTCGGCACTTTGCACTGGTCGATCTTCACCACCACCAGAACATCCTTCCTCTGTAACAGACGACATGATTGGCTGATTTAGAACTTTTTTAGTCAGACATTCTTTGAGTTTTCTTTTCTAACACCAATGTAGCTTATTTGTTCCTTCCTTTCTCAGCATTGAAACACTCTCTTTTCCATACCCTTCCTTGATGTGCCAAGAGGTGACCTTCAAAAATGTATTGCCTCTCAGCCTGGTAAAATAAATTAAAACCAAAACCTGATTATACATGTATGCCCTTTCCTTTGTCTCAATTTACCTGGGTGTCAGGGACCTGTGTGACCCCATGGTGACCTCTTAGTGACCCAGTGAGACCTCTATGTGACCCCAAGGTGACCTCTACATGACCCCATGTGACCCTTACCTCCAGGTACTTCCTGGCGCCGGCCATCTGCAGTTCGAAGCGCCCGAAGCCGCTCCGGCGGAAGTTGCTGGACAGGACGATGATGGTCTTCCTGCTGCGGAACACGCCTTCTTTGATATTGTCAACAATAAACACACCTGGGGACAGAGAAGAAATGAAGTAGAAATAAGAATATAAGAATAAAAATAAAAGCTAAGCCTCCATCAAACAACTGAAAAACTGGAACAAAAAAATTCTGGAACCTTAATGCTTGGATGTGCACCTGAAATAAATTACATGATAACTACATGCACACATGGTCTTTTTTTGTTTATTTATCTATTTATTCCTGACACCAAAAAAAAATTGAATTGCAGAAAGTTTGCTACACAAATTACAACAGAAGAGACAGGTGATATACACATCCCCTCGTTATAATATTATTTTTATACCAAGCAAACCTTCTGACTTTTGATGAGGTTTTGGAGAAACATAGAGCATGACTTATGACACTTCTTTGCTGTACAGGGTTATGACACCCTTTCTAAGATCATACGAAAACTGCAAAATTGGTTTTGATTTCAAACCCTGGTTTGATAATTGGAATATTGGAGCCAGTTGACAATCGTTAAGACTTCAGAGCGCACGTCTTACCCGGTGTGAAGTCCTTAAAGTCGACGCACACCTCGTACCCTCGGCAAGTCAGCTCCTTAAGGAGAACGTCTTTAGCGAAGGCCAGGTCCTTACTGCTGTAGGAGATGAAGATGTCGTACTTCGGAAGCTCATTCTCGTAAGGAACTGCAGAAGGAGAAGAAGAAGAAGAATCTTGTAAGGAAGTGAAGAAAAGGATAAACGTTCTTGTCAGAAACTGTGGAAGAATAATCTTTACTTATTTTACTACATTTTACTAGTACCAGTAGTAGACCAGACTCTGGTCCGTGACCTGTTTGTAGGTTTGCCTGGGTACATAAAAAGACAAATAATCCATTACGACTACATTGTAAATGCATACATGTATGTATGTCTGTCTTTTGCTGTGCACTGTTCACATCATCTAAATAAGCAACAGAGAGTTTGTTGAAAATGTATTTTCAAAGATTGAAAGTTTTACTCCCATTGTCGGTGAAGGTTGTCTAACCTTTGGACTTTCAAAAAAAACAAGTCTTCACTTATTTGCATATCAATCAATAGTTCGGGCTTGTAGCCTTTCTGACAACTCTCCAGTCATGAGTGTCACTGACGAAAGGTAGTGAATGCTACCTGAAACGTCTGACCATTTCCAAAATCACATCCAGTTGCTTGTTGGCCTATTTTACTCCCTTCCACTACCATCTGTATGGTCTCAACATAACAATTCAGTTAGAAGATAGAAAACTAAACCTTACTGTTGTACTCCGCCTCAGGGTCAGGTTTGTCCCAGCCAAGGTCAGGGTCATGTCTCCTCCGATGGACAGCAAACCCTGTCACCATGGTAACCAGCGCAGCCACGCCCGCAGCTGCAATTCCCAGGGACACCGCTAGGGGCAGGCCTGAGTGAAACAACGAGAAACCAAATCATGAAGATCCCTCTCCTGAACAGCTGGATTGTCTTGGAGTCCTGAGTACTTCTATTTGAGGCAAAAAAAAACAGCCCCCCCCCCCCAAATGACCAGGGCAGTATGCACTGGAAACTTTGTGAAGTTGTGTCATTTAGCCTCTGTACATTTGAAGAAGCCACACAGGCGAAACCAGTTGTGTGACAGGCTGAATAAAAGTTCTAAACAGGAACTATGCGGCTCCTGATGTTTTACTGAGGGAGGTCTGCGTGTGCGAGATGTTGGTTAGCCTGATAAATGAATCCCCTCTACTGTATACTGCAAAAAAATGACTCAAGGATTGTTAGAAGCAACTCTAAAAACTAAACATGACCAGTACTGACCCTCCCTAGGGTCTCCCCTTAGCAGCTGGATAGTTTTAGAGTCGCTGCGTCCCTTCAGCTCGCCCACACATAAACTGTGACCAAGAGAAGCTATGGGAAGCGGAAGAAAGCTGTAGACCATCTTCCAAGACGACAGAGCCCAAGATTTAGGACAAACATGACCAGTACTGACCCTCCCTGGGTTCCCCCCTGAGCAGCTGGATAGTTTTGGAGTCGCTGCGTCCCTTCAGCTCGCCCACACACGTGTAGTTCCCATAGTCGGAGGCGTTGACTCCTCGGATGAGCAGAACCTGCCTGCGAGTGGTCTTGTCGGCGGTCTGCTCCACGCTGGGCTTCCACTCTGTGTGTCCGTCTGCGATGTCAGGAACAACTGAACCTTCCTTCAACCAGGAACCAGACTGTATGGGGAAAAAGAGCCTGTTATTAGCCTGTTATTAGCACGGGCTTGCAACAAAGTAAATGTTATTATCATCATTAGGTAAAAGATTAGCAAAAGTCTTTAAATGTTTCACAACCAAACTTTCCTTCAACCACGAGCCAGGTTGCATGGGGGAAAAGAGGAAATGTGGTTAGATGTAAAAAGATCATTGAAAAAGACAAACAACATCAAAACAAAGCAATGAGATGACCCAAAAATGCAGGTAAAAATAGGTAAATCTGAAGTTATTATCAACTGAGGACAGACTTGCTGGGATCTATACATGTTTGTCTGATATTCACTAAGACTTGGTACTGAGTCGGTACTTACCGGTACCTGCCCCTTGTCTGTGACGATGGTACAGGACAGGTTGACATTCTCACCCGGCCACGCCCACACCTGACTCTGCTCCGCACTCACCACGGGAAGGTTGCCCTGGCTTCCTGTCAAAACAACAAACAAACAAACAAATACATGTACGTCAGTGAAGGTTATATGCGAGTAATATGATATGCCAAAAAACAGTTACTCACGCAACTCATATCCAGTTGCTTTAGTAACTGTTTTTGGGCAAAACAAACAGATAAACAAACATCTGGGAATAGTTCCAGTTGATGGTTTCAAAATTCTTTCTTACATGACTTGTGCAATGTTGTAACGCAAGCTGTCTTACAGGTAGTTTGGTAAAACTTTCTGCAATGTTATGGGAATTCTAAGCCCTGATACTAGACAATATACTGCCAAAGAAAGAAAAGGCACTAGACAAAGATTTGTATTTTTGTTTTTTCTATATGAAAGAGCACTGGACCTCAGTTTAGCAGCTAACTGAACTCATCAGCTTTGCAGGCAAGCAGCACGGTGGCAGCTGGTTATATATCACACAATAGGCATTGTTTAAAAGCTTGTAACCTCTATCATACCTAAAACCTTTACCATACTCCTTGGTAGGAATTGGGGCCACACACGGTCATCAAAAAAACAGTTAGTCAAGCAACTGGATTGATTTTGAAAACTGTCAAATGTTTGAAGTGATTTTTACTACTTTTCACCTCACAAAATCTTGACTGTTTTCTTTAATGTGTTTACGTAACGTACCTAAAACCTTGACCCTTCCCTGGAAACTGTCAGCGCCAAACGCGGTCGTCACGCTGCAGTTGTAAAAACCCGAGTCCCGGTCGCTCAGGTCGTGTTGGACAGTAAGCTGTGTAGAGGTCGCAAAGGTCGTCAGTTGAACATGGCCGTCCGGCGTGTCTCGCAAAATCTGCGGGGAAACAGCGAGGGTTAGCCTCTGACCTGCCAAGGCCGGTGTAATAACATCCAAAAACCCACAAATTACAGAAACAGTGGGATCCTTTGCCTTCCTCTGTCTTCAAAAAAGAAGTCAAACCCAGTAGTTTTACTTAGTAGTTTCTTAGTAGTTATCAGTAGTTCTATGTGTAATTGTCTGTTTTTTATACCATATGTTTCTTCTGTTCCTGCAATTAGCCCTCGGGCATGAAGTTGCAATAAAACTTACTGTATAATAATAACTGAGGGAACATCTATGGCTGTATACATATCATGCAACATTCCTGAGAAGGGTTTGCGCTACCAAGATCACCACATAGTGGCCAAATCAAAAATCAAATTTAACATTCAACCTAAAGTACAACTAATTCATTGCATTGCTGAGGCATGACTCAGTCCATGTTCTAACTGTTTTACATTAGACCCTGTTCTAGAATGTTTCATGCTACTGCCAAAAACACTAACCACTGAAAAATGACAAATGTCTAATTGAGTTACAACAGCCTCACAGAGGGAACACGCTCACCGTGCCGTCCTTCCTCCATGTCCAAGTTGCCATGGCAGCAGGCGCGGTGCTCTGCAGACTGCAGTTCAGGTGGAAAAACCCCCTGCCGACACGGATCAGATGAAATGACCCAAAACCTGAGATCCTCGGCTCACCTGTGAAGCAAACGTTTGGGATTAGGCCACACCGATTTAATTTTATGGATGACATCCTCTGAAGACCCCCAAACTAGTGCGCGCGGGCGAAAAAAAGAAAAATCCGGCCAAAAATAAAAGGGCTACTAAACCACAGGAATACAAATCCGGTATTGTGAATTTGGTGCATTACATAGCGACATATACGACAGGCCGGCACATGCTGGATTTTTGTGGAATTTATGAATCGACACTGTACGTGTGTACTGAGTTCTTGAGTCGTGGAGCTTCGGCAGCCTGCTGGGTGCCGTCCTCAAGAGTTACCACCGACTTCGTTGTCACTAACCACCATGGACTACCCAGGCCTAAAGCCAGGCCAGAGCCTCGGAAGATGTGATCTTTTTTTTTTTGAGATCAGGCGAAAATCAATGCGCGCGCGGATGTCATCCATAGAATTAAGTCGGTGTGGCCTTATCACACTATGAAAATCTGATCAATTGCACCGCAGGATTCTTCACCACTCTGAAAATCGGACAAATTTAAAAAGTTAGAATCAGGACACTATGGAAACCAACAGTTACTGACCTGACCTGAGGGCACTATGCACTGGAAAGGTATATAAGTGGGAACTTCATGCACTTGTGTCATTAGCCTCTGTACACTTGAAGAAGCCACACAGGCAAAACTGGACGTGTGACAGGCTGAATAAAAGTTCTAAATGGGAACTATGCGGCTCCAGATGTCTTACTGAGGGACGACTGCATGTGCAAGATGTCGCTTAGCTTGAGGAATGAATCCCCTCTACTATATACCAACAGTTACTGTAGTACAACAGAAGAACCAGACGTACAGAATGAAGCGTTGTAACCGGGACAGACTGGTCCCGCTGTGGCTGTGATTGGTTGAGCCGTGGTGGTGTGACTTCCGGCAGCTGTAGTTAGTGGAGCTGGGGTGGTGACGACTGGGGTACATGTAACAACTCCTAAAACAGCCGTCAGCACTGCAAATCCTGCACCCATATTTCCTCTAGTCCTGCAAAACATTTAGAAGTACTGTAAATGTAACAATCCTGTTCCACATGTGGTCGCCTTTGCTTTTAGGGTATTAATATATGATTTTATTGTTGAGGCTAGACGCAGACGTAAAGCAGCAGCAGCAGTGACCAGGGAGCAGAGTCCGTTCCAGTTCAGCTGCGAGCAGTGCGGACGACCCTGCAGATCCAGAATTGGACTCCTGAGCCACATGCAGGTGCACAAAAGATGAGAAGAGGGCGCAACGTAGAAGTCATCATCGGCAAAGATGGACAACCACGATATGATTTTATTGATGAATATGTTTTGATAAAAGATAATAGATGTTCTGACACTGTAATGGTTCTACAGCACTTTTAAAATGCACCATAAGGTCTTCAACTGTGACTTGTCTTACTTCAAGAACTGAAGAAAATCCCATTTTCATCTCTTAAGTCATAGTTTCTACAAGGAGCTTTTATCTCCTTGGTTTCTATTACCAAAAAGACACACTGTCCTAACCTACATCCCCACAAACTCCCACCCCCAAACAAAATCTAGGACAAAGGCAGTTTCTGGAAGGCCTTTATAAGAAATCCAGCGAATATCTTATCTTAAATACTATGTAAACATTTGTTAAAACAAATTTTGTTTGGTTGGAGAAAACAAAGTTTTTTCTCTTGGAAAGTTGGACCATCGTTGAATCAACCAACAGCATCTTAATTCCACAGAAAACAGCGATCTAGGCATGAAAAGAGCTCTTAAATCATAACAAATATGGCCCGAAACCTCAACAATGTAACCTTTGAATACACCCAAACGATCCATCCATAGCCTATTGAGCTCAATTGAGTTGTCATTATTCAACCACAAAACCGCAAATACAACCACAAATACAATCACGTTACTGGTTTAAACACAACCTTGTTAACACTACACCGCGTTGTGTAAAAAGAAAGCAAAGTGCTCCGTAACAAAACTACAACATGCCACCATAAACCTTTTACGTTTTAAGAGCACTTGAGTCGTGGTACTTACCTGTAACACACCTGTTCTCACCTGTGTGCGTCACGTTACTTTCTCTCCACGCGGCGGGAACTACAGGGAAACCCCGGGCAGGTATCGGTGTCACTGTGCACACCTGTAAACACCTGGGCGCCGCGTCACGCCCACGGAAACTCCTGCCAAAGTCGCGCTGGCATCGAAACTAACAACACGCCCCCCTCCCACACTCTCAGTTTCGGGACAAAGGTCGCTGGGCGAGCCCACTACGCTCACGGGGGTGCGAAACTAGAGCAGCTCCAACAAAAAGTAATGTATTTTTTAAAAACAAAATAGAACATTGCTTGTCTATAAAGACATGACAAGTCGTTGTTTGATGTTCCTTACGTGAGTCATATTCACACATAACATAGCCTTTTCGTTTGTTATTTCATTCTTTACGAGCTTATTTTAACCGATCACCCACCCACACCCACAAGTATGTTTCGAAACCCAATGGGAAAGTTTGTCAAGGACACAGAATGACACCCGAAACTTTGGGGATGTTACAGGACCGGCTGCGCCAGTCTTCCGGCCTTTGTTTCGCGCCATTTCGTCAAATCCTTCAGAGATAACGTTAATGACGTTACAGAACTAAGGATTCCAGGGTAAACTAAGCCAGTGACTGCAGTACTTTCATCGGTCACTGGGCGGCGCTTTGGGAGCATCATTTCAGTCATTCTTGCCCTTATAAGCTAGTGGTAATTTCAGTTCTTTCTTTCCTCAAAATTTTAATGTGTGTGCATAGCAAATATGGAACAATACGACAAAAAAAAAAGCTATGCAAGTTTGTCCTGTTGAAGACTAGATGTTTTAGCCCTAAGGATGTAACGATAACATTATTGCAAGTATACTAGTATTCAGAATCCCCCACACACTCACATGCACACAACGACGAGAAACATTGAGTTGAAGAAAAACAAAATAAAACACTGATCCATGAGAGATGGTAATGACTTCTTTCTCCTTTTTATTATAATATCCAGTACAACTGGTGTTTCCAAAAGAAAAAAAATACACAGCCTGTAGTGGCAAGATTGCAGTGTTCTCTAAAGAGCAGGACAGAAAAGAGCAAACTTAGGAAAAAAATCTAAAAATAATAAACTTGGAAAAACATAATGTGGGACGCTGTACACTTGTATCTCTGAATTGTCTGGAAGAACAAGCTTTGCTCAGTATCATTACGGTGTCCCTTCTATTTGTTGGTAGAATGTTGTACAGTCAAACCTGTGTGGCTGTGTACAACATTGTCATCTCTGCATGAGGACCAACTTTTTGCCATTTTTGCTGGTCCCTTATGTTACAAAGAAACTCATAATGACTACCTGTATGTGACAACCATCTAGTATAAGGCCACACCAATCTTACTTCTGTTTGATAAAAATGAAAATAAAACAACCACAGGGATAGACTTCATACATGTACATGGAATGTGACATCTTAATGATTTGATCAAATTTGTTTGTCGACACAGTCTTTTTCCCCACTCAACCCACATATCAGTCATCACTACCATGGGCTATAATACAAATGCACATTGTTTGTGTTCCCAAATATACTTTCAACATTGCAAGTTGTCATCAGGAATTTCACCTGAAATTTTGACAAAAACTTCCTATACATACTCAAGCGACATTTCCAGCCCTATAACTGTAACATTGTCTGTCACATGAAGCTTACAATTGTACCATAATTGTATGTAGCTCCCAGCAACATCATACAATCACACAAAATAAATCAAACTACTGGATAAGGTCTCTGATGGAGCCTAGTGATACAGAGACATACTATACTCATTTTCATATGACATTTACATTGACTGACTCTGTCACAGTTACGGATGAAAGACAAACATTTGACTTTGTTAGAAACCTTGTTAGAAACCTTGTCCCGCAGTTTGATTTAAACCACTGACTTCACAGTAACACCCTGCAACATTTACATGATCTTCCTGCTGACACAAGCTGCCAACCTGATTGGACCTTTGACCCAACCTTTGACCCTTCGCCTGCAACATTGCCATATATGGCCACAATAATTGCTTATCTACAGCTGATTCAAATTTGCATGAAATCTATAAATTTCACATTTATATACAAAGTTGCACTTTAAATGTGCTCTTTCCTAGGCTGACAGTAATAATAAACTTAACAAATCACTTTTGCACAACCTTTGACCTCTGACCTGACAGGCTAGACTAGCAAATCTAGCATAGCGTCTAGCTGATGCCCAAATATGGTCCCTGATCATCACCCTAATTGGCCCAGGCGAAACCTTCCACTGAGTTTTAAAAATGCCAAAGTTAACAATCAGGTCTATGACCTGTAAACTTTGACGTACTTGACCCAGATTGACTTCAGTACATAGTGACCTGTGACCTCTAAAGTGTCACCTTTCAGTCTCAGGAAAGTCACCTTATGAAGTTGTCTGGGTGATAAGGCAAGCTCTCGCTCACTGTTGACCTAAAATCCTTCACCTATTCGACCCAGTTTGCCGTTACCCGTGGTTGGTCAGTCTGGATCATGTGACAAGTACTGATTTGTCTGTGACCTCTGCACTATGACCTACCAATTCTACAATTCATAAGGCAAGTACCGACTGCTTGACCCTGGTTGCCAGTCCAGATCTTGACAGATACTGACTACATTGACCTATTTGACCCCTGGTCAGGTATTGACCTATTTGACCCCTGGGGTCAGGTGTCGAGCCATTTGACCCTAGGGTCATGTGTTGACTTATTTAACCCCTGGGTGAAGTGTTGACCTTTTTGACCGTTGGGTTGTGTGTTGACCTATTTGACCTCTAGGACAGATGTTGACCTATTCACCCCTGGGTCAGCAGTTGACCTTATTTGACCCATGCTGCGGGGACCCACTGCGGCTCAGTCTGGATCATGTGACAGATGTTGATGAGGTCGCTGTAAGCCTGCTGCAGGTTGTCGTTGGTCAGCACAAAGTCAAAGTAGTGCCCGAACAAACCCTCCACGATCTTCCCGCTGATGATCATCTCCTGTAGCTCCTCCTCCTGTCAACAAACAAACAAACAAACAAACAAACATGAAATATCAATCAGTGTTACGAGTGCTCGACTTTGAACCAATAGGTCCCGGGTTCGAGTCCTGACATGCCACCAATCTTGTGCCCTTGGGAAAGGCACTTTACACGACTTTCCCCACTTAACTCAAGTGAAAATGAGTATTGTCTGTCCTGTATTATTTTGTTCTATGTGTGGGATACAACACCAACAACAGCTGCCTGTGTCCCACATGTATTGTCATTTCAATAAATAAAATCGAATCAATCTGACTTTAAATTCAAGTTTAATGTTCATTTTCCAGTTCATGTTTTATTTAACCCTTGTCCTGCTGACATTCCTGGCACAATATTTTTCAATAATTTCATGTCTTAATTAGATCATAGACCCCCAAATTTTTTTGCCCTGCAGTGGCATAGTTACTTCCGCATTCATTGCGTTTCGCTGCGGTGTGATGCGTTGCACGAAAAATACCCCCAAATCGTACCTATACAGGGCGCTATATAGATGGTACTGTATGTGCAGAACGACAAATGTTGCGCTCAGCAGGGTGTGGCCGATTTTTCTCACCGACAGTGCTGCATACCGGTTCACTGGACTTGGATCTGGACTTGTAAGAATGTTTAGGTTCAAGTCCAAAAAAACCTAAAAGTCAAGAACCGAGTCCGGACTTATTACCATAAAAGACCATTTCACATACCCCTTTTCTTTCCAAACCACCTAAAGCCTTCCCTAGATTGCAAAATCTTATGCTGCAAAATGAAGAAAAAATTGCCATCGGGCATCGGCAAGTGCCGGCATCCATGTTATGTGGCCAGAGTTTCACCCAGACAACATTTCAGGGTTGCCAACATGCAATTTTGTATATGCCATGGGTTTAGGTCCAGAAGTCTGGACCTGAACCTAAATGTGGGTTTAGGTATGCAGCACTACTCACCGAGAAGGTCCTGGATGCGGAGGGGTCGTGTGTGGACTTGGCGTTGGCGGCCAGCCTCGTGTCTCTCAGCCGGTCCAACGGCGGCGGTTTCACGTAGATCACACAGGGTTGGAGGTCAGAGGTCTTCAGCAGCTTCAGGGCCTGCAGGGAGGAGGTGTCAGTCATTGGTAACCATGGAAACAAACCAGTCACAAACTGCAGGGAGGAGGTGTAAGTCATTGGTATCTGTATCTGTATAGCCGGTATAACCGCCCTTTGGCGTAACACACCAGCTTCACAGCAGCTGGCTACATTACACCGAAAAAATTGTTATACCTAACCTTTGCATATCTAACTCTAGACACTGTTTAAAGCTATCTAATGACAACGCCCGTACTGAACTTGGTGGCAGTGAGTTCCACTCTGCGACAGGGAAGAATGAGTTTTTGAACACCTCAATCCTTGGTTGATAACTCAGGTTCTGCTTGAAGGCATGGCTATTTCTTGTTCTCTTCTGAGCTGGTAACCATGGAAATGAGCCTGTTGTCATGGTAACCCACCTGTGGCTGTACACAGAGCACGCAGACGCGCCCCGCCTGCACCACGGCGCGGACCGAGTCGATGTGAGTCCCGTACAAGTTCCCGCGGTACTCCCCGTACTCGATCAACCTGGGGAGCAACAAACACATATTTAGAAACAAACAAACAAACGAACAAACAGATGTTAATAAACAAACACACGTTTAACAAACAACATGTTTATCAACAAACTGGCAAACAAAAGCACCTCACTCCAACTTACCACAGACAACTGTAGCTGTGAGAGCCAGTTAAGGTGATCAGGAAGGGTGGTTGAGGACTTTGGGGACATCTTAAAAATACTACTTAGGGTTACCTATGGTCATTGATTTTTTTTGTGTAAGTACTTTAGTACAAGATGATAATTTATGAAAATTTACAGATCCTGGCTCTTAATCTCCAAGCAGATTCTATAGGGCAAGGGGAGTCTACAAATTGTATATTGGTCTCCTGTAACCATTGGCTGCCCCAGGAGGCCAATGGATACAGGCAGCCAATATAGACTCCCCTTGCCCTACAGAATCTGCTTGGAGATTAAGAGCCAGAATCTGTAGGTTCAATCCAGACTACAATTGCAATGTACAATCACAACTACAGCCTGTTTTGGTTAAGACATTGCCAATGAGACTTAAACTTTTCAACTTTTGATACATATACTGTCTACAATTTTCATCTTGATCTTTTTCATTCTGATCTTCCTGAGTGATCTGAACTTTTCATCTTGATACAGATACTGTCTAGGATTAGAGCAATGTTCCTTCATACAACCATTGAGATCTGAATAAAACAAACAAACAAACAAACAAACAGTAAACAAACTTGTTGTTCTGGATCTCAGCCTCCATGACCTGCCGAGAGACGTAGTGGTAATCCTTCCCATCAACCTCCACGTTCTTCCGCTGTCTTGTTGTGTCTAAAAACAAACAAACAAACAAATAAACAAAAATACAAGTCTTCGGATCTGCATGCAATGATTCTGTGTCAGCGCAAAACAGGCTAATACTTTCCTTGTGAAGTAGAAAGAGTTTTTTAAAGATATCGGGCTAGCTCAATCTTTTACTTTAAAATGTCTAATCATCACAAGCACATGGTCACAGCATGCTCAAGGTTTAGCTATCACATGATCATTGCATGCTCATCACATGACAGCCACATGGACTCCACTGATTGGCTGAACATACCATAGGCCATGTCTGTGCAAGCAGAATGAAGGCAGCAGGAGGGAAAAGGTGTAGAAACAGAGAAGTGAGGTAGAAAATATTATTCAGACAAAAACAACAGGCACTGTTAATGTCACACATCACTCTGCAAATTGTAAGATCACCGTGTTAGATATCCTACATTTCAACTTGTAACCAGATATTAAGCTCTAAAATCCTTGGAAAAACTATGAAGCCTGACCAGAACTGAGATTCAACAAGCACATGGAACTGTAGTGTGATACCTAGTCAGAACTGCATTGAGAGACCTACCAGGTGCTCCTCTACATGAAGTGGTAGTGTGATACCTTAGTACAACTGGTAATGGCAATGAGTAGAACAATAGTGCTAGCACTGTGTGCATTGCAACATTTTGCCCCATTCTCCATTGGGTAATGTTCACTGAGAAGTCCCTCTGTATTTTGTGTATGCCCTGGGTTTGAACCTGAATGTGGGTTTAGGTACACAGCACTAAGTGTGAGACTTACGAGGCACGGTGCTCCTGTACATGTCAGGATCGCTGGCGATCAGCCTCCTCTTCAGCTCGTTTCTCCCAACCCCAGGCGGACCAATCAGAACGACCGGTCTAGGCCGGCCTGGTCTGGGCAGAACTTTAACCACCTCCTCATAGGTCAGGATTTCTCTGGTGTCATATTCTGCAAACAATCAAACAACCAATCAGAACAGCCGTTCCATGATAGCCTGGTCTGGGCAGAACCTTAACTACATGTACCTCCTCATAGGTCAGGATTTCTCTGGTGTCATATTCTGCAAACAATCAAACAACCAATCAGAACGGCTGCTCTAGTCCAGCCTGTCAAACAAACACCTGTTTCTGTTTTAATTAATTAGAAGTGATTGGTCATTAAGTATCCTAATAAAGGCGACAGTGGCCATTGAAAATTTGATCTGTGTAACCCTTGTGTTGGAATAAAGTTCAACATTTTACTATGATTACTAACCAACACAGATGTACTTTCATGACAAACAACTTTTTTAACTAACATATTCCTTCATAGTTTAAAATTATGTGGCTAAAAGTTGTACCTGTTGGTAGTAAAATTTGATCTTTTGGTCATGCAATCTTCCAGTAAGGTTATTGATTAATAAAATAATTCATTGATTGATAGATAGATTGATTGATATCTGCCCTTACCATCATTCTGGTGTGCCTGGTACATGACCTTCCGCGTCTTCGCGTTCTTCTTACTGCTGCGGAAGGAGCCCCAGCGAGACTTCTGAGGAGCTGCAGAAACACAAGCAACAGGTAAACAAACATGTACATAAGGCCACACCAATTTAATTTCTTGGTTAATAGATTCACTGCTTCATTTTTTTCCAATTTACAAATAAAAATTCAGAATCAACTGCAAAATGCTCATATTTTGCCCTGAACAGTTGAAAACAGTCCTTTTCTTACTACATTGTACTTGTTACAGTCATTCCGACTGTGGAACCGCTTACCCAGCGAGGTCACAGGGTCGGCCACCATCTCCATATTCAAGGCCAAATGCAAACACCACCTCTTATCCTGATTACCTTAACACCAATTGTAAATAAAAATCCTCCAACCGTTCCATTTCAACTTTGATCATTTTATCGATTTGTATTGTAGTTACACTGTATTGCTTAATTATGTATTGATTAAATTTGTATGTACTTTGTATGTTTATTGCTATTGTAAATATTGAATTGAATTTGTATGTACCAAGTGATATTGTATTTAAGTTATACTGTACTTTGTATTTATGCATTTATGTGTCAGTGGTAGCCGCTACCAGCCTTGTTGCTGCCTGGTTGCCACTTGTTATGCACTGTTGCATTTAAATAAACAAACAAACAAACAAACAATGCAGTGGTATCATTAAAAGTTCAAAATTCATTGTTTTGAACCAGCCTGGTGTGTGTTGACTTCATGGCTCCTATTGTACCATTTTGGGCCATAATAGGATGCCTAGGCCTGTTTTTATTTTTTATTTTTTTTTCGCCCGCCCACTCCATAATTTTTCTAGAAAAATCCGTTAACCAAGAAATTAAATTGGTGTGGCCTAAACATGTAAATACAAACAATACCTGTAAAAACAAACAGTACACAAACAACATGTAACGACAAAAATCATCTTTATTACTAACAACATATATACAAGATGAAAGGTTTCTTGGATAAAGCCTAGGTCAGATATCTATCTCTATCTTTAGCACTAAGAGGAGGGTGCAAGGCAAGTAAGACAAATACAGTTTACATGTCACTATGTGCATCGGACATTTTGGGGTTTCAATTAAACTTATTGCATGTAGATTGCAAGAACATTTTATACATATGTAAAGAAAAACACTGCAAACAATCCCTTTAAGCCAGGAAAGTAGATGTAGATGAAGGGAAGTTGAGGAACTCACATTTGCTGGGTTTGTTACTGTGAACTCCTCCGTTAGCCGCGCGCCCCTGCCGCTGCGCCTCTCTTCTGAGGGTGATAATTTTGAACAAAAAAAAGGCTTGTATCATGTCTGCACATGTAGATATGCCTCAACTTTTAAAACAATCTACTGCAGAAAAAGCAATATACAGTTTTCTTTCATGTAGCATTTCTCTATAAAACAAGCTTCTAGTATCTTGTACATGTACATCTCATGGCAATGTACATGTAGTTTTCATGTGACTATCATGTGCCCATCATGTGCTAACCTCTCCTGCAGAAGCGAGCCTGGTATCAGCCCTACCATGTGCCTACCATGCACCTACCATGTGCTGATCATGTGCCTATCACATGCTCACCTCTCCTGCAGGAGCCTGCCTGGAATGAGCCCAGCCCGACCGCTGCTGTCTCCCTCGCGACGAGCTTGCCACCAGTTGGGATCCTCCATGTTCACGATGTGAAGCACGTCGCCACGCACGAACGGGAGGCCCGCCTCCCTGCACGGGATGTTCTTGTCCTCAAAAGGGTCGTAGTCGAAGTGCGCCTTCACTCGTACCTTGGGGAGGGGGGGGCAGGAGGAAACAGGCAGGCATTGGTAAGTTCACAGCAGGAAAAAACTGGCAAAGGCCAAGAGGACAACTGGCCAAGACAAACTGGCAAAGGCAGCAAGAATAAATGTCTTTTGTTACCGATTCTTTGCAATGTTCAACACACTAAATGAAATGCTTTTTAAAAAACAACACACTCCTGTATTCTAACAATGACCTTCAGCACACCGCCCCATTCACCCCATTTTCTGTCACAAAAATCACTCCTGTTTCCTTACAGTAGATCTGATTGGAGCAGCATCAATGATAGGCATAAGATGTCCCGATATCTAACATTACGTACCTTGTAGAAAAATTTTGAACAATGCACATCACATAAGGAGTCTTTACTGGAGTCCTACCTGTTCCTCATCCACCTCCTCAATACAGGAGAGAATGCTGCTTTGTGAGGTGGTAGCGGAGGTGGGAAGGGAAGAGGGGGGTAGGGAGGGGCATAGGGGGGGAGCCAACTGGCATGGCAGCATGGAAGGGGGGGCAGAGTAGTGTTAGCTGTGAGTAAAGGTGGTAACATTCATATTAGAGCAGAGAAGCTGGCACAAAAGTAGTCGATTTCTTAGAAATACACCATGGATTCTATCATACAATACAATGGATGCCTTCAATTAGACGGTAAGTGTGAAAAAAAATGTCGCTAAGCATGTCCTGATCATGTGAGTATCATGTGGTCACCAAGCAAAGATCATGTAGTGATCATGTGATGATCATCTGAGGATCATGTGACAGGCATGTCTCTACCTTGCTGTCCTTGGGAGGCCTGAGGTCAAGGTCAGCGGGCACCAGTTTGAAGGTGATCGTCCCGACCGCGTTGCTCAAAATCTGAACGACCTCGTCCGGCGTTTTCCCACGTACGGAGATGCCGTTGACCTCCCAGATCTCGTCGCCGACCGCCATGAGGCCGCTGCGGTCTGCCGCGCCGCCAATCATCACCCGGGCAATGAAGATCTGACCCGTCTTCTCCTCCAGCCGTATCGTGGCTCCCTGGAAACCAAGCGACATGACTCTGACCTTCAAAAATGGATTCCAAGTTCTAAATGATTAGATGGCTACCCAGGGAATTATTGTACAAGAAAGTTACCAAATTTTCTAGCAATGCAAGTCAACCACAATACTTTCATGATATGGAATGCTAAAATGTAAAACAAAATGGCAGACAACGGTGTTCCACACTTTTTTTATCAGTATGATCTTGAGGGACTACTCCTTCAAAATGGATTCCAAGCTCTAACTGACCAGACTGGTATAAGTCAGTTTCCAACAGAATTACTGGATGAGAGAGGTCTCAAATTTCCTAGCCATACAAGTCAACCACAAAACTTTCATGCTATGGAATGCTATTATGCAACAAAATGGTGGACAACTGTGTTCCACACTGACCAGTGGTTCCTCATTTTTTATCAGCTGGACGACCTTGAGGGACTGTTCCTCCTCCTCAAAGTCAGACTCAATGTCGGGAAGACGGGGGGAGAACTCCTTGTTCGCCACTCGGTCGTGGGAAGACAGGAGAGCCTGGAGTGAGGGGGAGGGGGGCATGTCAAGGTCACCTCATGTTCTACCATGTGATGAACATGTGATTAACATGTGAGAACTGTGTGATTATCACTTCATGAGGGAGAACTCCCTGTTTAGTACTTACAACATGTAGTTTCGGTGTACAGGAGTGAAGGTCCTGCAATAGGGGGAGGGGGGTATGTCAAGGTCATGTTATATCTCAGGTACAGAACATCCAAGGATGAATAACACCTAAGGAAGGTCGTGTGACCAGCAGTGGACCATTCTACCCTGAAAAAGGCTGGAGATTCAAAACTAGGTTAAGCCCCTATTTTAGTTTTCTATCCACAACTTGTTATTGTTTGTATACAACAGGGAGTTTAGTGTTAGACTTAGAGAACACAACTTACTCTCCTCACACCTACTTTACCTTACACCAATGTTACCATGGTGCTGTGGGGACAGTTCAGTAACAACCTTACCCTGATGTGGGGACTGTTCAGTAATCTGAGGAGTTCCAAGTTCTCTGGGGTTGGCATCATGAAGCGAAGTTCTTCAGAAATCTGTAAGTTGGTGAGTCGTGGGTTAGAATGTACAGAAAAGACTCAGGCTACAAAGAAGCACAGACATACATTTTTTCCTAAATCTGTAGCTACATTGTTATTGTACCAGAGTATAAAACATTAGTGTCATTGTAAAGGAGGAATAGTGTATTATAATCTGTCAGTTAAAAAAACATTGTATGGCAGTAAAGCTCTACTAAGGTTAATTAGTTTCAGAAACAGTTGCTCAGAAGAAGCTAGGTGACAGACAGGTACCAAAACTCTAGGCTCACACATAGAAACAAAATTACCCCAATAATTTACAATACCCACAGCTGCCTCAGTGTGCTATACAACCTTAATCTCCATACTGCCTGAACCTGTAGTCAATAGAGAATTACTTGCTAAACAGCTACTTCAGCGTGGTATGTGGGAAGTGGAGGAATTCGAGTTGTAATAATTGACCTACACACGGACCTCCACAACAGCCGAACTGCTAATCTGTTGCTAATGTTGTATAACAGCCTCTCACCGAACCTTTTTTACTGCGTAACGTTTTAAACATGTATATTGATTATCAATACCATTTACTAAAGCAGAGGAATATTTTACGATTTATAAATTCTAACAATATTTAATAATATGTAATAATGTTTTAACAATAATACCCATATTTTAATGATATTTTGTGACCTCAGAGCAATTCAGGCAGCCAGTATGGTTGCCTGTGAGTCTGTTGTCAGTGTGGTGGTAATTGAAATTGTGTATGTCTTGAGTTTCAATTTGAAATAAACCACTCTACCACATAAAAACTGAATACATACTCTTCTGGCGAAGAGAATAATAGGAAAGAAATTAACTTAAGTACAATATGGTAAAATTACTTCAAAACCAGGGGTTTTCACATATAAATGTTTTGATGACTGTCTGTCACCTTCTTCAGGCCAAACCCGTACCCAATAGAGAATTGAATGCTAAACACCTACTTCAGTGGAAAAGGAATTTAGTACTTACATCGAGCGCCAGTGCAGCTGAAGTGTACATGACAGGACTGGGATCCTGTTCCATATGTGCAGACACTATACTGTGTACCTACAGGGGAACACAGAAATATACATCATGTACAACTACATTGTAGTTAACCAAAATTCAGGGCTGGAATGCCACTTTTAAGAATTAGTAAGCTGGTGTAATCTCCAAGCAGATTCTGTGCGGCAAGGGGAGCATATTAGCCACCTGTAACCATCTTGGGTGGTGCATCGGATACTGTCTTGGCTGTTTGATACTGTATTGTAGCCACACAGAGAATCTGCTTGGAGATTAGCACTGGTGAACCCAACCTAGAAACTTTGGAGCACAGAAATGAAAAGTGGCCAGCAGGCTCCAGCCTGGTTAGGCCACACCTGTCTCAGTTACAGGTTCTTGGACGGACGAAAAATAAAGCTGAGTTAGTTACATGTAGAAAATCCTACAGTGCAACACTCCTTCCTGCTGAAGTAGCTTGGGAACACAGTAAGTCTTTTACCATCATGTACAGTTGGAGTATTCTCAAGAATGCTGCTCTTCATCATAACGTGTTATTAAGGCAGAGCCGTTGTATTTTATGGTTTTGTAATAAGAGGGTCGTTTCCAGGTGTTACTGTAATTACAGGAGCCAAAAACACCAGCAGAAGAGTTATTATGAGTTCTTGACAACTGGTTTTAAGCTGGAAGGTGAGAACTAAGTACATGTCTGAGGCTTGTATTTAACACCCACACAATAAAATACCGGTAAATTCCATCCAGTATATAGAATCTGTTTCTTCTGAACTGAAATATCGACATGAAAACAGCCAACATAGAGGGTAAGTCTGAACCTTGGTTGGTCCATACTGTTGGACTGAATCTAGTCAGGCTCAACTTTTCTTCCTGATCGATTTAGACAATTGTAGAATTAATAGAAATAAACAAACATGATGATAAGTTAAAAAAGGTACATATAACTTATTTATTTGTTTATTTGTTTATCTATTTATTTATTTGTTTGTTTATTTGTTTACCTTAAGAAGAGCCTCGAAGTCCCTGCTTTGGAACAAGTTGTTGAGGAAGGAGAGGTCATTCTGCTGACCTTCGACCTTCCCCTGTACATGGGTCAGGGACTGCAGAAGCCGCTGTAAACCTGCAGGAAGGAAAAAATAAACAAATAGAAAAATAAACAAACAAATTTGCATAAATAAACAATCCACAATATATAATGTTTGGTACATGTACCACTTAGTACATGACTAGAAAAATTTTGTGATTACACTGTTTTCAAAATCTATCCAGTTGCTTGAGTAACTGTTATCTTAAAGTTGGTAATAACTAATAAATAAGAAGTTGCTTACCTGGGTCACTTCCAAGAGTGGAGAGTCCCGGCATGGTTTCTTAAGAATTCCCTGAGACGTCTGGACAAAGCAAGAGTCTTTAACTGACTGAAGAGATCTCAAAATAGCGGACTGCCTTGAAGTGATATAGTTGGCAGTTTTGCCTGAAGGTACTATATAATTAGTGTGAAATACTAAAGTAACAAGGCAGTTTTGTGGCTGTAGCCCAGCTGGAATGGATGTGAAGTTATCTCTCTCTCACAGTCAGATCATTGCCTTCTTGGGGTACTTAGATCCAGATCTAACAATCCTACAGATCCAAGGTTGATCCTCTACCTGATCCAGATCTTTTTATGAGATCAGAAACCAGAAAATCCGGATCTAGATCCAGTGCTTGCAACAGAAACGTTTGGGGAATGTTGGCCTGTGGTTGCCAGTTCTGCTATTGTAACTTACAGCTTGGATACTTAGATCCAGATTTGACAATCCCGCAGATCCAAGGTTGATCCTCTACCTGATCCAGATCTACCTATGAGATCTGAAAATCTGGATCCAGATCAAGTACTTGCGACAGAAACGCTTTCGGAATGTTGGCCGGTGATTGCTGGTTCTGTTACAGTTTGCCGTTGGTCCCTTCGAATTCTCTCCCAGCTGTACTGTACCACGACCTTGACAATGTCATTGCTGTCCACAAACCAGCGCTGTGAAGGACGTTAGAGAACAGCTCACTTCCTGAGTGGTGCGGGAGGCTGACGTGCCCTTGGGATGACCTTGGAGAGGAGGAGGCTGTCACATGGTGGAGACACACCTGTAGGACATACAAGAAAACATGTGGTCAAGGTCACCTTCAGTGCATACCATAATAACCTTCAACTATTTTTTAATTCCTCAAAATAAAGAACGTTTTTTTACTTTTCAGCTAGACATTTTCTAGGCATTCACCAAAGGCCACTCAGCTGCTATTTAGCAAGCTCCAAATGCATAAATTAAAAAGAGTGATCAACCATAACAAATTCTCAGAGATTTCACAGAATCTTGTGTGACAAAGGCCTGTATCATAATTATAGTCATCATTGTTGTCATTATCTTATGCAAAAACCGATAAAACCTTGAAAATCATATTATCTTCTTGAAACACTAAAACACTTTCAACAAAATGATTGACAAAAAGGATTAGATGAAACAGTCGCAAACAAGGACATGTACAAAGTTCCATCATGGGGAGACGAGTCCACATTTGCCACACTTGTACACCTGAGTTCACTAAACCCCCTTAAGAGCCTCTAGGTCCAAAGTCTAGCTGCTGTTCTGATTGGTTATTTGTCAGACAAACAGTTTGTAATCTGGGAGGCACACTTTTCTCACCACTATAGGTCCTTGCACCCTGGTTAACAATTAGTCAACAATGTTAACTTTCATAGATAAGAAATATCCATGTTACAGAAAGAAGCAGCAGACTGAATGACTGTGTAGGACTGAAACTTTAATTATATTATAGATTATAATGATACCAAGAACACACATTATATTTAATTACTGGAGATAAAGAAATAATGATGCTTTGAATGTCTCTGTATTATGCACCCATATAGTAATTCAAATGTTGGTTATTGTAAAAAAAACAGTGCTAAGTTGCAAAATTACATGAAAACAGAGCCTGAGGCCACACCAATTTAATTTCTTGGTTAACAGATTTTTCTATAAAAATAATGGAGCGGGCGGGCGAAAAAATAAAAAAAAATAAAAACAGGCCTAGGCATCCTATTATGGCCCAAAATGGTACGATAGGAGCCATGAAGTCAACACACCAGGCTGGTTCAAAATTTAAACAATGAATTTTGAACTTTTAATGATACCACTGCATTGAAAGATGGAATAACTGTAACAACAGGGATGAAAAGGACTGTTTTCAACTGTTCAGGGCAAAATATGATCATTTTGCAGTTGATTCTGAATTTTTATTTTTATTTGCAAATCAGAAAAAAATGAAGCGGGCGAATCCGTTAACCAAGAAATTAAATTGGTGTGGCCTGAGGGGAAAAGTCTAGTACTTTGGTACTGTACACAGTTTCAGGGAGTGAAGAAATTGTGTCAGATGACCATTATGACTATGAGACGTTCGGCTTAAGTGCTATGCATAATACATTATGGGTTTCGCACAGGTGCAGTACGTTCTGCTGATGTACTATGATAACAGTTCCAACTTGGCACCAGTCACATTTTGGAGGCTACCTCCCCAAATCACCAGTGACAGGAGTCTGGTATAGTCGGTACGTGAGCGGAGCTGCTATGTGAAGGTCAAGTTCAACAACCTGACCTCTATTAACCCCACATTAGGGGGGGGGCTTCATCCAAGTGTCTGAGGGGCGGAAGAAATTTATTTCAGTGGTTCTCAGATTATTTACATTGAAAATTCACCAAGAGTTTAGGATGAAAACAAAGGGCTGGGTGGAAAACTTGAGTCTGACTATATTCACTCACATGACATGACATGCCTCACGTATTGTATTGTCCTCTATGTTGGTGGTAGCATAAAAATAAGTTGAAAAAACTTGAGAGTGCCAACACCATGTCTTGTGATTACACGTTGGAATAGAAAAAAAAACTGCTAAAAAAGTGATACAGAAGTTCAAGATCACATCCTGCAGTATGATGATCTCATTTCAAACCTACGTCCAAGGAGGTTCAATCAAGCCTCCTCAGTCTCCCCAGTATAAATGCAGGCGTGACTGTATCAAAGGGCTGAGGCTGTTGCCAGAAGAGTTATCACTATCAGACATCTTGGCAGTTTCTTCTGCTGATTTCCTCACATTGCAAATCAAAGCCAAAACCCACTGGGATACTCTCCAAGCAGAGGTTGGATAGCCTCCATGCAGATGTTTCGGTGGCTGCAAAAGACAGTTAAATTGGCCAGGCTGTATCCATTGTCTGCTGTGGCCATAGAAATGTGCTTGGAGATTAAGGTATGGGGCTACAGAGTTTTTAGGTGCTTTTATTGGACTTTCTTTATAGTCTAGTATCTTTTTTTCATCAGCATTTGGGTGGTGTATTGGATATTGTCCCACCTATTTGATGCTGCCCTGCTAGTAACTGACTTGATTTGATGCTGTCCTGCCAAACTGCTACGACTGTCTCTTAGCCAAAATGGCAAAAGATCTTCTTGGAGATCACAACTAGATACAGTCTTGTTAAGATGCCAGGACCCTTTCTGCCCCACCCTAAACCCCAACAGCACAGGTTTGATCCTCGGCCAGCGGAAGTCAAACACTGAACATCTGAAGAGGCTTAGTTTTCAACCTTTATGGCATCACACCCAGAATAACTTGCCAAAATGGTACAAGCTAGAACTTTTATCCCTGAGGACCAGAATAGGCTCTTTCATCTCCCTTTCTCCCTCCACATCTTCGTATTTTCTGTATAGCTATAAAATGTCTAATTGCGATTTCAGGTTTGTTTGAGAATTTCATGTTAATATAGGTTACTAACTAGGGGAGTTCTTTGTGTCCTAAACTAAGACTTGGGCCACACCAATTTATATCTCTGGTTCTCAGACCTTCTTGGGTCAAATTTTAGAAAAGAAACTGAGCATAAACACAGAAGGCTAGAGGAAAACTTGAATTTTACTACGTTTCTTCCCAGAAACTGTGTGAACAGACTTTTCCCTATTTCTACTTTGATCTTCCAGTTCTGCATCATTTTTTTGAGATCCAAGAACCAAGCAATCAAATTGGTATGTCCTTAGCTGTTCTATCAACTGCCACCCCTCCCCCTGGCCCTAAGCCAGCTCTATTTGTATCTCCCAGAATCACTTGGAACAAGTTGAGGTGACCTCGTTGACCTCCGGCCGATCCCAGCGCCAGCTGACCTTTGGCCTCGGCACTATCTCAGCTCCTCACAAACAGACACACATGTACGGGCCGCAGGACGTACGTCCTCCATTGTTCCGCGACCTTGGGCCAGTTTGAAGGACATTACTCCGGACAATTCTGAAGCCAGGTACGAGGGGAGCTACAGGAACGTCTTACCGAAACCTTCGTCTTGATTCTGTTCTTTAAGAAGCCAGGGTAAGTAGGGTAACTCCTTACTTCAATCTTGTGACTAGATATAAGGACCCTTCCACAGCCTCTTCAAGAATAGGCTGAAATCTTAGCATCAACTACATCTAAGACTGTCTTAACTTTGGACAAGGCTTGTAATGATGCAATGTACCATTTCTTTCAAAGAGATTAAGGATGAAGAACTAAAAGTGGTCCTCTTGATCCCACAAGGTCAAACTGATCAACTTGACCTTGGCATCTGGGTTTAGTTAGGCTGTCCTGGAGTCAAGAGCCGGGTCTGTCGTCAGTGTAAATCACTGCCAGTCTCTAGTCTGAACTACAGAAGCTCACTACAGGCAGCTGTAAATTTACAACAAAACTACAACATTTAAATTTTAACCAAAAAAAAATGTAGAAGAATTTTAGTTTGTGAGTTCGCTTAACTCTAAGTGTGGCATTTGTAGAAGGGCCTTGGATGTCACATAACCAGCAACTGCATGCATGCAAGGGGCAACTAAAATCAGAGAACAGATCTGAAGCAAACTTTTATTTTTCATTGTTCAAACATAATAAGATCATTAAGCTATATTGCCTTCAGCATAATCTACAAGTTAGTAGCTTTCCAACATTTTTGTCCATGCTACTGAGGCCTGTTTGCGAGCAAATCAGGAGAACTCATCTGATGAGATGGAAACGCTCACAGAAGGACGCTCCATATTGAGACATCATGCCTTATACCCAGATAAAAGCAGAATCTCAGCCATTCAGACGAGTTCCTGTCTAAATTTACTCCTTTCTGACCTAATTCTTCTGTGGGTGTTGTTGTTGAGAGGCAGCCTAACGTGTTCTGGTTCTGATTAGGCCAGAGTTGGTGTGTCTGACCTGTAGACTTACTGTGGAACTTTGCCAACTCTGCAAACAGTCAAAACTAACCAAACTCAAGGGACTGGTTAAAAATGGTCTATGTACATTCATGTGGACAGGTGGTCGCTATAATGCTTGTGTCAATGGGAAAAGGTACTAGTAGTCTCCAAAAAGTGGTCAAACAGGACAGGTGGTCCTTATGTAGAGGTGGTCCTTATGTAGTAGTACAGGTTTGACTGATATATCTATGTACATCAATAGTTCTTATGTAGAGGTGGTCACTTGTACAGACATTCCTTTGTCTTTTGCTTACAACAAAGGTACTGTATACTTTTCTTGTTGTTCTTCTACCAGTTTACCATTCCAGAAGACATCACAATGTTATAATCATCTTCATGCCAAGCGAAGGGCCATTTGATACGTGGCTAGACATATCTGATTCTGACATTTCTTCCTTACAGACTGTGAAAGAAAGTTGGCAAAATGGCCGTCTGGTGCTACAAACTGTTCTGGCTCGTGTGTCTGGTCTCCATGGCGATGACCTCTGCGGAGGTCGCCTGCGGAGGCCACGGCGTCTGCGACTGTTTGGACGATCACACCGTGGACTGCCGCTACAAGGACCTGGAGGAATTCCCGTCGGAAATTCCCGCCGAAACCGTAACGCTCCACGTCGAGGGCAACTTCATCACCGAGCTCCGCGCCAACGACCTTGCCGGGCTCGCTGACCTTGAGAAGCTCAACCTGCACTTCAACAGCATCAACGACATTGAGGACGAGTCCTTCGGCGACCTTGGGAACCTGGAGCAGCTGGCGCTGGACTATAACATGGTAACCGTGGTAACCACCAGCACGTTTGCGGGGCTGGACAAGCTGACGCACCTGTCACTCATCCAGAACAACATCAGCAGCATCGAGGACGGCAGCTTCCAGCCGCTATCCAGCCTCAGGGTGCTGGATCTCAGCTTCAACAAGATCCCAGGTAAGATCGCAGCTTCAACAAGATCCCAGGTATAATCTCAGCTTCAACAAGATCCCAGGTGAGATCTCACTGCTGGATCTCAGCTTCAACAAGATCCCAGGTAAGATCTCAGCTTCAACAAGATCCCAGGTAAGGTCTCAGCTTCAACAAGATCCCAGGTAAGGTCTCAGCTTCAACAAGATCTTAGGTAAGGTCTAAGCTTCAACAAGATCCCAGGTAGGATCCCATAGCTGGATCTCAGCTTCAACAAGATCCCAGGTAAGATCTCACTGCTGGATCTCAGCTTCAACAAGATCCCAGGTAAGATCTCAGCTTCAACAAGATCCCAGGTAAGGTCTCAGCTTCAACAAGATCCCAGGTAAGATCTCACTGCTGGATCATCGAGGACGGCAGCTTCCAGCCGCTTTCCAGCCTCAGGGTGCTGGATCTCAGCTTCAACAAGATCCCAGGTGAGATCTCAGCTTCAACAAGATCCCAGGTAAGATCTCACAAGATCCCAGGTAAGGTCTCACTGATAGATCTCAGCTTCAACAAGATCCCAGGTAAGATCTCACTGCTAGATCTCAGCTTCAACAAGATCCCAGGTAAGATCTCACAAGATCCCAGGTAAGATCTCACCGCTAGATCTCAGCTTCAACAAGATCCCAGGTAAGATCTCACTGCTAGATCTCAGCTTCAACAAGATCCCAGGTGAAATCTCACTTTCTAGAAGATCCCAGGTAAGATCTCAGTGCTGGATCTCAGCTCTAACAAGATCCCAGGTAAGATCTGAATCCGAGGCTCAGCTTAACATGTCTGTGTTGAACCTTCACAGCTGCAGGAGTTTCTGCGGTGCTGAGTGGTTTGGAGGAGAGTCTGCGGGAACTGGGGCTGCGGTACAACATGCTGCAGGAAGTCCCTGCAGCCCTGGGCCTGCTGCAGAACCTGCAGACCCTCAACCTGGCCGGGAACAACATCAGCTCCATCAGACCCATCCAGAACATGACCTCCCTGCTGACCCTCGACCTCAGCAACAACAGGGTCATGCACCTTGACCCCAGCATGTTCCAGAACATGGAAAGCCTGGAAGTTAGTCAACTCAACCTCTCAATTTATTTAAAACATTTGCCCTTTTACAAATTTTGGATATGGCCTTTAACCTTTACCCTTATCTCCACGTGCTATCCATGGCTTTTAACCTTTGCCCCTGTCCCCGAGTGCTATATTCTCCATGACCTTTAACCTTTGCCCTTGCCCCAGGTGCTGTCGCTGGCGTATAACCGTATGGGTCTGATCGAGGAGGGCGTGTTCTGGAACCTGACGGAGCTGCGTAGCCTGGACCTGCAGGGGAACAACGTGCAGCGGCTGCACCGCGGGATGTTCTCCAACGTGGCCACCAACTCCTCCCGCCTCCGCCTGCACCTCCGCAGGATGAACCTCCGCACCATCGACAAGTTCTGCTTCCAGGACGTCGGAAACCCAGATGCTAAGGTTAGCAGCCACTATCTCATCTTTTCTATTTTGTTCTTGCTGAGTTTCAGTTTATTAATATTACAAGACAATACTTGTGGTGTAAAGGCAATTTTTTTCATCTTTGTTCTTGTTGAACCTACCGTGTAGCATGACATGCAAATAGGCATGCCTAACAAGCCAGAAAACACTGCTAAGTGTTGGCCAGGAAACAAACCTACCTAAAGTAAAACTGTTAAAACCTTTCCCTTCGTTACTTTCTTAAATCTTTTTTTGGTTGTTACAGAGGTAGGTACATTGTAACTGTCTTGTTTGTGCCAACAATCAGGTTGTTAAATCCTTGCAGCAGATATTTTCCTTTTCCTCAATCCTGAGCTCCTATTGCTATTGGTAGTTTTGGGAATGGTACTCTGGAGTTAGAGGTGTTTGGCCACAAACCAAGAGCCCAATCAGACCCTGTGAACAAGAGATTGGGTACTTAAAGTTTCCCATCTTAAATCCCCTGTAAATCCAGATCCACCAGCGCGAGATGGTGTAACAGGCTAAAAGTTTCTCTTCTTGAATCCTGCTCAGATCCAGATCGATCTGCGGAACAACCGTCTGAAGCTGCTGCCCCCCGGCCTGTGCCGCAGCCTGCCGGAGGGTCAGCTGAGCTTCAAGCTAACTCCCTTCTTAAATCCAGATCTACCGGCAAGAGATTGTTTAACACAAGCTAAAAGTTTCCCTCCTTGAATCCTGCTCAGATCCAGATTGACCTTCGGAACAGCGAGAGATTGTGTAACATGTGTAACAGTACAAGTTTCCCTAATCTTGAATCCCGCTCAGATCCAGATCAATCCGTGTAACAGGCTAAAATTTTCCCTTGTTGAATCCCGTTAGATCCAGATCGATCTGCGGAACAACCGTCTGAAGCTGCTGCCCCCCGGCCTGTGCCGCAGCCTGCCGGAGGGACAGCTGAGCTTCAAGCTGGCGGGGAACCCGTGGCACTGCGACTGTCGGATGGAGCGCGTCCCGGAGCTGTGCCCCACGGCCGTCACCTCGCGGATACGCTGCGCCCAGCCCGACGCGCTCAACCGGAGGCTGCTCGGCTCGCTCGAAGCCGACGATCTCGTGTGTGAGACGACCGGGGAGCCAGAGGACGGGGAGGCGGATTCTGTGGAGTAATCGACTCGACCAGCTTTCAGAAAAAAATCAGTTACTTAAACAACTTGATAGATTTTGCGAACTGTCAGATATTTTGAGTAGCATTCACAATCACTCACAATGCTGTTTCTGTGGAATAATTGACTGGCTTGCACAAAAAAGATAGTTACTCAAACAACTGGTGGAGAGATTTTGAGAACTGTCAGATGCTTTGAGTAGCATCCACAATCACTGACGATGCTGTTTTCATGGAGTAATCGACCGGCTTGCACAAAAAAATCAGTTACTCAAACAACTGGAGAGATTTTGACAGATGTTTTTCTGTAGAATCCACAGTGGACAAAAAGTAGTGGATGCTACTTGAAACGTCAGACAGTTTTCAAAACATGATCTGGTGGCTTGAGTGCGAGCGGACGGCACAGCCAGAGGATGGCAACACAGATTCCGTGGAACAATCGATCATTGCCAATAAAAAACAAAAAAGCAACTGGATAGGTTGTTAGATGTTCCGAGTAGCATCCACAATCACTGACAATTGACAGAAAACTCAAGTCAAGGTTTAAGAATTACTGGATTGATCCTGATTCTATGAAGTTGAAGGAGATGGTGGCTGTGATGATTTTGTTTTAAATGGGCCGAGCTTTTTCTGTACTTGGAAAAATGAGTGGAAATAATCTGTATCAGATTCTGTGTTTAGGTGACTTGTGGTGAAACACACCAGCTTTGCAGGCAAGCAGGCATGGGGTCAGGGAGGTATTATCTTTAGTACTGGTATTATGATATCTCAAGCTGTCTAATAAAGTAGATCGAACATAGTTCAAGTAGCACCCACTACTTTTTGTCATCATAGTTCAATAGCAGAACAAGTTGTTGATACGTTGATATAAATTTGTTAAGATCACAAGGAAAATTCAAAATGACATCGGAAGGAAAATCTTATAACATGGAAGGAATATTGCAGGCTTGAATTGTGGCAGCTGAAAGGAGACTGGTTTGAAAAAATTCATTTTGTGTACAATGTATTAAGCTTGAAATAGAAGAGAAATTCAGTTCTTATGACTGTTATTATGAGTTTGTACCAGTAATCATAGATATGAGACTAAGTAGTATGTATAAGAAGCAAAACTTTCTAAAATCTTCACTAGAACAGAAAGACTGTGCATAATAATACAACAGGAGACTTTTAAGCACCAAAACTGAACTGACAATACATGTAAACACCTGTAGAGGTTCATACATGTTCAACATATTAAACATGTCTAAGTGTGCAAAAGTAGGCAATAAACTGATATCCAGCATTGATTCAAACGTCACTGCAGACACTGAGACTGTTCATCTGTGTGTTTCTATACTGAAGTTTATATATGTTCTCCCAGAGGGCACCTCTACTCAAAGGTAAAGTTGCCATCTCTGATTGTCTTGTTGATGACAGTTTTAACTTTACGGTCGGTTTACCACAATCGCTTCTTGGCCTGCAGTTCTTGAATGAAACACAAGGAGGAGCTTCTACACAAGGAACAGATATTTATATATACATGTGTGTAATGACAAAGACAGATGTTACGACAAAGATAAAGAAATAGTCTTGCTATAAATAAGGAACAGCCAATTCCTTTTCAAACTATGTATGAAAAATCAGAGCTACAATTTAGTACAAAGACGTCATGTGATATACAGTATATCATACTGAAACTACTTTCTTCACTGACTAAAACAAAATTTCTTGTTTGTATGTCCCAAAAATGGTCTTACCAACACAAGTAACAGGAAAGTGAAAGTGTGCATGTCCAAGTGAAAATGAGGGAAGTGGTCAGTCACCACACACTGGGCACCTTCACAAAGAGGCAACTGGGAAAACATCGGGGGAAAGTGATGATTTAAACGCCTGTTCAGTCTGGCTAACATAGGGCAGAATCAACTCCATTTGCTGGATCTCAAATATATATAAAAGCTGAAGAATTTCCAAGCAGATCCTAGGGTGGCAAAAAGACAGTATCAAATTAGAGAGGGTCCATACCACACACAAAGATTGGACCCTCTCTGGCCAATGGATACTGCCTGGCCAATTTGATACTCTCTTTTTGCCACCCTAGGATCTGCTTGGAGATTAAAAGCTGACCTGCAAGATAGATTTTAATGTTTCAGGTAGTACTAACTACTTTTTGTCAGTGACTTTTCATCAGTGTGGTACACACAGTTCCAGAGAGGGAATTTATACGTATATAAACAAGTTCAGGTTTTTCTTGCAGCTTTCTGTTTTCATTTTGTCTTCCAGCAAAATAATTAGTACATCCCCAGAGAGATCAGACTGAGTACAGGGGCTAACCCAGGCTGGAATTTACACGGCAGTGCGACGGCACCTGATGAAATATGGGCAATACCTTATCTATCATTAAATACTGCAGAAAATTCCTGCATTTACCGTATTAGTAAGCAAAGCCGTACTTGTACTGTAAGCAACATTCAATAATTGATTTTGATGAACATAATTATTATTTCTAATGCTGTATAATTATTTTTGACCTTTTTCTATGTCTAGGAATGACAATGCAGGAGTAAAACCCTTGAAATTTGCAGCTTATTTTCACAGGGAACCAAACAAACTTGACTCTACCAAGCTACGAGCAAAAACCTGGCAAGATATATCTATAAGTACTACACGAGAAATCTTACCTGTACATTAGATAGAAAACACCACTGTATACAAGAGTAAACCCTTCCACACCCAGGAATCTCACATGCACCCTGCATGCATAATGCACAGTCCCTGGGGACATTCCATTACTGGCTACAGGGGAATGGGCACAGACATCAATATCATGGAACAGTCCATTTTTTATTAAGAGGGAGAGACAAAAAAAACTAAACACTAGTAAGAAGTATGATGTGAGCAAAATGTTGACTGTAGGTTTTGGACTTTCAAAACACACAATTCAGTTAAGATAAGATGGTTTGTAACTATTTTTCTTAATAATTTTTTTCTCTATGTGTGTTTATATTATAAAATGGTACATTCCAAAAAGTCATCACAAGCCAAGTGGCGCCATAACTCTACCCAGGGGACGTTCATTAATCTGACCAATAGGGGGAGGGATCAGCCCATACATCATAGTCGATGACTCATCCCTGTCTGCCATGCAACCGACAGTAACACTATCTCCACATTTGTCTCTGCAGATTCACATTCAGGGCTTGAAATACCTTTTTCTGCATACCTATACTGTACAGGTAACACTGAAAAGTACCTGCACCAGGCAAATCTTACATGTATCTGCACTACTCAGAACTTATGAAGGGTGAATCATACCAAAACTGTTAAAAAATACATTGACATTATTTCTTTCATATTTCATAGATGGTAACAGTCAATGCAGCAAACCCACATACACCTATATGTACATGTACATACATGTATAAACCCAGTACATGGACCAGTGCAAGTTAGGAGCAGGTAGACATCTGAAATACAATGTACATTGTACCAAGGAGGTTCAATCTTGATAGTACCTGCACAGCTCCAATTTTATCTGCATATATGCAATTTTACCTGCGTATTTCCAGCCCTGATATGGTAGTACTGTACTGAATCTTTTTTCTCTCTAGGTGATCAGTATTAGCCTGTCAATTGTCCAATCCATCATCCTGGTCTGATTTGATTAATTAGTCTCAGCTCCCAGCTAACGAGGCCAGAAGGCGCTGATTAGCTCGTTAATTGAAAAATAGGAAGGGGCAGTTAAGGTTAATTGAAGGAAACTGTGGATAATTTAATGTAGATGCAGAGATTGCGAGGAAACACTCTGAAATTGGTTTCCATTTTTCTGAATGTTTGTTTCAATCTCAACAAATACCGCAAGCTCATTTCACTTCACATTGCTTAAGTTTCGCAAAACGGTGGGTGGGGGAGGGGTATATTTAGAGGGGACAAAAATTTGTGAAAATCTGTCCTTGTATTTTCCACACAGAGCAAAAAAAACTGGGGAAAACTTGTCCCCTCCTCACAGCTGTTACAGTTTTGTTATCGAAGAATACAAAGAAAAGCAATGATTTTTGAGATGAAAACAACAAATAGAATTATTCAGCTAAAACCTGCTCCAGTCAACAGATGGCACAGTTTTAGTCTTCTATTTCACCATCTCAAGCTTCTTATTCAGTATTCACTATCATTATCATTTGTAGAAGAAAGGTGGCTGCAGTTCTAACTCTTGCAAGATAGGGGGCACAGCTGCACATATAGAACAGCAGTCAACCTTCCCTTTCAAAATCTGAGGAAACTAAAAATCTTGAGCTTTGAAAGAAAGTTAAACTAAAACTGGTCACGGGGAGGGAAGTTTCTTTTCTTTTCTTGCAAGGTGAAGAATTTGACCTTGTCGCTGCTGTTTGTACTGAATTCTGATTCCCAAGGTCAAACAAAGGGCTGGAACATGGAGTTTGTCAACTCTGCTGACAAGGTCAGGAACAGTTCTGCTGACAAGGTCATATACAGTACACAGTCTGTACTCTTAGGCGAATATGTTACATTCTTGGGTTTCCTCTATTTGTGAGAAATTCAATTATCATGGGTGGAATAAGAATAAAAAGTAAACTAGAAAGGCCGACATTTGCTTGAGAGCAAATGCAGCAGATGGCTTCACCCTATCCCCCATACCAAAAATGGATCTATCCTACGATGGCTGCCAATAGTCTACACCCCCATGCAGAAATGGAACCTTCCAATGCCGGAAATAGCCCAAAAGCCCTATTGTACATAACTTTAAAGTGGTGTATGTCAAAATCGTGAATGACATTCTTTGGACATGTGTCCAAGGTATTCCCATACCAAATTTCAGGTCATTCAGATTTAATATTAGGGCACAGGAGCCAAAAATGTACATTTTTGGTCCGAAAATAGCAAAAAAGCCCTATTTTACACAATTTTAAAGTGGTATATGTCAAAAGCGTGAATGGCATTCTTTGGACACGTGTCCAAGGTATCCCCATACCGAATTTCAGGTCATTCAGATTTAATATTAGGGCACAGGAGCCAAAAATGTACATTTTGGGTCCGAAAATAGCCAAAAAGCCTTATTTTTCCCAATTTTAAAGTGGTGTATGTCAAAAGCTTGAATGACTTTTTGTAGACATATGTCCAAGGTATCCCCATACCAAATTTCAGGTCATTTGGTTTTAGTACCTGGGAACCAGATCTCAAAATGTATATTTTTTGCCTGAAAATGGCCAAAAAACCCAAATAAAACAATTTTTCAAAAAATGAAAAAACGTGTCGGGGTATTTGCCCACTCTACCTTCATGCCAAATTTCGTGTTATTTGGCCGGAAAATGGCAGAGATGAATCCATTTAAAGAAATGGCAGGAGGAGAAGGAGGAGAAGGAGAAGAAACATGAGGGAACACAATATGTCTTCACCACTTTGTGGTGAAGCCATAACAAGGCATCCTACTAAAAAAAACAGTTCCTCAAGCAACTGGATGTAATTTTTTCCCAAATCACATCCAGTTGCTTGAATAACTGTCTGTTGTGTGTTTTTTTTTCCAAAATCATATCCAGTTACTCGAGCAACTGTTTTTTTTTTTTCGTATCGTATTACCTTGATATCTAACCTTCACCAACGTATCAAGGCATCCTCCTATGGACAGGATCCACAAAGTCAACATACATACGTATACCAGAGTGCTGGTTAACATTATAATAAAACTAGGAGGACAAGACTTAAATCAACTGCTGGTGCCAAAAAAACTGAACATTTTGGGGTGCAGACTTGTCAGAATGTTGAAAAGTGTTCCAATCTACTTGTAGCATTAGTTCAAAAACCAAAAAACCAACCAATCCATTTAGTGCTGCCAAACCTTCCCGCTGGGAAATCTAAATAATTAACTTTCTCCTGATGAGTTTAGCAGTGGCAGATGTCACGCCTTTTGTTCTCAGGGTGATCAATAATTAATTTCCTAACGAGCTACGCGGGATTACACTATTGTGCTGGAATTGGTGACGGTTGTTACGGATTGATGAATTAAACTTCTTTGCTATGAGAAGGCATTGCATGTTAGAATTTTGCCAGGGGAAATCAGACCATTGATAGAGATTATAAAAAGTACCTGTCCAATGTGGGCATGTTTTAGGCCATATCAATTCTATCTGCTGGTTCACGGATTAAAAACATTAAAAGGCCAACTTGGCAAGGCAAATTAATATTGTGTTTCTAAGTTTATTCCATAAATATTATGCTGGGTTGGGATTCATTTTTCTCTCTAACAATATTATTATTGTACCAATCAACAGAATAAAGTACACACACACACACACACACATTCATACACAACACACGCACATACATACAAACACACACACATACACACACATACACATACTGTGTACATCACTATAATATATTAACAAGTGTGTTAGAAAACTGACTGACCTTGTAAAATAATGACCTTCAAGTTGTCTTAAGATGTTCCCAGCTGCATCAGGCAGTAGACACGACGTCTTGAGGTTTGCTGGAGAACTTCTCAAGTGACAGCTTGTCAGTCAGTCTTCTCAGTAAGACATCCTGAAACAAAGGGGGGGAAGTAGTATATACATGGGCTTGGAAAATATGATAGCAACAGAGCAGTACAGATATCTGTTAGATGCTATCAGGGATATCATATCCAAATAGCATCTCTCCTTGTCTACAACATACAGTGGACACCAATTACTGCACATGTTCTTGGATCATTCATACTATCATAGCAAATCTTATAACTCAGGGGATCTGCATAGAATCCTGAACACAGAAACCATTTCCCATTCACTCCCATTCATTGTAAACGGAATGGAATACCACAGATACTACGCAGATAACACTTTTGCCCTGGGTAGCATCCTACATATAGTTAGTCAGGCCTGTAGTTAGTTTTCTGTGCACTCTGCCTGTACTCTTGCTCTTTTAAATACTGTAGGTCAGTTGTACGAGAGGGAATCACAGGAAAAAACTAACTACATGTAGAAGAGCACCTAGGCTGTCCTTCTGCACCTTTGATGAAGTCTTCACTTGCCACTGACCAAACCACACACAGAGACACAACACAAAATCCTGAGGTCTCTACTACAACTGTGCAAGGCCTCATGGTGAATCAGATGTACGGGGGAGATTCACTTCACTCTGGGGGGAGGTGGTGGAGTGAGCCCCTTCTGGTTTGCAACTAGAGTGATATGTTAACATGACTATATGTTGTCGTTATATCTGTGCTAACACTAGTTGGCAAAATATGTGGATCAGTGTGGGACTGTGGGTATATGATCTCTTCATCCCCTATAGAATCTACTGGACCTCCCCTGAGCAGCTGCCAAGATCAGGTTTGAAGGAACACAGCTGTACAGGAAGGGGTAGGGGACGGTACATTGTTGGTCTTAAGGGTTTTCGGCTGTTACCTTTACAGGAAATAACTGTTATGGTTAGGGGAAGGTACATTGCTTACCTCAAGGGTGGGACCTGTACAGGAAGTGCAATGTGATTATTAAGGGACAGTCCATTGTTAGTTGACGCCTTAAAGGGGTTGAGAATGTAAAATAATGTAAATGTGTAGCATATCTTGATAATGGTTAGACATCCAGTAAACAGAATTCTTGAGGCTTGAATTACATGTATGTTGATTTGGGGTGGCTACCTATAAAATACAAAGAAGTAAAACTACTAAAAAGATTATGAAAAGGGGCCCTTTTTAGAACCACTAAACTAAAATGGTACGGCCTGAGTTATAGACACCTGTCTGGCACGGACTCCTGGGTAAATATTGGCTGACATGTAAAGTGTCTGGTTCTGTTTGCTCCTATTGTTGTGGAAATAAGGGGAAGATTGTAAATGTGTCTTAGGTAATCTTACAATCGTTAGAGCCTCTGCCAGCCAAAATGCATGGATAACACATATGTAACTGTATGATGATGCACAAATGCATGTGTATTGACACACTAACACAGTCACGCACACACACAAATACTTGCACACAGACACACATATACGCATACACACTAACACACACTGACACACACACACAAACATGCACGCACACACACACACACACACACACAGACACACACACACAAACACACCTACACACACACACACACATGCCCACACACAAAAACATGCGCGCACACACACACACACTGACACACACACACGCACAGACACATACACACACGCACAGACACACACACACACACACATACTGTACATACACACACACACACACACACACACACACACACACGCACACACACACACACACTTGCTCCCACAGTCACATATCATCAAATACACTATATTTTCTTTAGTCTTGTACAACAAAAGTTCCCAGATCTCCAACACAGTAAAAACCCAAGAGGAACAACAAACTACAGACAAGCGTGTAGATTTCACCAACATCCACGTTCGAACACCAGACATAAAATAAACACACACAACATCCAAGTTCCTCGCGCGGTTTGCTACGCCTAAACATCACACAGCCGAGCCTTGGATCTTCTGATCTCACCTGGAAGGATCCTTGATCGGAACACAAGACGTTGGAGGTAAGAAGTAAGATGTAACGGTGCCAAAACGTCTTGCACCCCGCCGGCCACACAGCTTGTGCCTCTCACAATGAGTTTCATATGGCGAAGCCGAAGATGGACGATCGCGCCTCTTCGGGAACAGTCGGGCAGCGTCGGTAATTTCCGTCAACAGTGAGGGTCTGTAAGGAGTATTTAGCGTTAAAATATATAAATGATACAAAGCTATTAGAGAAAGAAGATTTTATTCATAATAACACTGCTTTATAAGTTAAAATATTTTATCATGCAGATAGATGAAAATATGTCCACAATAAGGTCTATAAATTGACAAATAAAGCATCTCCGTTATCTCACAAAACTCTTTGTGAGCCCCATTATTTCCGTGACACGAACGTCAATCGATCAGGCTGGAATCCGAAGGTCCCGGATGTGTCATGGCGTCCTCCCCTCCAGAGAGGCTGGTGGTGTATGATGGTGTAAAATAAGCAGGCGTTTAGACCCTTTGCGGTGCCGAAAATTCACCAGAGTTGCACCAAAACCCACCCTTAAGCCTCTATGGTATTGATGGTAATGCATGCACGGAAATATCCGCGGCTTAACGATGGGTAAAGCACCTTGTTTCCCCATACCTCCATTGACAGAAGTCCGCCATGTTTTTTCCAGACATTCTACAAAATTGCTCCCAGTTTCCATGAGTTTTGCCGATTTTCCCGCCCTGTAAGAGCCCGTTTCCGTCATGTTAACGTTCTGTGTTTTGTTTTGCAGGTACCACGACAGAAGCCAGGCCCATCCCTACCAGGTTGGTACACCGAGAGGGGCCGAGATCGGGACTTCAGACAAGCCTCATTTTTGACAGAAGTGGTCACGATTTCCGATGTAAACATAAATATCGCGGCATCCAGACCAAAATTGGCCCATCCTAAACCTGACTGGAACGTTTTGGATATCCTAACACACCATCTGGCTGAGAAAAATTTCAGAAATTTTCGTCTGATCAGTCGAGAAAGACGAATTTTATGAAAAATCGTGAAAGTGGAAAGTTCAACTCAATCAATCAACCTTGACCGAGGCTTTCTGGTTTATCAAAGAACAAAAGACACACAGGTGTCTCACCTGAACATTGTCCGGACTCAAGACATTGGCAGAGTCTTAAAAACAAGGAGTCTTAGAAGTTTTCTTGAGAAAAAAGAGACATATCATTACAGAATGAAGTTTGTATCACCCTGGACAAATTGGAGATAAAATACTCTCTCTAATATCAAAACAAACAAAAAATCCATCTTTAGAAACCGATTTTGGCATCTTTTGGAAAATATCACTGCAAGAAAATTCTCTTTGAGATCCTTTTTAAATAAATCCTAACAAAAATTGATGTGAAAACGTTGCCAGCATTTTTTCATAAAGTTATTAATGGTGTCTCAAAAATTAATTTGATTGATTATTGGGAAGGCCACAAGTATGAGTTTTATGATTTGGCTACATAACAAAAAAACTTTCAAAAAAAATATGCCCTCAACCTGTAAAGACAAAGAACTCCGTGTTGTGATGAATTACATTAACTGGTTCAGTATTATAATAAATGGATATAGAATTCATTAAGTAAAAAAAACATTTACTTAAATGTTTCACATATGGTCAGACTGACAAATTTGGTCTCCGATGAAAATTGGGTAGTTTTTAATTTCATGTAATTAGGCTTAATTAATATTTTGTATAACAGTAGTTGTAGATTGTATTATGTACTATTATGTTGTAGTTTCCATGATGTTGGTTGTTTATGTTGTTGTTTATGTTTGTTGCTGCAGACTGCTGGTGTGGGAAAGTACCCATCCAAGCGTGACGGCAGCGGCTCCTATAATGACTACGACCACCGGATTGACAGAGTGCGGGATTCGCCCGGCGAGGTTTCCACCGCACGAAGGACAGTCCCGGCAACGGAACAGTCCCTGGGAGTCACGCGACAGGGAGAGAGAGAGGGAGCGAGAGAGAGACAGGGAGAGAGACAGGGACAGAGACAGATATAAGAACAAATCTTCTTATTCAGAACGATATAGGGAAAAGGAAAGGGAGAGGGAAAGAAGAGGTAACTATGGCAACCCCGTGTGTCTGCAGTAACACTTTCACTTTTCAGGGAGGAGCAAGTTTTCTTCATGTGAGGTTTAGTTAGAATGTTACAGTTCTTTCAAGGAATCAAATTTATCTTCATCCATTGAAACCAGCTCTCAAAAATCAAGTTATCAAAATGTGGAGGAACTTCAACATTTTAGAAATCTTCTAAACATGATTTGAAAAGTAGTTTCTCAAAATTTATGTGAGGGAGAAAATAGTGTGAAGAGATTAATTTTGCATTAAGAAGTAGTACTAGCAGAGTCTGTTCTAGCTGAGGAAAATGGCTAAGGAGAAACTGAACACAAATGAAGAAAACAACTGAGGCTTCTTTATTAACATGACCAGTTAAGCAAACATCTTGTTTGCAAGCACACATTGAATCTGAAGATACTGCTGCCAAGGAAAATTCAGTCTTTTAATTATTTTTTCAGGATATGAAGGTAAAATTGTTTTTAACACAACCAAAGTTTTGCACCAGTCAACATGAATTTGACAAGTATTGAGTGGTAAAGAGCAGCAGAGCTCGTGACTTCCTGATGTACAAACATTGGCAGCACAAAATTTGGTTGTAATGCAGAGAATTTTACCTAGGAGTCATCAATAAGTCATTTTTTGCCAATGAAAATTAAGAGATTGAATTCATACCAGTTCCTTTTGGCTTCCGAATCTGCAAGACTTTAGCAAGAATTGACAAAAAGGACCTCACACAAGAAATTCTTGTTTTCTCCACTGACATCCATGCTGAATCCCTGCTTTTTGAGTGACACATTTTCACATCTGTTGTTTCTTTTTGCATCAGCATTTCGTGTGCTTCATTTTTGCTTTGTTCTGTACTCGTTCCTTTAACATGACGTGTGTTTTCCAGCTTGTTTCCCCCTCCCCGAGTTGTTTTGTTAAAGCTTGCGGTGTGGTTCTTGTGTTATAGAGAGAGAAAGGGCTAGGTACAGTCCCGGGGACTGGGACAGACCTCACAGAAGAGACAGAGAGGACAGGAGAGGTAATGTCACAACACTGCTCATTGGTCAGCTTTCCTCTCTGCCAAAACCTGATTGGTTGGAGGGGAGTAGAAATAATGTATGAACACAGCTTATTGGTCAAACTCCACTGCCAAAGATTGATGGGTTAAAGTAAAATAATGTTACAACACTGCTCATTGGTCAGCTTTCCCCTCTGCCAAAACCTGATTGGCTGGTGGGAAGTAGAGAAAATGTCTGAACAAAGATCATTGGTTGAACTACTATCAGCCCAAAGTTGATTGGTTAAACTAAAAGGAGAGGTAATGTTACAACACTGCTTATTGGTTAGTTTCTCTCCACTGCCAACACCCAGGGACCTCCCTAAACAATGGAGCAGTGGAGCTCCTCCACCCAGTCCTTATCTCAGCTCCACCCTGTTAATTTTCAAAACTAGTGTTTTTACACCCTTTTCCAGGGTTCTTTGGTCAAATTTACCGATATTTCGCACCCTCCTCCATTCTGTCCTAAATTTCTGGGGAGATCCCTGAACACCTGATTGGTTACATCAAAGATCATGTCAATGTTAGAACCCTGCGGATTGGTTAGTATGAGACTTGTGGTGTGAAGAATGTCTAAGGTAAAACGTGGGTCATACCAGGTCACTTACGTCAAATTTGTCGGAGGATTAAAGACTTTAAAAGAATCATTCAATCACATATGATACGCCAAAATGCAGTTAATCAAGCAACTGGATATGATTTTGAAAACGTGTTCAAAATCATATCCAGTTGCTTGAGTAACTGCTTTTTGGCATTTACAATATGCAACCCTAAAAATTACTGAAACCAAATTACATTTACAGTTGTTAGTACATACAATTAAAAGGTACGGGTTGAATCATTTACTACAGAGATTTGTTGTAGAGCAGTGTTGCTGGGTAGAGCACGTCGGCAGAACGTACTGCACCTGCGCAAAACCCGTGATGTATTGTCCATAGCATTTCGGCAGAATGTCTCATATAAGGTTGTATTTGCTCATATAAGGTTAGCATTTCGACAGTAGTTTCCAAATGTTGTGTCGGAAAGAATATCCTCTGCAACAGGCAAAATTCTGATGCAACGTTGACCAAAAACCCAACGAAAAACACCAAAATATGGGGTTCTGCGCAGGCGCAGTACGTTCTGCCGACATGCTGCTGGGTAGAACCTTGATTGACAGTTGATTGACAGTTTGAGATGTATGTTGCCCTTGCAGGGACCAGCGATTCTCCGGCGCAGAACGCAGCCAATCACCAGCCCCGACAGAGCAACAGCAGCGCCAACCACTCACAGACGCAGCCCCAGACGACCGACAGGAAAAATGATAACGACGCGGGGAAGAAAAACGCTGAGGTGAGACCTCGGGCAAACTTCGTTGTGATGTAGTGGATAGAGCATCCGACTGTCAAACAAGAAGACCCAGGTTCAATCCCCAGGGCTGGACCCATACATGTCCGGACTTGCACCCAGATGTTGTGCTCTTGGGAAAGGCACTTAACACGTATTTCCCCCCTCAGTTAGGGAGTTAGGGTTTGGGTCTGTGTCAGGAAGGGCATCAAGCCGTATAAAATCTTGCTTCAAAAAAGACTTGCACTTGATGCAACACGTCTAACCCTCAGTTACTTGAAGGGAAAAATGTTAAAATAGTCCAGTGGTTAGCGGACCATGAGTTTGGGAGTTGGAATCCTGGTTGTTTTCACTCACCCGACATGCACACTACAGTCCTTTGGATGGGACATTAAGCTGTGGTCCACTGTTCATTTGTACTTGTTGGAAAAAGCTGGTGGACTTTCCTTGGCACAATGAACCTGTTGATACATGTACTGTGCATAGCGTCTGTCTCCTCTGACATGACCAGTGGACACGTAGCTTTTCAGTGAGCTATAACTGATTTTAGATCATTATGTTTACCAAAGGAAAACATTGTTTTTACCCAGTTTATTCTTCCTCTTCTTCTCCAAACAGTGATCTATGACCTGACCAATGACATGATTTGTTGACGTCTGTCTGTCACCATGGTGACTGGTGTTGGGTTACATAATGTTGCAATTTCATGGTCTGCTCTGCTCCTGTCACCATATACTAGTGGTACATGTATGTGAATGTGTTTGAGTAAGAATTAACAGAGCAGACCATGTCTGAAGGTAAACATTATGCATTTGCTTTGCAAATGTTACTTCTCTAGTGTTTGTTTCCATCCTGACTGTTGTGTTTGTGTTTCAGCATACCCAGTCCAGCACTGCTAGTACCAGTACTGCAGCAGCTAATACAAAGGTACGTCAGGTCTAGGTTTTCAGCTGGACATTTTCTTGGAATGAATGTGGGGATTGTGCTTAGTTTCTGGGACAGCTGAAAGGTGAAACTAGTGCTGCATACCGGTTCACTGGACTTGGATCCGGACTTGTAAAAATGTTTAGGTTCAAGTCCAAAAAAACCTAAAAGTCAAGAACCGAGTCCGGACTTATTACCATAAAAGACCATTTCACATACCCCTTTTCTTTCCAAACCACCTAAAACCTTCCAAAATCTTTGCTGCAAAATGAAGAAAACATTGCCATTGGGCATCGTCAAGGACCGGCCCCCATGTTATGTGGCCAAAGTTTCACCCAGACAACATTGCAAGGTTGCCAACATGCAATTTTGTATATGCCATGGATTTATGTAGGTCCGGACTTACAAGTCCGGAACTGAACCTAAACCTCTGGACTTGAATCCGGACCTGAACCTAAATGTTGGTTTAGGTATGCACCACTAGGTGAAACTATGCAGAGAACATCATTCTTCACTCAAAATGCCCCTAAAAATCTTTAAAAAACTAGATATTTCTTGCGTCTCTACAGGACTCTTTATAAATGTGAACTCATTTACAAAACTTTGTGAGTAACTACAAGACTTAATATTTAACCCTTAGCACACTGAAGTAGCCATTTGGCTACCAATTCTATTGGTAAGAAGACTAGGCAACATGTTTGCAGCTAAAATGTTGAGGATTCGTGTATTTTATTTTTTCCAGGCTTACAGAAAGGTCCAAGGTGATTGGTCGGAACACATCAGTTCTTCGGGCAAGAAATATTACTACAACTGTAAAACGGAGGTGTCACAATGGGAGAAACCACCGGGCTGGCAGGAGAGGTGGGTTTGTTTTTGTTTGTTTGTTTGTTACATTTATTGTGGCCACACCCATGTATTTGACCATTACAATAGCTCAATGGAGAAGAGTGCTTGCTTTGTAACCGGGAGGTCTTGAGTTCAAACCCCGGCCAGGGTCATACCAAGGACTTTAAAAATGGTACATGCTGCTTTCTCTGTTGAGCACTCAGCACATATGAGAAAGAGTATGGGAAGGTCAAACACACAGCTCTACCAGCGGACCAGCCCCCTGCTGTAGTGCTTGCATAATTGAGTTTGTAAACCAACATGTTATGTATCGCCAAAAAGCAGTTACTCAAGCAACTGGATATGATTTTGGAAGCGGTCAGACGTTTCAGCTAGTATCCACGAGCTGAAAAAATCCACTAGCCCCAGCATGTTATATGTATCTCTCATATTGATTGGTCAATCTGTGAGTATATTTCCGTGTTTCTGTTGCATCATCCAATACCAGAGCAGGTAACATAAAATGTAACTTGTCTTTTCTTTCCTCTCCCTGCCCTCAGCCCAAAAGATAGCGGAGAGTCGAAACACAAAGACAAGCCTGTTGCCAAGGAAACCGCCTCCTCTTCTTCAGCTGCCTCCTCCGCATCCCATGGAACCAACAGCAGAGAAGCTGGCAGCAGCAGCGCAACTGGTACTCCTAGCTGTGAGCACATTTACTTTTTTATGTTTACCGAAAGAAAACATATTGTTTTTGCTTAGCTTCTTCCTCCTCTTCCTCTTCTGGTCCAAACACTAACCTCTGACCTGGCCAATGACATAAGTTGTTGACGTCTGTCACCATGGTGACTGGTGTTGTATTTGGTTACATAATGTTGCAATTTCATGCTCTGCTCTGCTCCTGTCACCATATACTACTAGTACAGTCATGTATGTGAATGTGTTTGAGTAAGAATTAACACAGCAGACCATGTCTGAAGGTAAACATTATGCATTTGCTTTGCAAATGTTACTTGTCTAGTTTATTCTATCTCCATGGAAAATGGAGGTATTGTTTTTGGTCTGTCTGTGAGTTTGTGTGTATGTGTTTCTGCAGGTTGTGATGGATATGATTGGGCTCAGTGAGAAAGTTATTAATCATTTCTACATATGGTCAGCATGCACTCTCGCTGCTTTCACGGGTATTAGTCATTGCATCAGCCAATTAGATAGCAAATGGAGCCTTTTGTTCAAGAGAGATTTTCAACCCCTCCTAAAAAAAAGTAAAATGTGGTGACTTGTAGATACCAGTGTGAGTGAGGAAAAAAATCTACAAAAATAATATGTGTATTTACACAAGATTTGATATTTCATTGGAGGTCTGAGGTCTTGTTCTTTTTTTGTCCCAATCCTGGATTAACTAGACTAAGCGACTGAGAAGAGAGATGAGAGGTAGAATTTATAGCAAACACAAGAAGAAAACCTAAGAAACATAGAGACTTAGGCAAAGTTTCCTCTTACTCTTTTGCAGCATCTAATCACAAGCATTCCACGGACCCCTCCCCCCGTCCTGCCACCCAGCCAGCCTCCGACAGACACAAGGACACCCCCAAGTCTCACAATAGAACAGGTAAGACACAAGGACACCCCCAAGTCTCACAATAGAACAGGTAAGACACAAGGACACCCCCAAGTCTCACAATAGAACAGGTAAGACACAAGGACACCCCCAAGTCTCAAAATAGAACAGGTAAGACACAAGGACACCCCCAAGTCTCACAATAGAACAGGTAAGACACTAGTATACAAAATGGCTAATAGGGGTAGATGTACCAAATACTGTCTAAAATCAGCCATGCCTTCAAATACCAGAGTTATCAACCAAGTAAGCATTCAAAAACTTCCTAGAACTACTGTAGATTGCAACTCAGTGTCACCAAGTAATGTAGGGGCGCATCACTTACTAGATGGCTTTAACCAATGTTTAAAGTTAGTTGTTAGAGTTAGCTGTTGTGTTGCACTGAAAGATGGTTATACTCGCTATACAGATACAGATACTTCTAAGTTTACTTTGATGTGCCTAATCTGCATTATCTTGTCCTGACTTGTCTGACTTTTGTTGAACAGTTCCTTTTTCGACTTCCAAAAAATTGTCTTTATGTTATTTACATATCAATCAATAGTTTGTGCATATAAACCTGCATTTTTTTCAGTCTTCTTCAGTCACTGACGAAAGCTAGTGCATACTAGCTGAAACGTCTGACGTTCCAAAATCATATCCAGTTGCTTGAGTAACTGTTTTTGGCGTGAGTTGTAACAATGACCCCCCCTCCCTCCGCAGGTACCCCCTCCTCGTCCCAGGGCACCCCCAGCGCGCACCGCGGGACCCCCGGACAGGGCAGCGACCGTATGGACATCTCCACAACTCCTGAACACCTGCAGACCATCTACACCAGGAGTAGAACAGGTCAGCACAGAACTGCTGTTGCTTGGCAACAGGAACAGAACAGTACAGTACATCTGTTGCATGGCAACGGGAATGGAACAAATAAGAACATTGTAAATCGCAAGAAATAGATAACAGAGCTTCATGATCACCACAACAGCCTTAAATCTGCATACAGGTGTTGAACATCTGTGTGTGTGTTTGTTTGTTTGTTTGTTTGTTAATCGCTGCATATGATGAAACCACTCACTGATTGGACCCCCGTCCATGTAAGTTACGATCAAAGCCTGATGCAGCCTCCCCATGTCTGCTTGAAGATTGTGCATCTGTTAGCCCCCTCTGCAAAGACATTTGTTTAGACCACATTTCCACAGACAAGAGACTTATGAACGATCAAAACTTTTTGACACACTGCTTGGAGATTATCTCACACCAACGTTTCTACCCCCCCACACAGAGTCTCCCGCGGTGCAGAACACCCCCTCTCCAGGAACCCCCTCCCTGGGGCGCAGCCACACCACCCCGCACTCCATCCCCCCCTCCCTGGTGCAGCAGCTCTTCCCCCCCACCTCCAGCGCAAGTAGTATATCCCAAGGTAAGGAGAATTCAACTCTTCATCAGTTTCCTCAGTCACAGTTGAGTATAATGTAGCAAAGTGGCAGGACAGACCTGCAGGAGCTGTTTACCATATATGGTATTAGAATAAATTATGTAGCAAGTGGCAGGACAAGCTGGAGGGGGCTGGTCAAGATAAACATGCTCTTACGGTATGTAATAATTTTATTGTATTATATGTAATCTGTATATATTAATGACCATAATTTGTTGACCCTATGTTAAGACGTTTTTAAGAATTTATGTCACATGTATGTATTTAACCACACTTTTTCCCCAGGGCAAGCCCTTAATAATAGCTTCAAGCTAGTTGGGCTGCCCTGGCTGTTTTGCGTCAGCCGAACCAATAAATAAATAAATAAATAAATAAAATAAATACAAATTTGTTTGAGCAAGATTTTTAACCTGCTTGGTTTGAGTCAGAACAATCAAAGCAGTAGTTTGTTAGGCTAGACCATGTGAAGGTAAACATCATGCATTTGCACATTTTTGTTTTACTTTCCTGACTTTGACATTTGTTTCCTCCCCAGTTCACAATGTAGGAGTAGAGCAGTCCTTACAGCTGTTGCAGCACGCCACCATGCTGACGCAACAGGCACTGCAGGCTCAGCAGCAGCAGCCTACAACAACTGTCCCCCCTTCTAGTAAGCAAACTTCTCTTTTCGTTTGACGTCACAGTGTTATGCTGTACAATTATTTGTTTATGTTTTGCTCAATTCAAAGCCAAATGATCACTTTGAGCTAGATGACACGACAGATGTATGAGTAAGCCAAAAGATGGAGCTGAATTTCTAATTCTATGTTGAAAGCTCGAGCATGGTATTCGGAAGGAAAGCATGTGTTTGGGAATGAGTTCCATAATCCCCCCCCCCCTTCTAGTGAGCAAACTTCTCTTTTACACTTTGTTGTGTCACGTAGTGGCTGGTGCTGTGTACCTATGTAAGGGGTTCGTTGTTGATCGTTGTGGGATTTCCGCCTCCGAGTACACGGCGTAAAGTAAGAGCAAGACAAGAAAAGAAGAGGACACAGAGCACACAAAAAAAAACGTCCGTACACAAAGACTTCAACTCAAAAACCTCTCGTTTATTCTAAGAACGTGATCGAACGTCGTCGATCTTAACGTATACGTACGGATCCTAACGTAGCCGTTCGGACGTCGAACGGACGCTAACGTCGCCGTTCGAACGTCCGAAACGGCTTACCTAATGCAACATCTAAACACCTTATGTCATTCCCTACACTTTCCCCCCTAGTAATTTTTCGCCGTCCTCGGCGAACGATCACTACAAAATATCAGGTTTTAAAAAAACGTTTTCTTGTCTAACTACTATAAAACGAGAGAAATGTACATGTGCCTTTACTGCTAGGCAACTGTAGAAACCATACATTTACGGTATCGGGAACTACTACCGGGTTTCTATTTCAGAGTTTAAGTAGAGTTTGCAGTGTTCACGTTCAGATTGGTGAAAACGTCCCGTCGCGTCGACGTCCTTCGGCGTCAGTTAGCTGTCGGAGTTTTCGTCGTCTCTCAGACTCGTCTCTCGGCGCTCGTTTCTCAGCACTCGTGTCAGCACGCGTCAGGACCGCTTACTGGTTAGTGGTTCCCCGCTGTGTTCCTCCCCTCCTCCGTGTTGCAAGGAGCACGAACGCCCGGCCGCAGTCGCCCCTCAGTTGCGGTAGCCCTCACCGGTCCTTAGTCGAAGGGTCGTCCGGCGAAGATGGCGTCGCTTCAGGGGTCCCCGTTAGGGTGATGACTCGGACGGGTCGCTCTTCTGGGATCGGATGGCGCGGCGGGAATTGCCCTCTCCATCACCAAGCTTCGATGTCCCACGTGGACCTGTGCAGGATGGGGAAGAGAACACACAAACACACACACACCAAGCCTGACCGCCATAATCTACAAATAATTTTTGACCTCAAAGTATGGGAGAACATACTCCCACTCGGACTAAAACCCAAGTTAATATTAATTGTAGTGTCTAGTGAAGTAAATCCTACCCACCCTGGGAATCACGAACTCTACAACCAGAACAAAGTAGACTCGTTCAGCACAAAAACACCGTTACTAGTAAATAATTACTCTAGAGCTTAGATATTATATATAGATGATCAGAATCAATTTGGGAAAGTGCAACCACCTTATCTAGCTAAAAGTGGTATGAATTCCCGAAGGGCCGAGGCCCAACCCCCGATGTCTGGGTTTCCAAGGAAAGCATAACACTTGATTCCCCCCACTAACTACAAACCCCAAGATGGCTGCACATTTCATTAGCCGAAAACACCTTATTCATTGTCTGAAAACTTCTGGGTAACGGATAGGAGGTACTCCTCTGTTCTCCCTAACCGGATATCTAGGGTCTTCCGGACCGCCATCGCCCACTGGAGGCGCTACAGGCATTTGTACAACAACAATGGGCAGGTCCCCATCCTCCTCACGACCCTCATTATCACTTTCACTATCAGTTGTGGCACTGTCTTCTGGCTCACGCCTATCTGCGCGCCCGTCCTTTTGTTCGGCACGTGGCCGTCTTGTGTTGCAGGGGCGAGGCGCGAACATACAGGGAGTTAACATATCCCTGTGTAGGGTTCTACTGGGACCACCTCCCCTCTCCGGAGTGACAACATAAACCGGGATATCCACGTTGGGTTGTCTATCTACCACGTGTGGGATCTGTTCCCACTGATCTTTAAGTTTAGAAGGACCCCGAGTCCTCTTGTTTCTAACTAAAACTCTTTCTCCAGGTAGCAAAGGAGCTGTGCGAGCTGTCCGGTCATGTAACTTCTTCTGACCTGCCTTTGCAGATTCAGAGTTCTTAGTAACTAAGTCATAAGCGTACTTATACCGTTGGTGATGTTTCTCTACCCACTCATCCGGACTTACTGTATCACCCGTGTTTTCCTCTGCAGAGTCTATGCCCAGAGTTAAATCTAGTGGTAGTCTCGCTTGTCTACCAAACAGTAGGAAGTACGGGGAGTACCCAGTGGTTGCGTGCTGTGTATTATTATACGAGTGGACCAACTCAGGTAGGTATTCAGGCCAATGACGTTTCTGCTGCCTTGTCAATGTACCCAGCATATTGAGAAGTGTCCTATTGAAACGTTCACATTGGCCATTACCGGCCGGGTGGTAGGGTGTCGTACGACTCTTCAACCCCCCATACAGTTTACATAAACTCTGGATCGTAGCGGAGAGAAAGTTAGCACCTTGATCAGAGTGTAGTCTCCTGGGGAAGCCATATGGCATTATAAACTTAGACCACAGAGTTCTAGCTGTTGTTTCCGCCGTTTGATCTCTAGTCGGAACTGCTACCGTGAACTTTGTGAAGTGGTCTGTTATGACCAGGATATATTGGTGTCCACTGGTTGCTTTCTCTACTTTCAGGTAGTCCATAGCTACCAGCTCCAAGGGTGACTTCGTAGTTATACTAACTAGCGGGCTTCTATTGTTGGGTGGTGTTGTTTTACGTAGACAACACCGTTCACAGGACTGTACCCACATCCTGATATCACCCTCCATATCTACCCAATATACCCGTTGCCGTAGGAGATCTAACATACGAGGGACACCTAAATGGCCTGCACGACTGTGAACCTGAGTAAAGACCTCTCTTCTAAGGGCAGTAGGGAGAACCAATTGTCTAATTACCTGGTCCCTTTTGCTAGATCCTGAATTCCTGTACAGGACACCTTCTCTTAACTGCAACTTTTCCCACTGAGCGAGTATCCTAATTACATCCCTCTCTTCTCCCTCACGCTCTCTACTGTCGGGCTTTCTACCTCTGCTAACGAAGTGTATTACCCTATCCAGAACGGGATCGTCCCGCTGCTGTCGCGACAAGTCGCCTTGCGCGTGCTCTGGGAGAGTTGACATAGGCTCAAATGCACCAGTACCTACAATCTCTGAGAGGGTGACGGACAACGGCTTAGGGGGAGGGGATACATAGTTCTCACAGCATATTCTAGACACCTGTGCGGACACAACTTCTACTTCTCCCTCTGTTTTGTCACTGGAGTAAGCAGGGATGCGAGACAGTACGTCCGCATTTACGTTAGATTTGCCAGGTCTATATTTGATTTCGAAATCAAAGTTCGCCAATCTGGCTGCCCATCTTTGCTCGACGGCACCTAGCTGGGCTGTGCTAAGGTGTGCGAGAGGATTGTTATCGGTATAAACCGTACACTTAGCACCGTACAGATAATCCTTGAACTTCTCAGTCACCGCCCACTTCAGCCCTAAGAGTTCTAGCTTGAAGGAACTGTAGTTATCCATGTTACGCTCTGTTGGCTTCAGCCCTCTACTTGCATATGCAATCACCCGTTCGATGCCTTTCTGCTCCTGTGACAGAACAGCCCCTAACCCGTCATGACTTGCATCTATGTACAAGATGAACGGCAACTCGAAGTCGGGGTATGCTAATATGTCGGCACCCATCAACCGACTACGAAGGGTGTCAAACGCCTGTTGGCACTCTGTCGACCATTCAAACTTAGCTGTGGACTGTTTACGGCCTTTCTTATTCTGTCCTATGGTCAACTTATGCAGAGGCTGTGCGATTTTAGAGAAATCCTTCACAAACCTTCTATAGTATGAACAGAATCCTAGGAATGACTTGACTTGCTTAGAGGTTTTAGGCATTGGCCAATCCCTCAGCACTGCGCACTTCTCTGGGTCTGTCGCTACCCCCCTCTCCGACACAATGTGTCCTAAGTACTTCACACGTCGCTTGAACAAATGGCACTTGTTAGGTCTCAGCTTTAGACCATGGGCCCGTAACCTGGTGAACACCAGATCTAACCTAGCCAGATGATCATCAAAGTTCGAAGAGAATACGATAATATCATCTAGGTAGATTAACAATGTCTCTAAGTTCTGATCTCCAAGGCAGTGTTGCATCAGACGCTGGAAAGATGCAGGTGCCCCGGACAAACCAAACGGTAATCTATTGAACTCAAACAAGCCAAATTGCGTGGAGAACGCTGTTTTCTCTTTGTCAGCCTCGTCTACCGCGACTTGCCAATATCCGCTAGCGAGATCCAAAGTAGAGAATATGGCTGCCCCCTGTAAAGCCGCTAACGACTCTTCTATTCTGGGCAAGGGGAAGGCGTCGTGATGTGTCTTAGCATTCAGACGTCTGTAGTCTATGCAGAACCTAAGATCACCGTCTTTCTTGCGAACTAGGACAACTGGAGAAGCCCAGGGACTACAACTCTCCCGTATAACGTCCTGATCTAGCATGTCCTGAACGTGTTGTTTTACCTCTTTGTACAAACTTGGGGGGATACTGCGATAGGGCTGCCGAATTGGCGGGGTGTCACCTGTTGGTATCTTGTGTTTGATTGTCTCTGTATAACCAAAATCACGTTTGTGTGTGGAAAAGACGCTAGCGTGTTTTTGTAACAGAGCTTCAAGCTTGGCTTCTTGTTCTGGGGTAAGGTCAGCACCATCTAAATCAACCTTGGAATATACATCAGGCCCGCTCTCCGATTTGGTCTCAGCGGTAGGGGTTGATACTAGGGTCTCGTCTTCCGTGTTCATACTACACTGTACAAAGTTAATCTGTACCTCCTGTTCCCCTACAGACTCTATCTCTACCGTACCCTCTGGCTGCAAGTCTGCCAAATACAGAATGCCTAAGCGAGCCTTCTGACTGATCTTTATGTCCTGTTTGCTAACGTTAGCCATGCGTATAGGGACTCGCCCTCTCCGTACCTCAGCGTAACACCTAGCCACAATAATCGGGGCCGGCAGACAACCCGCTTCTGGCGGTTCTACTAATACCTGGTAAGGTTTATGACCTGGGCCTGGCCGGGCTCTTCCATACACAATCATCTCGTGGCCTGCCGGAACAATGATCTGTCGGCGACCCGACGCTCTGGCATACCCTACACGCCCGTCGTCCCTAGCAAAGTTTGACTGTTGCCGCGCAGCTTTGACGGCTTTCTGCCAGACTGTGTCACTACTCTGAGCTGACTGATTAACGTTGTCACCTTGGTATTCCCCAATCACATTCATACCCAGAATCCCCGGCGCAGACCCACATCCATCTTCAACAATAATTACCCCACGCTTTGGAAGCGTGCGACCCCTAAACGTCACATCAAGCTCGCAATACCCGACAAACTTAATGGGTAGTCCGTTGGCCCCTGTTAACTTCAACCAACTTGAAACGTCCTTAAGTCTCTCCCCTCTTTCCCCGAAATGTGATTTGAAAAAACTAAATGTCATGGTAGTAACCTGCGATCCCGTATCAATCAGGCACGGGACGTTTACTCCTTCAAAATCCACGTCTACTACATTACATTTCCCGATCGTCCGAGACAGAACGGACTTTAAGTCATCACTAATACATGTATCACTATTTACACTCATACCTTGGGACGCACAACTAGCTACTGACTTCACCCGCGCACCTGGTCCCTCGGCCGCGGGCCTAACTAGTTTGGGGAATGAGTGTTAGTCTGATTCTGGGGCCTGCGGGTGTTGTTCTGAGGCTTAGTACGGGCGTTGTTGTATCTAGACCCCTGGCTGCCCCAAGGGCAGTCCCTCTGGATATGCCCCGGGTCCCCGCAAACGTAGCACCTCCTTACATTGGGGCACTCTCGCTGGATGTGTCCTGGTTCCTGACACGAATAGCAGATCGGGCGTCCCTGATTGTCCCATCCAGCCTGTCCTTGTCGGACACCGTTAGGTTGGACCCTGGGTGAACCCTGTCTACGGCTGTTTTGATTTTCAAACTTTAGGCTGTGAAGCTCCTTACGTAGGGACTCCATCGTCTTACCCGTTTCCTCCCTCAACCTAGCCATCTCAGCAAGCAAAGCCGACTCTACCATTGTCGCATTTTGTCGGGCTTCACCCTTTTCCCGGCCCCATTCCCCACTCAGGTGAAGGGCTTCAAGTCTGACATCTGGGAACTTCCTGGGGTTTGCCGCGCTAGCTGATCTAATGTATTGGCGTAACTGCCTCTCCAGGTCCTTATCCCTCAGACCATCTAAGAATCTATCCCTTAGCATGGTATCTTCTTCCGCTAACGAATTTCCCCGCCTCCTGGCTGCTCTTTTTAGGAGTTCCTGTAAGCTTAGCGCGTATACAGTTATGGATTCTCCTCTCTCTTGTTCCCTAGCATAGAACATACCCATGATTGCTGACACCGGGGCAGTGTCCCCAAATGTTGCTTTCAGAACATCGCTCACTTTCGTCTTATCTTTTTGGTCGTCAGTCGACAACACAGCTATCTGGCGCTTGGCCTGCCCCTCAAGATTCCTATACAGTAACCCTGCTTGCTGCGCCTCTGGTGTGTTATATAGCAAGAAAGCACCTTTCCATTTCGTCCAGCCATTCCTCTACGACGGGGCCCGTAGGAGACCCAGAAAACTTTGTCCACTTTCTTTCGAATGGTACGTACATAACCGTGGTGGCGTGTGCCCCCTCCTGTCCTTCTGCCATTGTTAAAGATAAAACCTAACAACTTCTATTCACTAACTTCGACCCTGGCTCTACACGGACTCACTTCAATTCCCACTAAAATTCTAAAGCAAATTTCACTAAGCGGTCAGGCAGGCAATGTATGAGTGTGTTTCTCTAACCTTCGGTCCTCTGCTGTCCTCACGATGTTTGGTGTTCTCAGGTTCTCGGCGATAAATCCCACATCCCATCCTCGTCGCCAAATGTAAGGGGTTCGTTGTTGATCGTTGTGGGATTTCCGCCTCCGAGTACACGGCGTAAAGTAAGAGCAAGACAAGAAAAGAAGAGGACACAGAGCACACAAAAAAAACGTCCGTACACAAAGACTTCAACTCAAAAACCTCTCGTTTATTCTAAGAACGTGATCGAACGTCGTCGATCTTAACGTATACGTACGGATCCTAACGTAGCCGTTCGGACGTCGAACGGACGCTAACGTCGCCGTTCGAACGTCCGAAACGGCTTACCTAATGCAACATCTAAACACCTTATGTCATTCCCTACACCTAAACCCACATTCAGGTTCAGGTACCAATTCAAGTCCAGAGGTTTAGGTTCAGGTCCTCTGAATATGTGGGATATTCTCTTTGTAAAAGCTTGAAAATCCAACATTTGTGGTAGCATAGCTTTATTTTGTAAATGATAGATATAAACCATGTGCATTTGTTCATGAATGTTTTTCTTTTTTACAGATGTTTCTGACTCGTCTCCTGTTTCTATGCGGACGTCGATATCAGACATGTCCTCTCCTTACCAGTCTCAGCTCTCACCGCAGGTACCATAATTATCACCTGATAACACACACAATAACACAGGTATAATTATCACCTGATATCATATAAATTGAAACTTTATTCGCAAAATCATGCCCGAAGGCTAATTGCTTTTACAATCAAGAATAAAACACGTTGCAATACAGTAACTGGAGACAGGTAACAACTGTATGGAAAAAACTTCTATTTCTACTACTACGCTAGCTATTATGGGGTTCGACTTCTTCTTTGAAGGCAGTGGATAATGAATAGTCCCACATTCTGCATAATTAGTGGGTTTTGTGATCTTAGTAGAAATGCAGTTTTTTTGGTGATCTTCTAAAAGACGAAAGGATGGAGAAATTGTTGTAACTGTCTGAAATAATCTGTTTCTTTCGGTCTCATAGTGAGGACACTGGCTAACAAAATGTATTTCATTTTCCACTGAATTCATTGTACAATATTTACATAATCTCTCGTGCACAGGTAGTTTTCTATAGCGGCCTTTTTCTATCTCTAGTGGATGCGCACTTATTCTAATCTTACACATGGCAGCTCACTCATCAAATTCATTGTGGTATAGGTATTTTTCCATATATGCACTGGCTCAGAAAAGAATAAGAAATGATCATGCCTTATCAGTGAGGAATTGGTGTGTTCAAGGACTTCCTGCCACCAAGTACAAGAGTACAGATAGCTTTAAAATTAAACAACACAGTAAGTTACATGTGCTAAGGTTGAGTGTAGCAGGTCTTTGGGTATACTATAACCAGCTGCCACAGCACTGCTTGTCTGTAAAGCGTGTTATTATACCGCAGATACGATAATAATCATTTGCCCAATTATATCCATTACAACCTGCAGAAACACAAATTCACAGACAGACCACAACACACATGGTAGAACAAGTAAGATGGTAATCACATACACATATCAGACTACTCTCCAAGCAGAGGTTTGGCTTTTGGGGGTATTTTTAGCGTGTTTTTAGGCTTTTTTTATCGGGGTTTCTCTTTTTGGGTTTGGTGGGAAAAAAAATTCAGTGCAAAAGAGAAACCCAGATAAAAAAAGCCTAAAAACACGCTAAAAATACCCCCAAAACCCAAACCTCTGCTTGGAGAGTAATATCAGACCAACAACATTTACTGAGATTCAAATGTGTGTGGTGGGAAAAGTCTGACAGAGTTTGTGACCATTTTCCTGTCCTGTTTTCCAGCCGAGCTCCAGTCAGCAGGGGGAAGTCGTGACCAGTTCAGCCTCTCCTGCTCACAGTGTACATAGCCAGAAATCTGTAGGGTACGTTTGTTTGTTTGTTTGTTTACTCTCTTTTTTTTTACTGTTTTACGCTTCTGTTCAAAATGTGAGTTCAAAATGAATGCAGTGAAATACAGTATGCTAGTCACAGTACACAGTCTCTCCAAGTTCTTCCTCTTCTTCTTTGGTCCTCCTCGTCACAAGGTGTGACAGGAGAAGTTCTGTTTCCAGCACTGTTTGTCAGTCATTGCAGACAGAAGTTCAGGTCTTTGTAGACCAGTTTCAGATTCAGTTTTAAGTTACTGTATTGTTACTGTATATTCCCTTGAAACAGTCAAGAATTTCCAATAAAGTCTGATATAGTATCAACAGTATTCACTCACTCACTGGGTCGAGCTTCCCTCGGTACCAATGACTGCTGTCCATCTCTTCCTATCCTTCATTTCTACCATCAGGGTTTTTCCTGTCAAGTTGGGTGTCGTCCATTAATTGGTTAAGATAGTTTCTTGCTGGACGACCTCGACTACTTTTTCCATGTGTGGGTTCCCACAGCACAGTAATAACTGGTGTATGATCAACAGTACTAACTTTGATAATTGCAATTCTCAGGAGCCATGCGGACGGGGCAGTGAGCAGTAGTTACGCCGTGGTGCACAGTTCCACTCCCACCGCGGCGCACACCGTCCTCCCCCCCTCCATCGAACTCACGCCGGCGCTAGTCAAGTACTACAAGGAGACACTCATCAGACACACGCAAGGCTGGCAGGCAGAGCACGCCGAGAGACAGGTATTGTAGTTTTTCATGTTTACCGAAGGAAAACATACTGTTTTTGCTAAGGGACTTCCTCCTCCTCCTCTTCTGTTCCAAACACTAACCTCTGACCTGGCCAATGACATGATTTGTTGACATCTGTCACCATGGTGACTGGTGTTGAGTTACATAATGTTACAATTTCATGGTCTTCTCTGCTCCTGTCACCATATACTAGTAGTACAGTCATGTATGTGAATGTGTTTTGGTAAGAATTAACAGAGCAGACCATGTCCAAAGGTAAACATTATGCATTTGCTTTGCAAATGTTACTTCTCTAGTATTTTATTTCATTGGTTGAGCTGTACAAACAGCCAGGGTTGCCCAGCTAGTTACAAGACTATTTTCAACAGCTAACCCTGGGGACAAGGATAGCAAGCTACATATGATAAGGACAGGACATTAAAATCAAAGTTGTCAACTCAGAGAGACAGGTATTTTGATACTCCATTAGTTATCATACAAACTAGTCTTATGTGGCTGATCTTTGAGTATTTTAAAGGAGCACACAATGATACATTACAAATTACATTGAAAAGCCTCATACTACAGGTGTGTTGTTGTTTATTGTTGTTGTTTATTGTTGTTGTTTATTGTTGTTGTTTATTGTTGTTGTTTCCCAGGCGCAGAGGTTAGATGAGGAAGGCCATGCAATGGGCAGTCTGCACAGTTCCCAGGTGTCTGTGGACCTGAAGTTTGCCCGGTCGCTGGTCAGAGTCTCAGAAATCCAGGCCACGTTACAGGAACAAAGGTGGGATATTTTATCTGTCACTCAGATCTCAGCTAGAAATACTTACCTTTGTATAGCTGCACTGAAAATTATCTGCACCAGACAAATTTAATGTCTGTTGTTCCCGTGTTCCGAGGGTTAGACGTAAGAACCATTGCTGTTAACTTTTCTTATACCTCAAAGGTGGTGACAGTCAATGCAGCAAATAAAAAACCCGTACATACACTTATATCTGTGCATTTACCCAGTACATGGCCCAGTGCAGTTTAAGTACATCAGAAATAGACATCAGAAATACCGATTGTCCAATTTTATCTGCATTATAATACATGTGGCAAGATGTTTTGTCTCAATTTTGATTGAATGTTGTTTGTTTGCTTGTTATCTCCAGGATACTGTTTCTACGGCAACAGATACAACATTTGGAGAAGATGAAGAATCAGAACATGTTTCCCTCGTAGCTGCCCTCCCCCTCTGTAGGGATGTACTTGGTACATCCCGCCGACTGTGTGCATTACTGATACCTGCGGTTCCTTCGCTACACTGCCGACTCGGTTGTATCCTTCGTGGCTCCGCTACACTCGACTCGCTACATCTCCAGCCAGATCGTCATGTGTACAAGGATCACCAGAAACCGCCTGTAACCATGGAAACTGTATCCATGGAAATCGCCCTGTAACCATGGTTCTCGTTGCTTGTATGTACGACTAGTTTTGTTCCCTCGTTTTAGGACTATAAAAAAGAAGAGAGAGAAAATTGAGGCAGAATTGTAACGATAATTAGCTGTAGCAGTTTTGGTACCGACACGTGCCAGGATGTCAGGCGCTTTGTAAGGGAGGAATTTCCAAACCGGACGCAGACAGACAGACAGAGAGGAAAGAACTGTCTGCAATGTTAGTTCACTTTGGGACGAGCTTCTAGTTATTTTTGCTTGTCAGTTTTGTTGTACATGATTCCTGGCACGGCCACCCTACTGCACCTATCAGGACAGAACAAACCACCACAGAAACGTCCAAAACATCCAACCATCTCTTGAGAGTTCAGGGCAATTTGGAAAGAAAGGGAATTAAAATTTTGTCCCCACTTATGTTGTGTACAACTGTAGTAGCCATATCGTAGGGTTGTTAGCTTCGGAACTACATAATCCAGTTGAAAAATTGTCTCAAGATTTGAATTTGAAGATTTAATCACAAGAAACTTGACTTAGAAAGACACTCACTTCTGAGTTTCTCTAAATGCTATCCCCCTTCCCCGGACCAATCTTTGTGTGGTGTCTTTACCTTGATAGATGCACAGGGGGGGGTTGCGTAGCCAAGGACTAGGGCTCCTATCAATGTCCACCCCAGATTTACTCACTAAAGGGCCATTTTTGATTGTCACCTCCAACATTCATTACACCCCATAGGGGCTGCACTGTTGTTACAATATCTCCACCCCCTAGGGTAGCATTGATAGGTGCTTAGCCGTCTTAATGTATTATAATCTTGAGTTTCGGAGGCAAGAAGCACCAAGGAATAGTGTTAAGACGTGGAGTCGAGGATCAAGACGCCTTGGGGGGGGGGGGTGAGGTTCCTTAATTATTGTAAGTACCGTAGCTCAGATCTTGTGTATGTATCAGTGCAAGAGCTCCTGTCAGCATTTTCTTGTCAAACCACCTCCGCCCAAAGTCGTCTCAAACATTTAAGAAATCGGAAGGCCAAGATATTTTGGAACACCCCAAATGATTTGAATCATTTTCCTCTATATTAGATAATCGTGGTGTTATAAAAATGCATCTGCTGATTGTATAATGTATGATTGTCTTAGGGCATTTATTTTTTGTTAAAAGGTTTTTTTTGTAATTCTTAACGCTGCTGTAAAAATATATAGCCTTCCCCCCCATTCTGAAGTAGACTTGTCCAGCTTTGTATCATGTACATGATGATATTGCTGACCTGTAGAAGATACCATTCTGTGGTGGGGAGTCAGAATAGTTTGTGAATATTGCTGTAGAGTGTATCAAGACCACTGAATTGTTTCCATTATAATTTTCTTATCTTGTTTATCATCATACTATTACTGTACTGTTTTCCTCACCCAACCGTGTACATGTACTTGTATCAAACATTGTCCTACATTTTTGTGCACATACTGTTACCGCACATTTATGTGAACATAGTTCCTACCATCATATTGTGTATTTCCCTATCAAAAACACTTTGTATTCATTATTGTACCAATACTGCAAAAGTACCGTCATTTTCCAAGAGTGTATTAATTTATATTTGCCAAAAGAATCGTGTTTGTAGCCATAGTAACCATCACCTGGTGTTCCAAACTATCGCCATGGAAACGTAGAAGTGTCCGTTTTTGGATGGGTTTGTTGAAGTTTTGCCTTCCGATTTCGGGGTTAAAGGTGTAACGTTAGTGCTTGGGAGCCTCACTTTGTGCATACAAGTTGTAACGTCCTCGACTACTGGAATAAAATGTAATTATTCTATTGGTAACGCGAGAGGTTTCAGCTTTCTTTGCCAGTTTCTGACCTTAGGCCACACCAATTTAATTTGTTGGTTCTCGGATTTTTTCAGAAAAAAATATGAAGCGACAGGGCGAAAAAAAAAAACAAGTCTGGGCATCCCATTTTAGGCTTAAATGCTACGGAATGAGCCCAATGAAGTCAACACAAAAGGCTGGGTTAAAATTTAAACATTGAATTTTGAACTTTTAATCAAACCACTGCAATGATAGATGGGAAAACTGTAACAACTAGCGTAAGGAAGAAAAGGACTTTCCTCAACTGTTGGGGGCAAAACATGAGCATTTTTCAGTTGATTCAGGACCAGAATCAATTTTTTTTTTTTTTGCTAAATCAAGTAAAAAACGTAGAGGCGAATCCGAGAACCAACAAATTTAAATTGGTGTGGCCTTACTTACTGTTTCAACAGACTTGTCAATCAATCAATCAAATCAAATCAAATCGAATGGTGTTTTATTCATAAAAACGTGGACATTGCGAGACAAGTCCCTTCTCTCAGGATTCTGAGGCAGTGTGTGGAAAC